CAAAAATAGATGAGCATCTCTTTTTAGATGGATCATCTGTTGGTAGCATACGCTGAACTTCAAAACCAAATATTGGATAGGAAATACTCTAAATTGTTTTTTGCAGTGTTAGTTCCGTTTAGAAATAACAGTTCTTTGTTTACTGCAAAGTAGAAAGTATCTCTACAAAGCACTTCTGCTCCTCTTTCGCAAGAAGATCTCTCTGGCAGCATGCTTATTGGTTCAGAGAAGTCCTGTGATAAAAGATCGCTGTAATCAAAACAGCAAGGCTTACAAACAACAGAAGGAAGGCGGCTTCTGTCCATCACAGGCTTGAACAAGGGTTGTGATTTGCTTGGGCTCTGCCATCTCTGATGTTCTTAGAAAGGATAGGAACGTGCTGCTGCAGATGGAAAGGAATTGCTGCCGCGTTTGGACTGGAGTGAAGGAATGGGAGGCAGGCACGTTGTTCACCAGTTCTGTGTGCCTCCAATCAGCGAGGCACAAATCAACGCGTTTGGTTGCCAAAGGTTAGGCAGCCCGTCAGAGCACCAGTCAGCAGGGAGGCATCCAGAGCACAGACGGTATTTCTGTTCCAGCTGTAAAAGGTTAAGCAAATATATGTTGACACTATTGCTTCCATCTAACAATAGCAAGCGTCATTGATTTGGAAGGGCAGTGTAGAAACGTGGCAAATGCAATAAGCTGCTCACTATTAGCTGTCCGTCTTGATGCAGCGCGCTCGGCGTGATGATGCCCAGTGCTCCCTGGCGCTCGTTCCCCGAGCGCTGACGGCGAGAGGCAGCAGGTATTTCTGGTGAGGGGGAAGGTGATCTGTCGCCTCTGCTTACCTCAGAGGCTTTGTCCCCTCTTTCCAAACAGGGGAACTACTGCTGTGGATGGAGCTGGCTTTGGCATTGATCGTCCTGCCGAGCTAACCAAGGAGGATGACGAGTACGAGGCATTCCGTAAACGAATGATGCTTGCCTACCGCTTCCGACCAAATCCCCTGGTAAGGTGGCCCCAAAGCCAGAGCAGACACAGTGACAAAGTCATTGAGGTTTCTGTGCGTATCTGTAAGGGTGGGAGTGCTTCTAGTGCTTAGCCAAGAGAGCAAAAGCTGTGCAAGTTTGCCTTTGATTCTGCTCTCATGCTGAATCAAATTATCGCTACCACAACATCCTTGGATGCACCGTTTTCCTTGCCATCGTTTTTTTTTAAAATACAAAAGCCCCTTCTTTTATTCTTATCCCTGCATACCAAGTGTAAATGCTGCACACAAGGTGGATGGGTTGTCCATGAATCCATGGTTTATTTTGAGTAATTCTTTTTCTGGTTATATTTCCCTGGAATAATTTTCTGGGTTGCAAAAGGCTTGTAAGTCTGCATTTGCCTCTTAGATTCAGCATGCCTGCCAGCAGCCACACACACAGTTACATTTGTAATTTTTGATGGGCAAACCTCAGGTTTCACTGTCAGAAATGTCACATTTCAGTGGCTTTTTCAGATAATTAAGCTCAGGTGCTCATTGTTCTGTGAAGACTGCAATTTTGATTAATTTTCTCTTGTTATTCCCCACAGAATAATCCACGACGACCTTACTACTGAGAATGTTTTTGGGGACAATGTATTTTGAAAACAATTGTAATTTTACTGTGAAATGTTATGAAACTGCATTATCATTCTCTTATTTGCTAATATCGTAAAACTTACTGAAGTCACAATACCATCTTTCACCCAGAAGAAAGGCCTGCAAGCCCACTCACTGCACACTCGAGTGTCGTGACAGCCCTGTCGTAACGAGGCCTGGGTGGTATTCAGAGGAGAACGGAGCGGGGGAGAACGGGGATGATCTCACGGTGCCCTGCTGACAGTGGGAGGGTAGCACCAAAGATACCAATAGGAATAGTTCAGGGACTCCATTCGTGTTTAGCTCAGTGCCATGTTACAAGGAACGCATTTTTTTGCCTAACAGCAGATCCTCTGTTGTTCAGATATGCAGCTTGTGCTGCTCTGAGGGGGTTTTTTTGTTGTTGGTTTTGGTTCTTTGGTTTTGGGGGTTTGTTGTTTGTTTTTGTTTGTTTGTTTGTTTGTTTTTTCTAATTGAAACTGCGACAAGGGACTGTCTCCGACCCAACTTTTAGGGCTGTTGTTCAGTCAGGCCATTGTTCCCTGAAGAACTGAGTTCTGGTGGCGTCGTGAAGCCCAAACTAGAGTCTTGACCTTCAGCTGACATTGCAAAACCAGTGCCTAGTTGTTCTTACCTCAGCCCTGTGGAAGACGAGGCGCAGCTCGGTGTGGGGAGCGGGGCTGCGAGGGTTGAGGGGAGCCGGGCAAGTTCATTCAACCTCAGGGGCGACAGCCTCTTGCTTTCCTGAACACTAAGCTCATCCCCAGGTTCCTAACAAAACAAGAGACTTGCGACCGCGGTCTGTGGATTGGGGTGACCAAGAACCGAGCCTTCAAACACAGTTTGTCAAAGGCCATTTGGATTTTGTTTTTGTAAGAAACCCCTCTACAAATACAAATTTTCTTCATTCAGTCTGTAAATAAAATAAAGCTCATTTGTTCCTTACGTTTAATCACTGAATGTTTGGGAAGAGTGGTCTTATTCTGGGTTTTTGTAGGCTCAGAGGCTGCTCTAGATCTCTTTCCTTCCAAGCATTTTAGAGAAAACAAAATAAGGTTGGTTGGTTTAGTTTCTTTTTGCGTTTGTTTTCCCCTCAGTCCAAATACTGGGTGTGCGATTCTCTTGTGAACTTTTCTTAACAACATAGAGTCAGGGACTTGGCTTGCAATAAAAGCACGTGAAACTGTAAATTCAGGAGGAGTTCACGCTGAGAAAATGCAAAATGCCTGAGCACTTCGCACACGCACGGACCTGGGCTTGCTGCTGCAGCTTGCACAGGGCAACCGCGGGATGGCTGATCAGCGTGGACTCATGGAAGATGGGGAAATTAAAAGATCTGGCAGATCTTAAGGTGCGCCAAAGTCTTGGCCCAAGTGATTAAGGTCGCTGTGACTTGTCCCTTCGGGTTTTCCCCGTTGTGGCAGTGCTGGGGCTCGGTTCCTGGAGGGCACAAACCAGAGCCGCCGAGCTGATTTTGTGGAATTACCAGAGACTGGAGCTGAAGCTGGGCTGCCCGCTTCACTGCTGTTGGGTTTTTTTTTTGGTGTTGGGGTTTTTTTGTTTTTTTAATAGAAGTAGGGGTTTGGAGGGAGGCTGCTGGAGAGTGGAGGCATTTTCAGTCTCTTTTTATTAGACACGTATGTAGTGCGACATCCTTTCAGTGCTGAGAGTGACCTGGTCACGGCGTGGCCTTAAAGGCAGGGGCAGCAGGCAGGAGGCTTCCTGCTGCTGCTGGTCTGGTCTTTAAAGCTAATCCGATACTGCAGCGTGCCCCGTGTGCTTTGTTGGTGTTGTGTTGGCAAAAGTGGTTTTTCTTCCTTTATCTCGACACAGCGGCCTTGGTCTTCCCGAGCCGCTTCTCTTGGTAACTGTGTTCATCAATAGGTGCTTTGCTCGGCTCTGTTTTAACTTGGGTCTTTGTAAGTCACGCACTGGTCCCCGTGCCCTGCCGCTGGGAGCAGCGGGCAGGGGTCAGATCTGCAGAAACCCGGCGAGCCACTTAGCGCAGTCCTTCTCGCTGTCGTTAACTACAAAGCTGGGGATTTAGCCTTCAGAAACCGAATCAAACGGGCGGCTGCCGCCACACGGCCGGAAGGTCACCAAAGTTGGACTTTCTCAGCTCGAAGAGTAAATTCCCCGGTGCCCGCCGTGCCAAGGCGGTGCCAGCTGCCCGGCTGGCTGAGCACGAGCGCCCGTGGCGAGCGCAGCACCGGGAAATCACCCGGCTGGGGACGGGCAAAAGGGGTTGGTTTGCCCCGAGCGGCTGTTGCAAGCGCTGGGAGACGGGCGACGCTTGTAGAGGGTTCAGTGTTCGGGAACACCTGAAGGTTATTGCATCAAGTCAACCCAGATTACCCAGTTTCATGCACTTCCCCTTCCCCACCCCTTTTTTTTGTACAGTGTGTCATGCTGGTTTTTGTGCAAAAAGGGCTGGTGGGTGTTTTTTCAGCTGGAAAGCCCCATCTTATTACTGAGCCCTGGAGACTGAACCCCTCCTTGCTCTCAGGTGCGCTCCCTTCGCCCTAGGCTGAAGCAGCACTGCCTAACGAGCCTTGCCTCGTTAGTGGCGTGCTGACAAGGCATGTGGGGTGCCTTCGAGTTCCTCCCGCACAGAGAAACACCAAACAAGCCCAGGGCAAAGTGCAGGGCGGCCAATTCAGCACCCGGACTCTGAAGCAAGAGGGTGAAAGAGTGACGTGACACAGCGGCGTGTTTGTGAAGGCTTTGTGAGGAAGGGGAAAGGTTGAGCGGCCACGTTGGGGGACCTGCTAAGTACCGTGGAAGTTTCTGAGCGTGTGCCCAGTTCTGGACTGCTGAGGCAGAGCTCTCCGTGGGCTGGTGGGGAGCTGAATGCTTGTGTTTGAGCAGAGAGCGTAAGAGGAGGAGGTCAGGGGGACGCTGGGCTCCCAGCTGGATGCAGAGACCTTGAAACTCCTGCTCTCTGCTTGATTCAATTTGTTATTAAAGGCAGAGATGAAGTGTTGGCTTTCATGTGCTCTACTCCCTCTCTTTTCCTCTTACAGATCGGAAGAGGTGTGTCCTCTTGGCTTTTTTAAGTACTTAAGGTTTCCAGAATGAATTGGGGGAAAAAAAAAAAAACAAACAAACAAATGAAAAAAACCTGAAACAAAAAAAAAAAAAAAAAAAAAAAAAAAAAAAAAAAAAAAAAAACAAAACCACAAACCACCCAGTCCCCAAGCTTTCAAAGCCCCTTTTGGAGTGGTTTTATCCTTCCCCGCAGCCTTTTCACAACAGCCCTCGAGCACAGAGACCCGCACAGCCCCTCGTAGTGAGTCACTCGTGTTCGGCTGCTGCCTGCTTCCCCCCCGGGACCCCCCCGGCCTTCCTCCCGGGCAGCTCTGGCGCTTTAAGGGCGCTGCCTGTTTGCCGGCAACGGGGCCAAAGTCCGCGGGCTCCGGCAGCTCGGGCGGCCCGGCCGGGGGATGCAGCTCCCTGCCGTGCCGGGCGTGCTCGCCCCGTCCCTGCTCGCCATCCCCGTGGCCTTTGGCATCAACGGTGCGACCGCCTTGGCAGAGTGAGTGCGGGCTCGGGAGGGAGCGCCGGGGTTGGGATGTTGCGGTCCGGCTCGGGGCAGGGCGCTGGGTCCTGTCCTCCACTGGTCCTGGGTGCTGGGTCCAGTCTGGGAGCTGGGGGGGGGAGCGTCCAGCCTGGCCCAGGACAAGGCTCTGTCCAAGGACAGTGGGAGCCGTCCCACCTGGGTCCCATCCAGACCTGGAAAGGGGGATGTGGGGTCCAGGGCAGGGTGCTGGGTCTGTCCTGGGGTCCAGCCTGGCGCAGGGGGCTCAGTCCAGGCGCTCCTGCCCTGGCTGAGCCGGTGGAAAAGCCGCTGCGAGCTGGGACTTCGCCGACGTGGGTCATGGCTGTCTTGATGACTTTTAAATCCCGTTGTCGGTGAACGGACGCGCAACAGGGCTGCTCGGCCTCGTTGCACACCATGGAGCATAACGGGGCTCGCCGGCAGCCCACATTCCCTAGGGATTAGAGTTCTCAGCACCTCCCTGATTTATGAGCATCCTCTCCAGCCGCCTGCCCCCCCAGGAGAGAGGGACAGGACCCCCGACCCTGGGTGGCCCCTCCAGACACAGCCGTGCCTCCTGGGGCACTGGGGACCCCTCCAAGCCCCATCTCCCCCTCCCAGAGCGACCCCCCTGGCTCCTCGGCTGCTGGCGTATCCCAGTGTGGCTGATGCCACCCCTCCACGCCGGCCTCGTCATCGCCACCGTCACGCTGCCCCATAACAGCCCCACTTTCACTTTTTCTGCTGAGCCACAGCCCCGCGATGCCCCAGCCCAGCCACATCCTGGCTGCTCAGCACATCCCCGGCTGGCCGTCACCCTCACGTCGGGGCGGTTGGTACCAGCCGCTCTGGCTGATTATTTTTCTCTTCTTTCCAGTCTTGCGCCCCAGGACCTGCCAGCTACGGGTTTTCCCCTTGTGTCCTCTCATCACTTCACAGCACTTTCTATCCTTTCATTCCTACCAGGCCCCCTTCACCCTCCTTTTCCCATTCATTATACATTTCTTTTTATAGCTAATTTCTGCTTTTGCTTTACCAGCAGGAAGCAGTTTTAGCCAAACTATCCTTAACTGCAGAGCCAGAGATTTCCTGGCCACCTGATAAACTTTATTTAAGGATCTCCCAATTCTCGTTCATATCTTTTCAGTCTTTCCCTTCCAAAGATGGTGGCCCCGGCAGGGTGAGCTGGGTGCCGTGAGGGCAGCACCCCAAGGTGCCTTTATGTGCACGGGGTGGCCCCGGGGCTGGCGTGTCTCGAGCCCTGTCACACACACGGTCACGTCTTTTGGTGACCGGAGGAGCCCGGCGTTGTGCTACTCCACCACAGCGTTTGAACTTTGAATTAATCATTCTGTGGGAGTAATTAGCTGTGTAGTAATTGATTATACACTAGTAATAATGCATTTTGGCAGTGACGCTTCAATTGTTTGATTGCTTTTGAGGTGTTTTTGTTTTTTTTTTTTTTCCCAAGAGCATCCCTGTGGGTTTGGATGCTTAGGTGAGGACAAGCTCAGCCTCGCTCAGTGCTGCTGTGACGCTCCCTGGGCGCGGGGTCCTGCTTTCACTGTCCCTGTCCCTGGAAGAGCAATTCCACCTGCACAAGGCAAACATGAGCCGGGTGTTGTCACAGCCTCCCATAAATGAGACCTGAGCTGTTCTCAGCCAGGTGACCCTGGCCACGGGGACGGCTGGCCTGTCGTCCCCACTCGGCACATCTGCTGTGCTGCGCCGAGGAGCACTCGGGCTGGTAATTGGGTGTTTCTCCAGGATAAGCTATTAACACCGGTGTCTGTGCAGACAGTCAGCCATGACTTTGCCTTTTTCTTTGGTAACAGGGTTAAAGGCTTGAGTGAAAAATACTGTAATGTTTTCCATGTTCCGTAGCTGAAGTACTGGCTAGAGCAGAGCTGTAGCTCTTCCAGCTGATGCAAGTGCTTCTTGCAGGGGAAGCAGCAAGCTCGGGATAGATTTCCCTACAATATCTCCACTCTCTTAGGACACGCTTTCAGTATCTATCTCATCATTACTGATTTGCTTTATAATCTGTTTCCCCAGTCTCTTATAACAGTGGAGAGGGAGAACCACGCTGGGGCTTCTCCCCTGGCCAGGCACAGGAGCCTTGGTGAGGCAGCCCCCTCCCCATCCATGTCCGGGTGTCAGAGCCAGCCTTCCCCCGGGCTTCACCTCCCCGGGGTTATTTCACACCCTGGAGGAGCCGTTTCCCCCACTCCTGTGCTGGGGAGCAGGGTCTGAGCCTGCTTCAGTGAAGACCTCTCAGAATCAGTGGGGGCAAAGGGTTTTTCAGCTGGACAGGAAGAAATTGGGCTTAACCCCCCGGCTGCGCGCGGGTGCTTGAACCCATCCTGCTGTTCCGCAGCAGCCCGCTGGTGCTGATGCTGATGGGGATGCTGGTGCTCGCCGGCCTCTTCTCCATCATCATCTTCGTAAGCGGATTGAGCCACTTCCAGGATCCCCTTTTCTGCGGTGAGTCCCGTCCCACCCCCGGGGTGTGGGGACTGATGCCATGCCGGCGCAGGGAGCAGAGATCTGGGGTTGGGGGGGGAGAGCCGTGGGACCCGCTCCGAGCTGGCGCGCTCTCACGCAGTGTTTGTGGTGTTCTCCTTCACCTCCGTCGTCGACTTGATCATCTCGCTGGAGGAGGATGGCTACATTTCTGGCTTCATGGAGGTCTACGTCCGAGAGGTACCACCACCTCTCCCTGCCTTGGGCTCTCGCATGTGAACAGCCCCACGCACCCAGGACGAGCATGGATGCTGCTCCTGCTCCCGTGCACGGGGCAGCCCCACGGGGTTCCCTGGGGAAGGGCGGGGGGGGGGGGAATGGCGCTTGCCCCCCACCCCATATAATCTGCTATTTTCCAAACGGGCAGGGCGAGCCCTACCTGCGCACAGCGCACGGCATCATGATCTGTTACTGGGACGGCATCATCCACTACGGGCTCTACCTCGCCATGATCGTGGCCATCAGCCAGAGGTGAGTGGGGACAGCAAGGTGGCACCTTCAGGGATCAGGAGCTCAGAGGAGCTCGCGGGGGCTGGAGGATTTTGTGAGGAGGGGAGCTCTGAGCTCTGGCAGAGGAGTCTGATCCCGATGTCTCTGCAGAAAGAGCTACAGGAACCTGGGTCTCTTCTGGCTGGGCTCTCTGATGATGAGTGTCGTCGTCTTCCTGCTTGGGAATCTGATAGGTATGGGGGTGTGGACGGGGGCTTGACTCCACGTCCAGCCCTTGCTGACCCCCCAAGCTGCCTCCATCCCCCCAGTTTGTCTGGTGGGTTCGCTCCCACGAGCGGAGGAGGAAGGTGCTGGCCTGGAGGCAAGTGTCAGGTATCGATACTGGGCGCCGAGCACTCCACTGTGCCTACCCTGTACTCTCCTTCCCCAGGGAAATACAGCTCCGACCTCAGCCCTTCTTTCCTGCTCAACCTGCCCTACATCCTCATCCCCATCTGGGCTGGGCTGAGGCTTTTCCAGCAGCCCAAAGCCCTGCCATGCCTCAGCCCTGAGAAGGTGAGCTGGGAGCCGCGGCAGGGGCTGCACTGGGAGCTGTCAGCCTTATCCCCCTCCCAGGGCTGGACCACAGGGTGCGGAGCTGATAATCCAGCATTTTCCCTCTCCCAGGTTGCAGAGGAGCAACACAAGCCCCTGTACCAGCGGCCCCAGGACATGGGGCTGGTCCTGCTCCTGCTCCTCACCGCCGCGTTCACCTTCTTCAGGGGGTTGGTGAGTGTTGGGTCACCGCACGGGGGTCCCGGGGGGGGGGCATGGGGGTCCCGGGGTGGGTGCATCTGCCCTGCGCCCACCTCCCCTCCACTCTCCGCATCCCCAGGTGGTTTTGGACTGTCCCGCTGATTCGTGCTTCGAGTACATCTACCAGCATGAGCCGTACCTGCGCGACCCCGTCGCCTACCCCAAAGTGCAGGTGAGCAGGGTTGAGGCAGGGCTGGAGGGTCCCTCCTGCCCCCCCCCCTGCTGCTGGGGATGGGGTGACCCTCTCCGTGTCCCCCCCCCAGATGCTGATCTACATGTTCTACGTCCTCCCCTTCTTCTGCCTCTGCATCTACGGGCTGGTGCTGCCTGGTTGCTCCTGGCTGCCCGACTGGAGTCTGGTGTTTGCCGGTGCCGTCGCGCAGGTGAGGGCTGCCCCATCGTCCTTCCCTCAGCTGTGGTGTGTGGGGGGGGGACGACGGGGGGAACCCCTGGGCTGGGTTTTGGTCCCAGCTAGGAGATAACAAGCGGGGAGCCAGGGCTGAGCCTGGGGGGGGGACAGATCCACACCCGCGGCTGCATGTGGAGCAGTTCCCAGCGCCTCTGCCTGATAATTACTTTGGCCTCGACGGATCTTAATGGAGCCGGGGATTAGTTTGACAGAAATAGGCTGGAGCGAGCCTGCGGGTCTATAGATAGGCCGTGCTGGGCGTGCTCCTGTGGACACGCTTTGGTGCTGGGTGGGCTGCCCATCACTGCCCGTCCCCCCGCCCCGTGTCACCCCCTGCCCTGTGTCCCCAGGCTCAGTTCTCCCATCTGGGCTCCTCGCTGCACGCCCGCACGCCTTTCCCTTACCAGACCCCTGAAGATGTCTGGTGGAGCTTCCTCCTCACCAACGTCCTCTACGCGCTGGGCCCCCAGCTCCTGGCCTTCCGCTGCCTGCGCTGCCCTGCCTTCTTCCTGCCTGCCACTCCTGCCAGCCTGCACGTGGGCAAGAAACACCAGTGACGTGTCCTGCCCGCCCCGGGGGGGCTGCTGCCCATCTCCCCTCTCCCCTCTGCAAGAGCAGCCGGAGCAGCCTGCGGTAGGTCCTGGCTGGCAGAGGTGTCCCCAAGGATGCTCTGGTCCCCACCGTGTCCCCTAATGCTGGGGGGTGTGCTGAGGGGACCCCAGGGTGCGCTGCGGGGGCATGGCTGCAGCCTTTGCCCGGGTTTGGGGTGGTCTCGCTGGCTGGGGGCTGTGGGAGCTGGGCTCCCCCCCTGGTGGGTCCCCGGGGGCCGTGGGGGCCCCGTCCCACCCTGGTGCTCCCAGCCACGCCGGAAGGGCCACGGGAGTGGGGACCGTGCCAGGAAAACACTGTTTACAAAATAAAGGAGCAAAAATACGGCTTCTGAACCCGTGTCTGTGCTCCGGCTGAGGACGTCACCCCATGCCACCGGCTGAAGCACCATACCGGCCCCCCCACGTCATCCGCCGGGGTCCTGCCGGGTCCCCCCCCTTTGCCCCGGGGCTGGGGGGAGCTGCATGACTTTGCCTCCTCCTGCATTTTGGGGTGCAGGGCTGGGGTGGGGGGGGGTCTCTCTCTGCCTGCGCTGCCCTTGCCTGCCCTTGCTGCGGCGGCTCAGGGTCGGGCTGCAAGGGGGGAGCCAGGGGAAGGGGTGCTCCTGCGTGTGCCAGGGATGCCCACGGGTGGGCAGGGGTGCGCGAGCATGTGGCGTGTACACGGGTGGGTGGGTACAAACACGTGGGAGGGGGGGTGAGGTGAGTGTGGGGGTGCTGGCAGTGGCTCGGGGCTGCCCTTGCAGGGGGTGGGGGGAGAGTGTTGGATTTACCCGGCAAAACTTCTTTTACCCCGCGGGTTCCCCACCCGCAGCCGGGACCGGGGGGCCCGGGACCGGGCGGGCCGGTGACCTTGGCGAGCCGGCGGCCCTGCGCAGCGTCGGGAGCCGGGGCAGGGCCGGGCCGAGCTCCCGGTGCCGCCCCCTGCGCGGAGCCGCCCCGGCAGCACCGGAGGCACCGGCGGCACCGGAGCGTTCCTGCGGCCGGGCCCCTCCCGCGGGCCGGTACCGGCGGAGACACGGTGAGTGCTGCGGAGGGGGGGGGGGGGGGGGGGGGGGGCTGCGGCGGCGGCTCCACTCGCTGCGGTGCAGCCGCGGGGAGCCGGGACGGGACACCCCCACACACACCCCCACCCCACACCCCCCCCTCGGTACCGGTAACCCCGGAGCGGGGGGCTGCACCCGGCGGGGTCGGGCCGGTTCCCCCCCCCCCCCCCCCGCCCTGCTCTGCCCGCTCCCGGGCACCGGCGTCCCGCAGCCCCCGGGGCTGCCGCCGCAGTGTCCCGCACTGCAACACCGCACCGGCCCCGGGGCTGCCGGGGGGGGGGGCGGGGGGAGAGCCGGGGGCTGCCCCGCTCCTCCTGCCCCCAGACCGGGCACCGGGACCCTCCGGGGTGGGGGCTGCCCCGCTCCGCTTACTCCAAGCACCGGGACCCCCCGGGAGGGGGCTGCCCCAATCCCTCTGCCTCCCAACCGAGCACCGGGACCCCCGAGGGAGCAGCCCCACTCTCGCTGCCCCACAGCCAAGCCCTGGATTCCCTTCCCCAGCCCCACAGATTGGGGGGGGGGGACACACACTCATTCCCACAGTGCGGGGGGTGGGGGGACACCCAGACTGCCTGGGCTGGGATCTGGGGCATCTCGGAGGACATGGGGTGCAGGGGGGACCGTGGTCCGCCGGGGGGCAGGGGAGCTCCTTTTCCCTTTGCGTTTCCCTGCGAAAGGGGGGCTGTGGAGTGGGGCAAGCAGCTGGGGGGGGGGGGCCCGGGGGGGGGTCCGGCAGCCGCAGCCCACTCCCACGCCATCAGTTCAGTTTCCAGATGTGCCGGCGCTGACATAAATAACTCACGAGATCCGGCCCGGCGCGGCTGCCATGAAATATTCATCCCAGCTGTAACTGAGCGGGTGAACCGGAGTTCAGCGCCGGCGCAGGCCGGGGGGCACGGGGGGTCCCTGCGGGCCTGGGGTGCTCGGGGAGGGGGGATGCAATGAGTGACCGGTCACCCCACCGTCTGTTTGGGGTGGGGGAGGTGGGAGATAGGGTGGGGGGGCTTCCCCACGAGGGGTGTCAGAAGGTGACGGCATCTTCCTGGGGACAGCACAGACCCAACGGGGTGTGGGTTGGGGACTGGCACCGCTGCCGGGGGGGCTGGCGAAGCCAGGGGGGTCAGGTTTGCTCCCAGACCTCCCCTCTGCCGCGCTCCTCCCTGGGAGGGGGGGCCGTCCGGTGCTGAGGGGCTCTGCTCTCCCCCCAGATGCGTCCCCGAGGTCCCTGGGCCGCTGGCCCGGCAGCTCTGCTGCTCCTCGCCGGCATCCTCGCCTCCAACGCGCTGCTCAGCACCCGGGGAAGGAAGAAAGTGGTTCATGTCATGGGTGAGTGGGGACCCGGGGAGGGGGGACACACATGAGGGAGCTGGGCTGGACCCCCAGGGTGGAATGGGGGGAGGCATCCTGCAGCTGCTGGGCTGTTGAGTTTAATATCTATTAAAGCACGATCAGGGTCTCTGGCACATCCATTGTGTCCCCCCTGCCCTGGCCAGGAGCTGTCCAACTTCTGAGCCCCCAAAAGAGGGAAATTCCCCCCAAAGCTTGTCCCCCCACACCCCCCAGCTTGCCTTGTCCCCGCCGTGGATCCTGCCCACGTGCCGGCGCTGCCTGGGATGGAGGCAGGGCCAGGCTTGGGGACAGGGACTCCCCTGAGCTCCGTGTCCCTTGCAGAGGGTGACAGCGGGGCCGTGGTCGTGCAAACGGCCCCGGGGAAGGTGGTGACCCACCGGGGCGGCACCATCATCCTGCCCTGCCGGTACCACTACGACGTGTCCGCCCACGACCCGGCCGAGATCCGCCTCAAGTGGACCAAGGTGACGGAGCCGATGGCCTTCGTGGACGTCTTCGTGGCGCTGGGGAAGGCGCGGCGGGCGTTCGGCAGCTACCGCGGCCGCACGGCGCTGCAGGAGGATGGCTTCGGCGACGCCTCGCTCATCATCCGCAACGTCACCCTGCAAGACTACGGCCGCTACGAGTGCGAGGTCACCAACGAGCTCGAGGACGACACCGGCATGGTCAAGCTGGACCTCGAAGGTAGCGGCATGGCCACGCCGGGGAGGAGGGACGGGGACAGGGAGGACCCCGGGTGTCCCCGTGTCCCACACGGGATGGCCAGGACACAGTTCCCGGTGCCACATCCCCGAGCTGGGCTCCATCCTGCTTTACGGCCGGTTGTTTTTCCTGGCGTGTGCCGTGGTTTATTGCCTCTGTTATTGGTTTTTATTGTTGCTCCAGGTTTACAGGCTGGCAGCTAATAAACGCTGGAGATAGATAGAGGCACGGCCTCGTAAAACACCAGGGGGGGGAATGACCGGGATGTGGCAGCAAGTCTTGATGCTGTGCGTGGCTTTGAGCCCACTGGGACGAGCTGCTGTGGCTGGGGATGCCAGAAAAGGGGGAAACCCCCCTTTTTGGGGGGTTTGGGAGGTACAGCAACACTGCTCCAGGTGGTACAGGCTTGCTCCAGGGACGCTGGGGCTTGGCTGGGCCCCTGCACAGGCACCACTGGTGTCCCCAGGTCCCAGAGCAGCACGCAGGGGTGCTATGGGGGTCCCTGCAGTCACGGAGGGGGAGAGCAGGGCGGGGTTGGGGTTACTGGGAGCACCCAAACTCCCCGAGCAGAGACAGTGGCAGGCTCATCTTCTCTGGACGTTGCAGCTGGGTGTCCCATTCCCCGCCAGCTCCTGGTGCCTTGCACTGCTGAACCCATTTGTTGGGTGCAGCTTCAAAACAAGGTGGGAGGGATCACCACCCACCCCCCACGCCCCCCCAGCCCTCCTCTCTGTCCCCCCCAAGGCGTCATCTTCCCCTACCACCCACGCCTGGGTCGCTACACCCTGAACTTCCACGAGGCGCAGCAGGCGTGCCTGGAGCAGGACGGCATCCTGGCCTCGCACGACCAGTTGCACCAGGCCTGGCTGGAGGGCATGGACTGGTGCAACGCCGGCTGGCTGGAGGACGGCTCGGTGCAGTACCCCATCTCCCGGCCACGGGAGGAGTGTGGCCGCAAGGACACGCCGGTGGGGGTTCGCAACTACGGCTACCGGCACAAGGAGACCGAGCACTACGACGCCTTCTGCTTCACCTCCAACCTCAACGGTAACGGCTGGGGGGGTGTGTGTGGGGGGGAAACTGAGGCACGGAGCACCCAGCTCCCCATTTCGGCTGGGCAGGGTGGGGCGGGGGTTTCCTTTGGTGCTTCAGGAAGATGCTCAGCCCTGGGTGAGAGCAGGATGTGGCTGCATGTGCTTTCCCTGGGCTCCCCGGCACATCAAGAGGGGGGTTGGTGCTGGGGGGACCCCCAGCAAGGACCAGAATCCGGCCCTGTCACCTTTGGGGCTGGGGTACCTGGTTTTAGCAAAACCCCTCGTCCCCGGGCAGGAGCAGGGGATGGAGGTAATTGCAGCAGCGAACGGGCCGGGTGATGGATGAGGCCGGGGCCACGCAAGACAGATGGGAGCCGGGAGGGCTCCTGGGCTGTGTAAATTCTTCCTGGCTGGCAGGGCCGTGCGGGGAGGGGGGCTCTGCCGATGTTTATTTAATGGTGGCAGGCAGGATAAATAGCGGGTGTAATCGCCACCAGGAGCCATCACCAACCGCCGCCGCGCAGCCCCCATAAATCTGCCCGCACCGCCGCGGCGGCTCCCCAGAGCCCACCCAGCCGCTCGCCTCCTCCAGCTCCCCCCTCCTTCCCCCCCCCCCCCCCCAAAAAAAAATGTGTTGGCGCAGGGTGGGGGGGTCCCCAGGGTTTGCACCGCTCAGCCCCATCCCGGCCAGGTTCCAGTGCCGTGCAGGATGATTCAGCGGGGTCCCTGTCCCCCACCAACCCCCCCGTTTTGACCCCTCCCCAGGCAAAGTCTACTTCTTGAAGACGTATCGCAAGCTGAGCTACGCCGAGGCGGTGCAGGCCTGCAAGAACAACGGGGCGGCCGTGGCCAAGGTGGGCCAGCTCTACGCCGCCTGGAAAATCCAGCTGCTGGACCGCTGCGAGGCTGGTTGGGTGGAAGACGGCAGCATCCGTTATCCCATCGTCAACCCCCGGGCACGCTGCGGGGGCCGGGAGCCCGGCGTACGGAACCTGGGCTTCCCGGATAAGAAGTACAAGCTTTTTGGGGTTTATTGCTTTAAAAAAGCTGGTGAGGCTGCCCCGGAGAAGGTGCTGGGTGGGGGGCATCCGAATCGTGTGTGAGGCTCGCCTTCACTGGGAGCACCCCTCGCAGCCCCCAAGCCGTGTGCTGGGCTCCCCGGCAGTGCGGGGAGCTGCGGGCAGCCCCTGCGTTGGAACTGGGAAAGGGGCCCGCGCGCTGCCGGCGCGGCTGCTGCGCCCAAAGCCTGGTGACGCTCGGGGAAACTGAGGCAGCAGGAGGGGAACGACTTCAGTAGCCCAGCCAGGAGCCTGCGCTTGGATCCAGGGCTGGCTCCCCAGCTCATTGCAGTTCTCGCTTCTCAACCAGCATCTTGCATGTGCTAAAGGCCCAGCCAGAGCTTGAGCCCCGCCACGTCCTCATCCTCACGCCCGGGGTCCCCAGCTCCGCGCTGTCCCTGAGGCCACGCAGCACTCCAAACCCCCCCCGGGAGATGCTACGGGCAACCAGCATCCCAGGCCCAGCCAAATCCCACCTTGGCACTGGGCAAGGACCAGGGGGCACTGGGCTTGGCTTCATGCAACACAGGCATCCCGGGGGGGGGCACCCGCAGCCCCTCCAGCACCCGCTTGCCACTGGCCACCCCCCAGGGCCACTGCTGGTGCCGGGTGAGGCAAGTGGCCACGAGCCCGGGGCTGGGGCAGCTCCTCAGCACTTGGCTTCGTGCGGAAGCGGCCGATGCCGGCAGCGGGGTGGCCACTGTCCCGAGCACCGGCACGAGGCTTTTTGCAGCCCTGGCGCTCGCGAGCTGGACGTAGATGAAATAAAAGCTTCGGCCGCTTCGGAGAGCTGAGCCGGGCTCTCGTGTCTCCTTTGCTGGTGCCACCCTCGAGGGGCATCTTGGGTGCGAAAGGGACCCTGGGCTGCCCCGTGCCATGGGGCTGCTCACCCCCACAGCCCTTATGTTCACTCCCTCGTCAGCGCCCTGGTCCTGCTGTGTCCCCCCTCGCAGCCAGGCACGGCCCGAGCATCCCCCCTGCATCTCTCTTGGATTTATTGGGACCAGATCCAAGGGAGCAGCATCACCAAGAGCCACCTTGGGGCATCCCGGGGCTGGCAGCAACCAGGAGCCACCCCAGGGATGGCAGGACATGGGTGGGGACCCCAGGGTCCCTCATGCCAGAGGGGGTTCGGGTCTTCCTCCAGGCCCAGCCCAGCTGAGCACAGGCCATCCATCACCTTTACTGACTGCCAGCGCTGACGAAAATAAATAACTGCTGGGATATGACACCCCCGGCCACCGCGACCCCCAAGAGCTGGGGACTGTGGGTGCCAGGGGCCAGCGGAGCCACTGACGGGTGGCAGCCGGGGTGGGGATGGCAGTCACAGCCCCCTGCACCCCTGGCTAACACCGGCAGCACCCCGATAAATTCATCAGCATCCCCGTGGCTTGTCGGGGCCGGCAGGAAAAGCTGCGGCCGCGCTGCTTCCCGCCAGCATGATTCACGAGCGCTCGGCTCGTGCCGGGAGCAGGCGGCGGGGCTGGCACAACGAGCCCTGGGAGAAAGATTAGCTTTGCTTAAAATTAATATAGTGGCAGCGAAAGGAGGCAGATGGAGAGCGAGGGTGTGAGTCCCCGGACAAGGCAAGGCACAAGGGCTGCAGGGGGGGAACGTCCCCAGGGTCCCCACACCCCACCCTGGACCCCAGGGAAGCGCAGGGTCAGGGCTGCTTAACTGTTAAAAAAATTTATTAAAATGTCCAGCAGTACAGAAAGGCAGAGTCAGAAATGGCATGGGGCTGGGGCAGGGGGGGTGGGGTGGGACAGGGAGGGGGCTCGGGACACGGCAGTCACGTCGCAAACAGCAGAGATCAGAAAGCGCCGTACACACACACACACACACACGCCAACTCCAACGGGGACCCGACGACGAACGGAAAGAGGGAAAAAAATAAACCAACCCCAACCCAGGCGGCAGAGCAGGACACCGGCCCCGGTGGCATCGTCCCCCCCCACGCACCCCCCCGCACCGGGCAGGGTCCCTGTGGCGGCTGCAGGGGTGCCCTGGGGGCAGGACTGGGGTGCTGGAGGGGGATATGGGGAGAGGGGGGCTGCTAAAAAAACAGAGCCACCCTTGGCCAGCGAGACACAACGGCCGAGGTGGGAGATGGAGGGGCTGGCAGATTAACCCCCTCTGCCTTTGGGGAGGGGGGCCAGAGCCCAGGTGGGGAACGGCCCCCACGCAGGGATGGGATGAGAGGGTGGGGGGGAGGTCCCTGTGCAGGGCTGGGGGCTCGACCCCGGGTCGGGGGGGCTGAGCGTGGGGCATGCAGGGAGGGCTGGGGACGCACACACAGCCGCCCCCTCCGGATCCTATTCCCTACGGGGCCGGGCATCCTAGGAGCTAAAGCTGAGGGGGGGGTTATAAAAGAGGGGGGGGGGGAGGGAGTATGGGAGGGGGGGCAGGGAACGTCACCACATCCCGTCGGGGACCCTTGTGCTTCCTCGTCCCCCGGCTCTAGAAGTAGTGGCCCTCCTCCATCCAGTCCAGCCGGAGGTGCTTGCGGTGTTTTCGCCGCTCCTTGCGGGGTTTGTGGTGGTGGTGCTGGTGGTGGGGGTGGCTGTGCCGGTGGTGGTGGTGCCGCCGCGCTCGGTGCGACCGCCTGGCTAACGGGGGGGACAAGGGAGGACACCCGGGGCGGGGGTCAACAAACCACAGCCCCGGGGTGGGAGCTGGTGCCTTGACACCCCCCACCCCCCAGGATCACCACCTCCCCCCGGGCCCCACTAACGTTTTGTGCAGAGGATTTTGGGCCGGTCCCACTTGCCGGTGCTGTGGCACTTGATGGTGGGCACGTGGCGCTGGGTGAAGCCCTCCTCGCACTGGTAGCGCACGCTGGCGTGGATGCTGTACTTCTCCTTCTTCTTCCCCACGGTGAAAGCATTCGCCACCTCCGGCGGGGGCCCGCACAGCACTGCGGGGGGGTGGGCAAGAGAGCCCCGTCACCCCCCTCCCAGCACCCAGAGGGGACACCCTGCCCCTGCCACCGGTTCTCTCCGTGAGCCAACGCGGCGGTGGGTGGCTTTAGGAGGGGCTGCTCCATCAGGTTGGCAGCGAAGTGTTCCCCAGGATTTACTTCGTTAATTAATGGCCTTATCGGGGCGAGCGCATCGTTAATGTGCGACCGGCAGGAGAGGGCGGCGCGCTCCTCCGGCTCGCAACGAGCAGCTGGAGGTTAATATAACTTTCAAGATAAGGAATGAGAACTTAATAGTTTTAATGGTGGCAAATTAAGCAAGTTAAAGTGGAGAGGGAAGAGTGGACTGCAGGGAAAAAAAACAAAAAAAAAAAAAAAAAAAAAAGGAGAAATGGAGATTTGATCCAGGTTTTCCTGGATGAGGGGCTGGGAGAGGTTTCCTGAGGATGAGGTGCTGGGGGGGTGGTGGGGATGCCTGGGGGGGGACACGGGGAGCTGGGGCGGGGGTACCTGTGCCTTTCTTGCAGATGTAGGGCAGGTTGTAGTTGCAGGGCACGTCGTTCCACTTGCCGATCTCGTGGGACACCAGCACCACGCAGTCCTCGCCGCCCGCAAAGAAGTTGTCGGGTTGATTCTCCCGCCAGTTCTCGTATTGCTGGTGGGACACGAGAGAGGGTGAGAGCCCCTGCACACACCCACACCATCCCCGCCCCCCCGAGCCCCCTGCCCCCCCCGCACTTCCAAGGGGCTCACCAAGCCGGTGTTGTCGGTCCACTGGAAATCCTGCTCCACGATCCTGTCATTGAGCCCGATCCAGGTGTTCTCGTGCCCGAAGCCTACGGTGAGAAGCACCCACGGCTCGCACGGCGAAGCACTCCCAGGGGTGTGGGTGCTTGCAGAGCTGTGGGACGGGGTGTTATGTTATCCCCCCCCCACCCCCCCCTCCCCAGCACCGTTGATGAAGCCGTGCTCCTCCCGCGAGTGGATGCTGGTGAGGTGGCCGGCGCGGCGGCGGCAGTCCCGCTCCGCGTCCTCCCAGGAGCGCCGGCGGGCGAAGTACCGGTAGCAGTGACCCTGGAACTTGTGCCAGTTGTGGTCGCAGCCCTCCGTGTCTGTGGGGAGATGGGGACAGTGGGGGGACCGGCCCACACCACACCACACCCCCCCCCCCCCCAGCACCCCGGGGAGGGATGCAGGGAGCAGCTCTGCATCATGGCTGGGGTGGGGGCAGGACTCCTGCATCCCCTTCCCAGCTCCCCACGCTCATCCCTGAAGCGAGAGGGGCTGGGCAGTGTCCCCATGGGGGTCTCACCCACTCCGTGGTGACACATTAAAGGGGGGGGGGGGGGGGAAAACACACCGGGGGCTGCGCTCCCCACCTTTCTCGCAGCGGCTGCCGCCGTAGCTGGGCAGGCAGAGGCAGACGAAGGAGTTGACCTCGTCGATGCAGGTGCCGCCGTTCTGGCAGGGGCTGGACAAGCAGTCGTCGATGTCTGCGGGGACAAACCGGGAGCTGCGGGCACGCAGAGACCCCCCCTCCCACTACCCTTCCAGCCTATATTCTGCCCCCCCAACCAGCGGCGCCTGAAGATGGGGAACGGGGAGAATCAGGCTGGATTTAGAGCCGCAGCCCCGTTCCCCTCCCCGTTTCCAAGCTGCTCCGTGCCCAGGGACACGCAGGCAGGGCCGCATCCTGCCCCGGCACGGCGGGGTGCTCCGGCCGCTCACCGATCTCACAGTTCTCCCCGGTGAAGCCCGGGGCGCAGCTGCAGCCGCAGACGGTGCCGTTGGCGCGGCAGGTCCCGCCGTGCAGGCAGGGGTTGTTCTGGCAGGGGTCAGCCGGAGCTGCGGGGTGGGAGTGGGTGCCCTGAGCCAGGGTGAGGGGACACACACATCCACACACACCCCCCCCATCCCACAGCACCCACCCCTTCCCCACCGGGACCCAGGGTCTGGACCTGCCCCGGCGCTGCCGGCTGCCGCACATCAACTGCGGTGCCTTTTCCTACTCTTTAAATATATTTGCTGCCTTTGCACGAGCCGCAGCCGGGCAGCGTGTGCCGCGCGTCCCCCATCAGCAGCCGCCTCTCCAGCTATTATTATTAGCAACTGCAAATATTAAATATTGAAGAGGATGCTTTCCCAGCTCATGTTAATAGCTCAGCTGGCTTTGAAAAAACGCAGAATCTGCTCCCAGCCCATCACGGTTGCCAGAAACTCCCTGGTGAGTAAATTGCTTTGGGTAAAAGGAGAGACCCTACCCCAAACCTCTGCCCGAAAACCATCCCTGTAGGTCGGCACCACGCTGCTGCTGGGGGGGTGTGTGGTTAACCTTGAGGTTGTCTCATCACCCAGCCTGTTTTTCCCTGTGCCCATCAGCTCTCAGTGCCCCCAGCACGCCACTCACCGTGCTGGCTGGTGTTATCGGCGCCCGCCCAGGCCAGCAGCTCCTCGCCGCTCCCGCTGTCAGCATCCAGCAGCGGGGACCCCCCCGGCCCCCCCAGCTCCGTCACTGTGGAGTGCTCAAAGAGCGACCCCGTGCTCAGGGACTCGGGCACCTCCAGCACCCATGGGTGGGGGGCAGTGGGTGATGGCCACGGGCTGTGGGTGGCTGAGCTGAGGGGTACAGGGGGCTCTTCCCTCTTCGCCTCCCCGGAGGCATCTTCCTCGCCGGGGGCTGCCGGTGCATCCTCATGGCTGGGGACACCCGGGGGTCCGGGGCTGGTGGGGGGGGGCAGGAGGAGATGCTCCGCTCCCCCCAGCCCCGCTGCACGTGGGGCTGTGGGGGCAAAGCCCGTGGACCCTTCCTCAGCCTCCAGCAGCCGCTCGGTGCCAACCCGCGGGGTCACCTCGCCAGCCGCGGCGGGAGGCGAAGGGACATCCCGCGCCGGGGGGGACGAGGCTGCTTCGCCACTCAGCTTGGCTCGGCCAACCCCAGCATCCCCAGACCCGTCCGGCTGCTCACGGCTGGGCTCAGCCGGCGGCTCGGCCGGCCCGTGGGGAGCTGTGGGGTTCAGCTCCCCCCAGGACCGGGGAGCAGCTGCCTCAGTGGGGCTGGGGGTGGTGGGGTGCCCCATGGAGGGACCAGCCGGGTGGAAGAAGGTCAGTGCTTTCCTCTGCCTCTCCAGCAAGCCATCGCCTGCGGCCCCGCTGCTGTCACCGCCGTCACCGTGGGGCTGCGGGGCCGTCTCGGGGCCCTCAGCCACCAGTGGGGCCGGGTGCAGTGGGGTCTGTGGCGGGACAGAGCCACCATCCTCCGGGGAGAGGGTGTCCCCGGAGAAGTCCTCGGTGGCATCTGGAGGTGGCTGGGGGGAGTTCCCACGGGCACTGGGGACACGGGGCTGAGCCCCGATCGCGGTGATGTCCCGGTGGCCGAGAGCGTCGTGGGGAGCCACAGAGGCAGGCAGGGGTGGGGATGGAAGAAGGGGTGTCCGTGCTGTCCCCCCAGGATTGTGGGGGGCTGTGCGGGGGCTCCACCACGGTGAATCCCTCCGGGCAGACGCCTGTGGCAAGGGGGACACCAGGGCGGTGGCCGGTGCCATCAGCTCTGCAAGAGATGGCACAGCCATGGGGTCCCTGAGCCAGTGCAACCCCCACCAGGACAGCCCCCCCCCACCCCCCCCCGGCGCTTTCAGGCATCACTTACCGGGGCTGATCTCCTCCTCCACCGCGTTGGAGGGCAAGTAGGGGCTCTTGGTGCCGGCATGGGGGATGCTCCCCATCTCCACCGCGTCAGCTGCAGCCCCCTTCACCTCCAGGGCCAGGATGGGGGCCTGGGTGACCGTCCCCACCGGTTCCCCGGCCACCGTGGGGTCTCTGGCCACCGGTGGGTCCCCAGCCACCACCGCGGGGTCCCGGCTCTGCCGCTGCAACTGGAAGTAGCGCCCGTTCAACCCGGCGTAGCTGCTCCGCCTCGGGGCGCGGGAGCTGGCCGGTGGGGTGCTGGGGGTCTCTGCGCCCGCACCGGGGACCATCCCCAGCCCGGGCGGTGCCAGCGGCGAGCCGGTGACGTGCTCCCAGGCTGGGCTTCGGGACTGCGGCAGGAGGGTGGCGGGGGGCTCCTCGGGGTCTTCTCGCACCGGCGGCGCTGTGCCGGTGCTGAGCGGATCCTGGTCCACCGCGTTGAGAGCTTCGTCCTCACGGGGCCGTGCCGGCGAGGAGGCGGTGGTGGGAGGCAGGGATGGATCATCGCCCAGCCCCAGCCCACGAGGCGCCGGCGCGGCCCCGGGGAGGTCACCGCGCCGTGCCGCCGGGCTGCCGCTCGCTGCCCCCTGCAACTGCTCGTCCTCGCCCGGCTGTGGCGGGAGGCTGGAGTGGGCGCGTGGGGCGTCCCGGGTGTCCCCCGAAGCGCCCGGGTCCTCGCTGTGCTCCACCAGCACGTTGTCACTGCCCAGCGGGTCAGACGCGGGCGGCACCGGCTCCCTCTGCCCCGCGGCTGCGGTGAGACCACGAGCATCAGCCGCGCCAGCAGCGGGCCCAAGGGGCACGAGTGGGGCCCCACATCCCCCCACCCTGGGCTCTGTACCAGCCACCGCATCCCCCAGCCTTTCCCTATGCCAAGGTGATGCCTGGAGCTGGGCTCCCTCCCAGCGCAGCTCTCCTCATTTATCTCATTAATTCCCCAATTAAATATTCATCCACAGCAATTTTCCTGGCCATGCCCACTGATTCCCAAGGGAAGAAGGGCTGGGGCTGGCGGGGGGGGGATATGGTGGCCGATCCCCCTTACCTTTATAGCAGTAGGCATCAAATTTGGAGGTGGCGGGGGGGAAGCCGGTGCGGTTGGGGAACTGGTAGAGGGTCCTGACACCCGAGGCTTCGCCACCGCATTTCCTGCGCGGGAGCCTGATGGGGTAGCGGACGCTGCCGTCGGCTAGCCAGCCCGGGTCGCACTGGTCCAGGCCCTCTCGCCACGCCAGGTAGAGCTGCCCGGTGGTGGCTAGCGAAGCCCCCCGGCTCCGGCAGTGCCTCCGGGCCTCCTGCCAGGTGAATCGCCCCGGCACCGTGGCATAAAACACCATCCCTGCAAGAGAGCAGAGCCCGTCGGGGACGCGGGGACAGAAAAGCCGGCACGGAGTCGCCATGACTCAAGCGCTGTGGTGACGCCGAGCGCCGGCACGGCACCGGGGGTGACACCAAGTGCCGGCACGGCCCCCAACCCCGCAGGCACGAGATGCGTGGAGATGCCCGCGACCCCGGTCGCTGCCGGAGCGACGTCCCCGAGCACCCGCCCGCCGTGGCACCGCTTGCCTCCCAGCTCCCGGGCGTAGCAGTAGACGTCGTACTCCTCGCCGGGCTCCCTCCGGCCGTAACTGCGGACGCCGGGGAGGCTGTTGCGGTCTCCGTAGCAGCCAGGCCGGGAGAGCGTGATGGGGTACCTGCCGGAGAGAGGGGCACGGCGGGCGCTCAGCCCCACGGCTGCCCGCGGCGAGGGGTGCCCGGCCGGCAGCCCGTGCCCTGTGCTTACCGCACGGTCTGGTCGGCCAGCCAGCCCGCGTCGCAGTTGTCGTAGCCGTCCTCGAAGGCGGCCTGGAGGTGCTGGGCTGAGGCGATGACGGCCGAGTTGGCCAGGCAAGCGCGGCGAGCGGCGGCGAAGGTCAAGGCGTAGCGCTGGCCCTCGGGGCGGTAGTGGAAGACGACGCCTGGAAGGGCAGCGGGTGGCAGAGCTGGCACGGGGTGCGGGGGGTGCAGGGGGTGGATGGCTGGGACGAGGTGCAGGGCTTGCGTGGGGCACGTGGCTTGCACGTCCTTGGCCAGCTCGTACAGGGTGCAGGGCTCTCATGGGGTGCACAGGGTGGAGGGCTCGCATGGGGTGCAGGGCTCACACAGGTTGTAGAGGGTGCATGGGACGCACAGCTTGCACACGGTGGGTGGCTTGTAAAAGGCGCAGGGCTCACGTGGGGTGCACGGCTCACATGGCTTGTAGAGGGTGCACGTGCTTGGATGAGTTGTACGAGGTGCAGGGCTTGCACAGGGTGGATGGCGTGCACAGCTTGTAGAGGGTGCACAAGGTGCATGGGTGTACAGTTTGCATGGGGTGCATGGTTTGAACGGGGTGCATGGCTCACAGGGGGTGCATGGAGTACATGGGGTGCACAACTTAACACGGGGTGCATGGCGTGCACAGCTTGCAGAGGGTGCACAGGGTGCATAGGTGCACAGTCTGTGTGGGGTGCATGGCTTGAACGGGGTGCAGAGGGTGCACAGTTCACAGTGGGTGCATGGAGTACACAGGGTGCACGGCTTGCACGAGGTGCACAGCTCACAGTGGGTACATGGAGTACACGGGGTGCATGGCTTGCACGGGGTGCACGGCTTGCACAGCCTGTGAAGGATGCCCGGGGCCCACACCGCACAGGGGCAGCCGTGCCACCCCACCGTGGTCCCCGCTGTGCCCCTGCCACTCTCCCGCCCAGTGCCACCCGTCCCCCCGGGTACCCCCCACCCCGGCTCACCCGTCACCTCCAGCGGCAGCAGGTCCTGCTCATCCTCGATGCCGGCCACCACCTCGCAGCGGTACAGCCCCGCGTCGCTGGCGCGGGCGCTGCGCAGCAGCAGCGTGGCGTTGGAGCGGGCGCGGGGGTAACCGGGCAGGGACACTCGGCCCTCGTAGGCTTTCACCACCTTCACCGCGTTGTCCTTGGCCACCAGGATGGGGACATCCTCCCTCTGCCCGCTGGCCGAGCGCACCTTGCTCCATTTGACACGGGGCGGGTCGGGAGGCTCGTTGGGCCCCAGCGAGGCGGGGGGCTGGAGCAGGAAGAGGCAGGGGAGGGCCACGGGCTCCCCCAGCCCCACGCGCACAGCTTGGTGCTGCACCCTGTTGATGTGGATCACCTTCCCCTCGTCCTGAGAGCCTGCGGGGGCGAGGAGGGAGGGGGGGGGGGGGAAAAGAGGCGCCCAGATACCACGGGGATGGGCGGCGGGAGCTCCTGCAGGGCTCTCCTTTGTAGCGGGGAGAGCCGGGGGCATTGCAGGGTGTTGGGGGCTCCGTACTGGGCAAGGCAACCCTGACACACACACACCCCCCGAGGAAAAGCACGAAGCAGGCTGATGCAGCAACCTCCCTGTCTAGAGGCTGGAGACCGACTCTGCCCATTAAATCCGCCCCTCCAGGGCTGAACCCCCGCCTCGGCCAAGTCCCCCAGCTGCCCCCCCCCCCAATGCTGCCAGGCTGTAGCCACTGCTCTGCACCCACTGGTCCCACACCTCCCCCACGGGGACGTCAGGACTCCCCGTCCCTGCCCGCAGAGGTGGACCCCTCGCCAATGACTCGGTGCCATCCAACCCCTGCGGGAAAACCATCCCCATGCTGGGATAAAGCACGGCAGCGATCACAACCTCGACCTCTTCCTCCTCCTCCTCCTCCTCCCTCATTAATCCTGCCCCAGCTCCGCCGCTGCAAATCCCACGTGTCCCCAAAACCCCCGTGGCCCAGCTCTCTCTGCCCCCAGTGGGGTCGGGGGGATGGTCCCTGCAGAGCTCAGCCGGCTGGCAACCGAAGACGGCCACTAATCCCTGCCTGCACCTTCCCCCCCTCTCCCCCCCCCCCACTTCCCACCCTCCTTCACACCCCTTTGCTCACTGGGAGATGCATGGGGAGGGTACCAGGGTGGGGGGACCCCAAAGCCCCCATGCAGCGGGATGCCACGATGCCCCTGCCAGAAGGGACAGGGGGGACATGGGCTCTCCCAGTCAGAGACACAGCAAATCCCCGGGGGGCTCAGCTCCACGGTGGGGAGGGGGACGGGGGTGCTGTCAGCGGGATTAAGGATTTAAGGTCTCGCCTGCAGGAATCCCAGCATGGGGGGGGGGGGGGGGTTGTCCACGGTCGCTTGGGGGAGTTTCTCTCTTGATAATCCCCCACAGCCCAGGGCAGGGAGGCGTGGGGCGCTGCAGCCTGAGCCCTCCCCTGGTTATTATTCCCCCTCGCTATTTCTTTATTACAGCTGATAGTGCACTATTTGTTGCTGTCTACCGTTATCGGCTAATTAGCCCCAGCAGCACTTACCCAGGACGGCGATGGGGAGGAGGGAGAGCCCGAGCAAGAACCAGCAGCCGGCATCCCCCATCACATGGACCATCCTTGACCTGCAACAAGAGCGGGGAGGGTGGGAGGCCGCTGCTTGCCCGCTCCCTGCTTGTTCGGCAACGCCGGCGGGCCGTAAATCACCGCCGGGGCCGCGCTGACACCAACCTCCCGGGAGCCACGAGGAGGGAGCAGGATTGGCCCCGCTCCGCAGGATGCCGTTAGCCCGGCGAGAGTTTGATTTCACTCCCGGCATGAAGCCGGTGTGGGGTCGGGGTGGAGGCTGAGGTGCCACCCATCAACCCACCAAGCCTGCCGGGGCATCCCTCTGTGTCCCCTGCCACCAGTGCCACCCACGGGGACACCCCTGCACCAGTGCACCGCTGGAGGTGGGACACACCTGGGGGTCCCGCAGCCTCCCGGCAGCCGCAGAACCAGCCCCTGCTCTGTCCTCAGCATTAACATGCAGCCAACGCCTCCGGCTGCCGGAGCCGGCGTGCGGCGCGTGGAGCACAAAGCCGGCACCGCCGCTCACCGAAAAATCTCCCATCCATCTGTTTGACTGCAGCGGCGATTAGTATTTTCTAAATCATTTAGTCTCCGGACTCGGAGGGGAGTCAGAGAGACTGCCCACCCGGCGTGGGCATGACCGCCACCCAGCTCCCACCACCACCATCCCCCGGCTCCCGCCACCGCCACAACCCCGCTCGGGCTTTGTTTGGGGTTTTAACTAGGCTCCGGCACCCCATGCCACCAAACCAGAGGCAGCGGGGTTGCAACCGGCACCCCCAAACCCCAAATGTGGCCGTGCTGAAGCTCGGCACAAGCTTGAGCCAGGCCTAGGGTCCCCCAAGCACAGCCATATCCAGTGTGGGGTCTGCTGGTCCCCACTACAGCGTGAGGGTCCCCCCAACTTTGACATCAACTGCTGACCTGTCCCTTGGCCAGGACAGAGAGCCGGGGAGCATTAAGCTTTGGGGGGACACCAGGAGCCCCCCATCTCTCTCCCAGCTGCCCGAAGCCAAGGCTTCAGCTCAGCCCACAGGTTCCCCCATCCCTGATGCTCCATTTTCCAGCCCTTGATTTCTCATTCTGTCCCTTCTGCTTTCAAGGGACAAAAATAGAAAGAAAGAGCAAAATGGAGAGAAAAAAGGAGACACCCCCCCCCCCCCCCCATGTTCAGCACTGGAAAATGGCCTTTTGGGGGGTGCAGAACTGACTTTTATCTCTTCTAAAGAGGAAAGCATTTACAGCCCCGTCCCTCCTGCAGTAGCAACGCAGGGCTTTCTGCCTCCAAACCCATCAAAGATGAGGAGGTGACCTGACCCCAGCTCCGGCCATGGAGGGAAATTCCCGGGGTGCAGAGCGGGAAATGGGCTGCGGCTCACTGCATCTGTACCCAGCCATGTCCCCCGGGAGCCAAACAACCCCAGAGCAGCCCCGGGGCTGCTCCACAGCACCGGCAGCATGACAGCGGCTCCCTCCCTGCTCAGAGATGCTCCAGAAGGGAAATCCCTGGGGCTCATGGCCTCGGGAGCACCAAACTTTTCCCTGCGTTCCCACTACAGGAGGAAAAAAAATAAATTGCTTGGCACAGTCAGGCTCAGGAGGTTCCAGTTCCTCCCCATTGAAATGGTAATTTTTCTTTTTCTGGGGGTGTGCAGAGCTCTCCCAGCACAAATCATCAGCACTGGGGTGTGGGATGGGGTGTCTCCGGGGCAGCTCCTGCCCACCCCATCCTTCTCCGAGCTGCCACCCCGGGACCCACTGGGTGAGGGTGGGGCTGTGGGTGCAGGATGGGGGAACCAAGACACTCAGTCCTGGGGCACAAGGGTGCCCTGGGCTGTGCTCACAAACATCCCAGGGCTTTGAATCACCCACAGGCCCTTTCTGATCTTTTCACCCAGTTTTCTTTTTCGCATCCCTCGACGCTCCCACCCTGCAGCTTCCAGGAGACTCTTCCCATCAAAGGGCAGACAAGACAATTTCCCACACGGGACAACAGCGACGGGGTCTCACTTCCCGATACCTCTCTGCAGCATCCCCGAGACCTTTCCCTTCTCCATCCTCCTCCTCCCCAGCCCGTGGCCACCCCAGCTCCCAGCAAGGCAGCCCCCATTCCAAGCCACAACCTGGGGCTACCAGCCCCAAACCGCGGGGCCCCGGCCCCATGTCCTGCCCAGGGCCACGTCAGTGTGGTGGCACGGAGCCCAAGGGACCCGAGAGACCCTGAAGAGCCACAGTAATGTGCTGGGGTATAAATACTCCTCTAAGCTCTCGGCTGTTTACCCAGAGCTGCTGTTCTGGAGACGGGTCCTCGCTGAGCAAACGCCGGGCAGCACTGCTGGGTAAACAGCCCAGGGTTTATTTAAATGTTAAACAGGAAAGTTGCTCTTTGGATTTGCAACCACTACCCCAACCGGCTGCGGGAGCCGGGTGCACGCCGTGCCGGGGTGGGATGGATGAGACCGCGGTCCCTGACCCCACCGGGAGCACCCCAGGCTGGCAGCACCGGGCGAGTGGGTGCTGCCGGCGGTGAGGGGCTGGGGGGCTCGGGGTTGGGGGGCCACAGGGCTGTGTGGCTCCGGCAGCACCGTCGCCTTCCCTGACATCAGCATTTCTGTGGGTTTTGCTTTCGCAGCAGGGAAGGTGCCGCGGTGGGAAGGGCCGGCCTCACTGGCAGCGCCCGCTGCCTCCTTGGGGAACCCAGAACCTGGGCAGGGGGGTCCCGGGCTCCCCCCCACCCCGGGGACGGGACACACAACCCCAGTCTGTCGCTCCCTTGGAGCCACCCGGCTGGCACCCCTGCCCTCAAAGCACACGGGGACCACGTTCCTGGTGGCACAGGAACCACGGAGACAAAGGAAGGTCCCCACCACGCTCTGCTCCCCCCAGCCCCCCACCAGATCCCCGGCTGCCACCTCCGCCGAGCCTGGCCCTGTGCTGAGCCAGCAAAAAGTTTATCCCAAGGTCAGGGCAAGCGGCATGGCAGCTTCCATCCCTGCCCGTGCCAGACCCACCGCACACGGCGTCCCCTGTGCGAGGACCCCCCCCCCCCGCACCACGCCGGCACTGCCCCCGGGCAGCATCCTCCCAGCCTTGGCACCTCGTTAATTATTGAGATGTCTCCCTCCCACCTCCTCTTGATCCACTAACCCACAATCCAGCTCCAGAAGCACCGGCTACGGTCACGGCCAAGTTCCGATCCCAAAACACCAGGATCAGCCCGGGCTAAATCCTGGCTCCCCGCTGCTGCCAGCATGGCTCAGCACCATCAGCCTCCGCGCCAAGGCAGGGAAGCAGCACCAGTCCCATCGCCCAGGGGCAGGATCTGGACGGTGTCCCTGCAGGCTCAGCTACGCCGGGCATCACTGTGCCATCCCCAGCGGTGACAGCAAGGTGAGGTGGGTGGCACTGGGAGCCAGCACTGGCCATGCCATCGTGAGCCCAAGGGGCTGAATTTCACGGGGCAGGGGGGTCTCCCTCTGCAGTCGGGGCGATGCCACAGGCTCAGGGCACAGTGACATCCCCGGTGCCACGTGGCTGGGCCCCCTCGGGGACAAGGAGCTTGGCCCCGTCCCCCGAGCCAGCCCCAGCCGGGGGAACGGCAGCCGAGAGAAATTTAAAATAACACCGGTGCAAAGCCGCCCCCCCCCCCCCCCCCCCCCCAAACCCGGGCGAACATTTTCACATCTGTCACTAGCTGTCACTTCATGAATAATTCATCTGGCTCATGAATATGCAACGCCGAGGCTGGTGATTAGCTTCAGCTGAAACATAGCTTAATTCCTCACAGGCCATTGGGCGCTGGGACAACCCAGCCAGTTTTGGGGTCTTCTCTCACCCCAACCTGGCCCAAGCCATGGGGTGGGAGGGGGGTGGCTCTGGACCCTGGGGACCCCGCGGAGCTGAGGGGACATTTGGGACAGTGCTGGGGGGGGCACAGGCTTGGGATGGGTGGGAGGGAAAGCAGGGCACTGCCCACCCACCCAGGCAGCCTGGATGCAGCGGGACAGGGGTGCCCCCCACCCTGGGGATGTCCCAGCCCTGGGGGTGCCCCGCAGCTGCCCCCCAACCAGGGCACAGACCCTGTGACCTCTGCTGTCCCCATGGGTCGCTCCGGTCCCCAGTGCCACCAGCACACACACGGCATTTCGGTGCCCACCCACCTGGCGTGTGTGTGTCCCCCCCCCGCCCTGGGGACCCCACAGGGCTGATCCTGCACCCAACCCCACCAGATCCATCAGCCCCCCGCACCCCCCACCCCCCCCACCCCGCAGCACCCACCTCCCTCCCAGTGCCATGATGTCTCCGCCGCCCAAATGGGGAGGGGGTGTCCATCGAGGGCCCCCCCCCGGGGCTGCGTGGCCACGGCGGGAGCCTGGCGACGGGGCCAGCTCCGCGTCCCCTCCTCTCTGCCCACAACAAAGGAATTCTGCAAACCTCGCTGCCGTCACATCTCACAGGCAACGTGATGCTTCCCGCTCCCCCCCAGCCTGCGAGAATAAATTAGCACCTCAGAAAACTGTGATCCCGTCCAATATGGGCCCTTTGCTGGGTGCGATTTTTATTAGGCAGACAGTCTGCAGCCTTTATTTTAGATTTTGCTCTTCTTTTTATTTTTTTCCACACACACCCCCCCCCTCCGCTTGCTGTCTCTCCCCGGGGAAGCTGAAAGCACCGCGGGAGCCCCAAAGCTAGCGCAGCATCGTGGTAAGCGCCCCCCACCCCCCCACACACACCCCCCCGGCCCCATCCCTGCAGATAGCTCGGTCACACACCGGCGAGCGACTCTGAAAGCAGCACCGGTGCTCAGCACCGAAAACGGGGCCCGAGAACACCGGGCTGGTGGGCCTGGCATAGAACCGGGCCCCCGGCACCGGCCTCGCCACCGGTGTGGGGTTTGCCGAGCCCCTGGGCCGGTGTGTGGGGGCAAGGAGCCCCAAACCCCTCACCGGTACCCGCACCCGCATCTGTCTGTCCTGGCAGCCCTCGGTCCATCCAGCCCGGCCTCACCGCATCCTCATGCCGGGCCACACGGGCTGGGACTCATTCTGCCCGTGGTGCAGAGTCCTCACTGCGCTGCCAGCCCTCCCGGGTAGCCGGGGGCACCCCGGGGATGCGAAACTTCCCTCCCTGCCAGTTCCCCACCAGCGGGGAACTGGGGGGCCAAAGCGTGGCGGGGCAGGGGGACACGCCGAGGCACACCCAGCTCCCGCACCGCAGAGGGATGACACCCCGGTGGGCACCCAGCCACCAGCACCTGCTGCCCTCCTGCCACCCCTCGCCCCTTCTCCCCGCCAGCGTCCCCCAGCCCTGCCTGTCCCACTGGCCCCAGTGCCGGTGTCCCCCACCCTGAGAGCCTTGGTCCCTCCAGTGTCCCCCTGCTCTGAGGTCCCCAGTGGCCCCTTATCCTGATGTCCCCACAACCCCAGTGGCCCCAGCACCATCGCCCCCCGCCTCAGCTGCCCCCAAGCCCACTCCCGATCCCCCCCTCAACCCCAATCCCAACATCTCCACCCCTGACAGCCCCAGTCCCCTCCGTGTCCCCAACCCTCGCTCACAGCATCTCCCCAACCCCAAGGCCACCATCCTTCAGCCCTGTCCACCCCGGTCCCCACAGTGTGTCCCCCCCCAGACCATTGTGTGTCCCCCCGCCTCCGACAGCCCCGTTGTCCCCACCGTGTCCCCAAGCCCGGATTCATCCCGCTCCTGCCGTAGCGGTGCCACTGTCCCTGTCCCTGTCCGCTCCCACCGCCCGGCCCGGCACCGCAGCGGGGGCGCGGCGCGGGCGGTGCCGGTTCCCGGTGCCGGTTCCCGGTGCCGCACGTACCTGGGGCCGCACTCACGGCGCGCAGGGGGTCATCGCCGCCGGTGGAGCCGAGCACCCCGCCGGCACCGGGGGCTTAAAAAAGCGGGGCGCGGAGGGGAAATAAGGGGGTGGGGTGGGGGGGTGGGCAACGGGCCGGACCCCCCCGGAGGGGGCCGAGCCGGGCCGGGCCGGGCCGGGCCGGGCCAATCGCGGCTGGCGGCAGGCGCGGCCCCCCCGCTGGTGCCGCCCGCCCGCCCGCACCTGCCCGCAGCGGCGGCGAACCCGCGCCCGCTCCGCGCCCCGCCGCGCTGCCCGGCGCAGGGCGAGGGGCGGCCGCGCATGCGCCGCCCCCCCCCCACCCCAAAACCCACCCACACCCCCCCCAAACCGGGGCCACCCTCCACATCCCCCTCCCGGCAGGGCCGCCCCCCCCCCCCCCCCCCCCCGGCGCAGCCCCCGCAGCCGCGGTTGGTAAAGACGCGGGGGGGGGGGGGGGTGTCCTTGTAATGGGGGTGGGGTCCCTTCCAGCCCCTCCGTAGCCCCCCCCCCCCTCCGAAAGTGGGGGGCCCGGCGTGCCCCCTCGCCCCTGTATGCAACGCACCCCGCCTCCCTCCCCCGTTCCTGCACTGCATCCAAGCAGAATTTTAAAGGGGTCTCCAAAACAGGGGGGGCACCTTCCATCCCCTCTGCAGCCCCCCCAAACCATTGTAGGGCCCCCCTCTATCCCTGCCCTCCGACCCAGTGGGATTTTAGGGTATTTCTAAATAGGCAAGCGTCTTCCAGCCCCTGCTGCACCCCAAAATTCCATCCAAGCCATACAGGGTGCAACCAGCAGCACCTTCCATCCCCCCCGCACCCCCATACTAGCCCCATATGGGGGGGGGGGGGGGCTAGAAGATGCTGAGGGTGGCTGAAGTCTTGAAAAAGCCCGAACAACCCAAATAAAACGGGGTGAGACACTCCAGGGAGCTGTGATACCAGAAACAATCCCCAAAATGGGGGAGGAAACCATCACTGAGCTGTTGGAGAGGGTTTGGGGGTGGGAGGGGGGGGTCACCTTCCCATCGGTGAATGGAGAATGTCACCCTGTCTCCCACAGCTTGGCAAAAAAAATATTTCTTTCCCCCCTCACCCCCCCATTTTCCCCATAGGATGGGTCCACGGAAACCCGAGAGCAAAGTTCTCATTTCCGACTCCATTGTGCCAGACTTTTCGTGGCGTTTCCTGCCTTTTGTGAAACCCCCCCCCCTCCACCGGCACAACCCCGGCGTTGTCGGCACACAGAGCTCTTCTGTTCCCCGTCTTTATGTGGCTGCAGCTGGCGTCCCCGTCCCCACGTAGGTGCCCAAGCATGGGGGGCAGCAACAGGGGTTAATCCCCCCGTGGTGTTCGCCAAACAAAATTGGGGAGAGGGTCCCAGGGGATTTACCAGCACGCTGATGTCTCAGCTACTTCCTGCTCCGAGCGGATCCAGGTGGCTGGTGCTTCACCCTATGGGTCCTGCCATCCTGCTTTGGCAAGGGCACCCATGGGTGCTGCTTGGGGGTTTCCTAAGCTTCATCCAGAAAGCCGATGGCACCGGATGATCCGCACGATGCATTGGGCACGGGTCGGGGATTAGAGGGGTTCATCCCAGAGCCCAGCTCCTCCCCGCACACGGTGCTGGGAGGGGGCTCCCCCCTCAGCACCCACGTCCTGTGGGCCACCCTTCGCTAACGGGCAGCAGGCGCGGTGATGAAACTGCACCCAGCCTTGACCCGTGGCGGGAGCTGGAGCCACTCAGAGACTCAAACCTCCCCATGGGCTCGGAGCAACGAGGGGCAGGTGAGGGGGGAGTGGAGGGACCCCAGACACCCACCCACCCACATCTCGAGGACCCCAGGTGGGCCCCGACAGAGGCAGCGTGGCTGATCTGCCGTCGGCCATTTGTCTGGCTGAGGAAGGTGCCGGCAGTGAGTTATCGGAGCTCTCCTCTCGAGTGGAGATAAATGTCATAACAGACACCAGCCAGCGCGGCTTATGGATGGGGATTTAATAGACACCTCTCCCCCCGCCCGCCTCCCCGCGCCGGTGGCTGCTCCGCGCACGGAGACCGCGGTGGCGACCAGCTTCTCCACTGGCACCAGTTTGGAGCCTGAATATCCCCCCTGGCTGGTCCCTCCAGCTGGGAGGTGACTTCACGGGGTCTCCCCCACCCCTCCAGGCCCAATCTGGAGCCCCAACATCCCGCCGTGGCCATCCCCGCATCCGGGTGGGAGAGGAGAGCTGCCTGGCACAGAGGGATGTCCCCATGTCCCCAATCCTTGCGGGGCTCGGTATCCCCCTCCGCACCCCCAGCCCCACGTCCCGTTCTAATGACATCGCCCCAGCAGCACCGCTGGCTCTGCCCTGAGCTGCTCCCACCAGGTAGCACCCGCTGTCACCAGGTCCCTGCTGCACCCCACGTCACCAAACCCCTGGGGACAGGCCGGGGCCGGGTGGCCCCTGGGGCAGCGGTGGTTGGGGTGACTCCATCCCTCGGTCCCGCTCACTCGGCCCCAGCCCTGGCAGGTTTGGCACCGGCATCTGCCGGGGCGAGCAGGGCCCCAAGTGTCTTTTTGAGCTGGAACGCTGGGTTTCTGGTGAAATCCTGCAGCAGTGTTGCCGTGACGACCCTCCTGCAGTTTCCATCCAGAGATGTTTTCCTTTGTTGTGACAGGGACGCGGGGAGGCGGCCGCTGGCAATTGGGGTGCGCGGTGGTGATGGCAAGGGGCTCTCGCTGCGAAGGGCCAGGACCCACTGCTGCCCCCAGGGGAGACCTGGCAGGGCTCTGGCTCCAGTGTGGGGCTGGGATGGGGGGTCCCCCCATAGCTCCAGCACAGCTCTGGCTTGTCCTCAGCCACCCAGGGGAGAGCAGAGGAGCCAGGAGCCACGTGACATGAGTTTGATAGGTCTCAGCCAGGTCTCGCTCCCATCAAGAGCCACAACAGAGAGGTGACATGGCCAACCTGCAGCGTGGGGACAAGCGTGGGGACACCGCAGAGTCCCAAAGGGGATGGAGGGGTTGGCCCTGCAAGAGCAGGTGGCGAAGCACCATCATCACCCTGATGACAGAGCCAGTTTGGGGGGCGGCGAGACCAGGAGCCTCCCAAGCTCCGGTGCTGCCCCGTTTGGCAGCCGGGGCTGCAGCACCGTGACCGGGGTGCTGAGCAGCATTGCCGCTGCCATCCTGCGGGTGCTGAGCACTGTGGGACCGGGGTGCCGGGGACCTTCCCTGCGTGGTGAGGGACCACACAGCTCCCTGTGGCTGGAGCACGGCCGCGTGCCCCAGTCCCCGCATTGCTGGGGGTGCGTGGGGAGGTTGGGGGGGGGGACACCCCGTCCCGCACCCCACGGAGCCGCTTGTTATTCCGCTCAGGTCCGCCGGCAGCTAATGAAGCCCCGTTCCAGGAGAGCTGCCACATTCATCGGGAGAGCGGCTTATTAATGAGGCCTCTGCCACCGCAGCTGGGGCCAGCGCTCGGGGCACTGGCATGGGGACAGGCAGCGGGAGGGCGGACGGACGGACGGACAGACAGCTCTGTGGCAGGGCGATCCAGAGGCTGGTGCCTGTCCTGGCTGAGCTGCTGGTCCGACACTGGAGCTGGATCAGGGTAGGATGCCCCCAATCCAGGGTCTGCTCTGGAGGGGATGGGCTGAGCCCCAGCACCGTGGACCCGCTTTGGGGCTGCCCCTGACCCCCCACCTGCGGACCTGGCTGCGGCTTGTTTCTGCTTTAGGTCAAGGCCAAACCTTCCCTGCAGTACAACCTGGGCACAGCGGTGACGGCACAGAGGGGTCCAGGCTGGGGGCTGCAGCATCCCCCCCCAAACAGGGACCTGCCCTGGCTGAGCCCAACTTCCCTCCAAACCCACCGGCAGGATGCATTGATTTTATTTTCTGTTTCCATGGCAACCACCTCCTTCCCTTCCCCCTTCCAGCAGCTGGACCTGCTCCTTCGCCCTCTCACAGCACCCAGCCCCGGCCAGCACCCACCCATGGGGGACACGGGCTGTGACCCAGCATGGTCCCCTCCTCTAGGGACTCTTCTGGGTGGCAATGCCACCAGCTCAGCGTCCACGGGCAGGGCCTGATCCTGTACCCTGGTGCCCATCACGGTGCTGGTGGGTGATTTTGGGGGAGCAGCCGTCAGACTGGGAGCAGGCGTGGGGGGACACCAACCCCGCTCAGCCCCTTCTCTGATGCCGGCAATAATTAGCGGCGGGATGCCACGCTGGTTCACTAGCCAGGGCAGTAATTGCCCCCCAACACTACCCGTGTGGGGATGTCGAACAGTGTCTCCCCTTGGCAGAGCCAAAGCTCATTAACAGCACATCCTACCCCCACAGCTGCTCACGGCTGATGTGCCGCGTCTCCAGCACCCCCCGACCGGTAGCACCGGTGGGGAGGACACCGGCACCACAACAACCCGATGCCCTTTGGCAGAAAACACTGGTTTGTGGCTTAAAAGCAGGGCTATAACAACATTATTTTAATTATACCTTTTTATCCATCCCCTTCCAGAGGGATGCACCCGTTGCTGCCCTGCACAGCTCCTTCCCAGTGCGGAGATGTCACCATGTTTTTATTTAGCATGAATTACTGGTTGTGCCAAATCCTGCCCTTCCAGGTCCCCTTGCCACCTCCCCCCAGCACCCCCAGCCCCTTTGAGCAGTCACAGGGGGATAAAGGCAGAGGCACATCCCAGAGAACAGGCAGGGCCCTGTGCCGGGCAGAGAGGCTGCGGCGTTGAATAACGCCTGTGCCACATTCACCGGTAATCTCTTGTGTTTACACGGAAGTGGAAATCAATCACCACAAGTAATTAACGGCGAAGGGCACAACACCCGCTTCTTCTTTGGAAGCGGCTCCCGGGGCCAGCCAGGGTTGCTCCGCAAAACTCACACACCGGCACCCGCCAACACAAAAGGCACCGGCACCCGTTTCCTGCACCGCCGGCACGAGGTGGCCGCGCCGGCACGGGGCCAGCAACCCGGCGGCTTGTGGGTGGGAGCTCGTGCCTGGTGGGAGCGGGGGGTCTGGATCCGTGCCGGTGCCTGGTTTGGCACCAGCCTTTCTATTAGCTCTTGGATAAAATGCAAAGGCCCCCCCAGTGAGCGGCTGAGTGCCGGGCTGGACAGCAGCCGGGAGCCATCGCTGTTGCCGCTAAGCTGCTCCCGGCACAGCCCGGCATGAAACAGCTGCATTTGCCACCTGCCGTGTTGCTTGAGAGCGAGGAGGGTGAGGAAGATGCTGAGGCTGAAGAGCTCCAAGACCAGAGGGCTGCCCCCCAGCTCCCCCCATGGTGGGCAGGGCTGGAGGGGGCAGGGGGTCACTGGGGCGAGGGGGATCGGTGCTGGCAGGAGGTGACACAGGCGGCGGTGGCACAAATGGCAGATCCGTCCCCGACGCGCGATGAGCCGAGGGGCAATTAAGGCTCCTGCGGTTTTTGACCCAATTTCTCAGGCGAAACTGGGCGGGGGGAGAAAGGGAGGAAGGAGGAGGAAGACAGAGCCCGTCCCGCGTGCGCTGGTGCGTGTCACAGCGTGTGTTTGCACACACCGGCACACATGTGTGCGCTCCCTGACACGCGTGTGCGCAGCCCCCCCAGAGCCGCTCAGCGAGGGGGAGGTGATGGCTTCGCAGCCCTCGGGGCTGGTTTTATTTTTGCTTGTGGCTGAGCGCAGGCAGCCACGGCCGCCGTGACTCACGCAGGCAGCCCAGCACCGGGGAGGGCTGTGGAGCACCGCTGCGCTGGTGCCTTGTGGTGCCTCCCCCAGCAAGGCAGCCGTGGGGGCCAGCTGGGGCCGTGGGACCACCGTGGGGTCAACTCTTGGCAACCTCGCCGAGCACTGGGGCACGTCCACAAAGACCTGGGGCTGTGGGCAAGCACAGTGGCACCATGTGCCTGCAAAATATAATTTTAAGCGGCTGCCATGTTATATATGGGGGGGGGGAGTGGGGGGGCGGGTTTCTCCTTGCACAGCTGCTCCCCACGGCTCCCTCGTGGGCTGGGGGGGCAACTCAACCCAGCCTGGCCAGGGGTGTCCACCAGAGAGCTGCGCTGGCCAAGAGGCAACAGGGAGGGCTTGGATTTCCCCGGGCCCTGTGAGGGTGACTCGCATCGAGGGTGGTGCTGGAGCGCGCAGGGGTGACCGAGGGTGCAGGGATGGTTAACTTAGGGATGGTCCAGTGCAGGGGTGATGGAGCATGTGGGGGTGCTGGAGCACGCCAGTGTGCTGCGATGCGCAGAGATGCGGGAGCATGCTGGGATGCTGGGATGCACAGGGATGCTGGGATGCACACAGGGATGCTGGAGCACACTGGGATGCTGAGCGTGCTGGGATGCTGGGATGCGCAGGGATGGTGGAGCATACTGGGATGCTGGAGCACGCTGTGATGATGGAGCATTACCGGGGTGCTGGAGCACACCAGGGTGCTGGAGCATGCTGTGATGATGGTGCACACTGGGATGTGGGAGCATACTGGGATGATGGAGCGCACTGGGATGTTGGGACACACTGGGATGATGGAGCGCACTGGGGTGATGGAGCACACTGGGATGTACACAGGGATGCTGGAGCACACCGGGATGATGGAGCATGCCGGGATGCTGAGCATGCCAGGATGCTGGGATGCGCACCGGGATGCTGGGATAGACAGGGATGCTGGGACTCACACAGGGATGCTGGAACACACCAGGATGCTGGGATGCGCACCGGGATGCTGGGATGCACACTGGGATGTGCACAGGGATGCTGGAGCACACAAGGATGCTGGGATGCACACTGGGATGTGCACCGGGATGCTGGGATGCACCCCGGGATGCTGGAGCGCGCCGGGATGCTGGGATGCACACCAGGATCCCCGCACCCCCGCGCTCCCACTCCCCCCCGCCGCAGCCTCTCGCCGCTGTTCCCAGCCGCGCTCCGCCAGTGCCACCTACAGAGCGGGTCCGGGGGGGCACCCGGCGGGGCCCCCCCTGCAACCAGGCCGGGGGGAGCAGGGAGGGTGTACCCCCGATCCCCGGGCCCTGCAGGGGCCGGGGGGGAGACGCCTTTGCAAAGGGAGGCGAAGCACGGGTGGGACGGCTCCCACGGGGGTGCTGGGCCGGGGGTGCTGCATGGGGGGACTCTGGGATGCTGTACCCCCCCGCACACACCGCGGGTGCTGCATGGGGGGTGTGTGTGTCTCTGGGGTGCTGTACCCCCGCACACACCGCGCCGGGGGAGCTGCTGGGGGTCCCCGCGGCGGAGGGGGCGGAGCGCGGCGGTGCGAGGGGGTGGAGGCGGGGGGAGGCGTTCCCGGACACCCGAGGCTCGGGGAAGCAGTTCCGCCGCTTCCTGAACCGGGCGGGCGGTGAGTGAACGGCGGCCGGAGGGGACGGGGATGGGCGCGGGGCGCGGCGGGAGCGGGAGCCGGGGGGGTGCCCGGTGCTGCGCGGGTGTCCCTCAATGCTGCCGGGTGTTTTCAGTGCTGTCCGGGGGTCCCCGGTGCTGCTCGGGGGGCCCCCAAGGCTACTGAGGGGTCCCCAATGCTGCTAGGGTGTCCCCAGCGCTGCTCGAATGCTCCCAGTGCTGCTGGGCGTCCCCAGCGCTGCCCGGGGGTTCCCAGTGCTGTCCGGGGGTCCCCAATGCTGCTCAAAGTTCCCCAGTGCTGTTCGGGGGTACCCAATGCTGCCAGAGTAGCCCCAGTGCTGCCAGGGTGCCCCCAATGCTGCTCTGGGGGTCCCCACTGCTGCTGAGGGATCCCCAACGCCGCTCGGGAGTTCCCAGTGATGCTTAAAGTTCCCAAATGCTGCCAGGGTGCCCCCAGTGCTGCCCGGGGGTTCCCAGTGCTGCCAGGGTGCCCCCAGTGCTGCCCGGGGGTTCCCAGTGCTCTTCAAGGATCCCCAATGCTGCCCGGGGGTCCCTAATGCTGCTCAAAGTTCCCCAGTGCTGTCTAGGTGCCACCAATGCTGCTTGGGGGTCCCCAGTGCTGCCAGGGTGCCCCCAATGATGCTCAAGGGATCCCCAGTGCTGCCTGGAGGTTCCCAGTGCTGCTCAAGGATCCCCAGTGCTGCTCAGGGCTCCCCAATGCTGCTTAAAGATCCCGAGTGCTGCTCAGGGGTCCCCAGTGCTGCTGGAGTGTCCTCAGTGCTGTCTATGTGCCCCCCAATGCCGCTTGGGGATCCCCAGTATTATCCAGGGATCTCCATTGCTGCTCGGAGTGCCCCTAGTACTGCCCAGGAGTCCCCAGTGCTGCCCAGGTGTCCCCATTGCTGCTGAGTGACCCCATTTTTGCCCCTCGCTGACCCCATTTCTCCACAGGCAGCGATGCCCGTGGAGCCCCTGGTCTGTGCTGCCACTGCCACGCGGTAAGTCCCAGCCCCCCCCCCCCGAGGGATGCTGCAGCCACCACCCCCCGGCGGGTCCCTCCTGGGTGCCACACGCTGTCCCCTGGCCCTGCGGGGGACCCGGGTCCCATCGCTGACCCTGTCCCCATCGTGTCCCCGGGACCGGTGGCTCATGTCCCCGCAGGGTGAGCTCTGTGCTTAACCGGGACGTGAAGCAGTTTGGGAAGAAGCACATGTTCGACGCGAGCGAGGAGACGTGCTGGAACTCGGACCAGGTTGGGGGGACAAGGACGGGGGAAGCTGGAGGGGTGGGATGGGAGCCATGGACACCCCGCTCTCCTCGCCGTGATGGAGCCCCGGTGTCATTCCTGTTTTCAGGGCACATGCCAGTGGGTCACCCTGGATTTCCCCCGCACCGTCAAGGTCTCGCAGCTCCACATCCAGTTCCAGGGGGGATTCTCCAGCCGGCTGTGCACGCTGGAAGGTGAGGAGCTGGTTTGGGGTCATGGCGGGGGTCCCTCTGCCTCAGTTTACCCGCACCTGGGTCCCACAGCTGCTTGTTGTGAGGCCCGGAGCTATTTGCTAACCGTTCCAGAAACCCAAGAGGGGCTGAGGCTGTGGGCTGGAGCAGAGAGGGGTGAATAGCGAGGACCTGGGGTTCTCCAGAATGCTTTGGGTGCAGATGGGAACCTGGTCCATTGGACGGACCGCTGCTCCCAGCCAACACCGGGGGGGGGGGGTTTGGGGGGGCAGCTGTGAGAGGCTCCCCCAGCGCTCGAGCCTCTGCGCAGCTGCCTCCACCCTCACCCTCCGCAGGCTGCAGAGCAGGCGAAGAACTGGTGCAAATATCTGCCCTGTACCCCAAGGACATCAACGCCATGCAGATATCCTTTGCCGCGTGGCGGGCTGGGTCCGACGGCTCGGCGGGTGGGTTCAGGGCCACCCACGGCTGCGGAGGGGCAGGGGGGGGGCGGTGACAGCAGAGCTGCCGTTTTAAGTGACAGACCTGCGGGTGCCTGTTGGCTACTCCTGTAGCTACTCGGCAGAGCTGGAGCAAATCCAGACACCGCCGGCTGCGGTACGCCGGGGTGCGAGCCCCGCGCGTGCCCCCCTCGGAGCGGGTCTCCCACATATCGTGGCATCCCCCTGCCCGTTTTTCTCCTTTACGGGCCTCGCACAGATTCCAGGTGGAGGAGACGGTGCTGGATAAGCTGAAGATCACCTTTGAGAACAGCACGGACTTCTTTGGGAGGATCGTGGTGTACCACCTCGGGGTGCTGGGGGAGAGGCTCTAGGGCAGCGGCGAGGGGCAGCGGAGGGGCCCGTGTTCCCCCGTGGGGGGGAAATGCGACAGCAAACCCTGCCAGCGGGGATGTGCTGCTCCCAATTGCACCCCAAGGTGCTGAGAGGAGGACCCCCCCACACACCACAGGGTGGCAGTTACAGAGAGACACTAGCACAGAGATCCACGTGCTGGACACTGGTGGGACACAACCTTTGTAACCGGCTGAATAAATGGTGTCCACGCTCCTTCCCGGCTGCGCCTTGGGCAAGCGGCACCCCGGGACCGAGCCCTCCAGGGTTTACTGTGACCATGTCAGTGCGTGACTTGAGCAGGAGGGAGGAGAAGCGTCCTCTCCGTGTGCTGGGGGCTCTGGCTGTCTCTCACCTTTGCTAACCACCCCTGAATTTCTTGGAGCGACTGTCTGTGGCCTCGCAGGGCTCCGGCTCGGGATCGCAGCGTGCCAGCTGTCAGCCGGGGCCGTGCTGTGTTCCTGGCTGGCAGGGTGATGCTTCCCGCAGGGTTCTGTGGATATTTCCCTGGCTGGTTATAGTGCTGCACGCAGCAGGGGCCTGGCAAGTTTATGGGCGTTAGGAGGGAGCTTCTCTCTTCAAAGGGACAGCTCGGGAGAATACCAGGGCACCGGGGGGGTGCGGGCCTTGAAGAGGTTGGTTGGCCCAGTTCCCCTCGTGATTCCCCAGTGCTGGGATTGGGGACTGGGAGCTGTGACAGGTTGAGGCAATGGACAGGGCCCCACATGGCTGCTTTAGAGTTTACTTTCAATAATGCAATACCTGAATGCACACACGCACGAAGCAGCCGAGCCTGGACAGGGCAGAAATGCAGCTGCCCTGAGGAATGAGTCCCCCGGTGCGAGGGACCGTGGCCGTGCCACGCTCCGGGAGAGGCACAGGTCCACCGAGGGCAGGCGGTTCCCGGCCTCCTCCACGTGCTCCTTGCTCGAAGCACCCAGCCGCTGCCCGTTTCGGGACGGCAGGCTGAGGCTGCGGTGGTCCCAGAGGAAAGCCCTGCGTTTGTCGGGAGAAGCGCTGGCGCTGCGGCAGTGCAGCGCGAGCCGCTACGTCACTCCAGCTCCTTGTTCTGAAATAGCTTGAGGATGTGATTTTCAATAACCTGTTGGACTAACCGAGGGGAGAGAAGTGAAACCCGGGGAAGCCAAGCCTGCAAGAAGCCAAGTGCCACTGTGGGCAGGACCTGGCCACCATTTTGCTCCTGTTTCCCATTGGGAGGCTGGAAACCCCCTTTCTCTGGGGGCCTGTTCCCATCTCCCCTGTCCCAGCCCTATCTCCAGCACAGCTCTGGTTTGGAGGGGAAGCAAGGGGAACAGGAGCCATCCTGATTCCTCTGGCTCGGTTTCTCTGTGTGGCAGAGCGTGGAGCTGTGGTGGAAGGTCCAAAAAAGTCCCAAGCAAGGCTGGAAGCTGGGAACTGCCTGGAGGCTTTTCAGGGAGGGAAGGCAGGGCTCCCTGCCAGGCATGGAGGGGACACTTGCCTTTCTTGTGTCCCAAGGCCACGGCCAGATCCATCGGGGTGTAGCCAGAATCCGCCTCTGTCGTCAGATCGGCGCCGCGAGCTGCAAGCAGGCATTGGAGATCAGGGCACAGCGCTCCCCTGCCAACGCGGCGTCCCCTCCAGGTCAGGCACAAGGCGAGGGGACCCCCAAAAGGTGCCTGTCCTGGCTGGGCAGCCCCGCCAGGAGTGGGGAGCTGCTCGGTTTCTCCCCCCAGGCATTACCAACAAGCAGCGATTCGAGGCCAAGGACTAAGGGCAGATCTTCCCCGTTACCTAGTAGGGCCTTGACACACTTGACGTGATTGCCACGCACGGCGTAGAGCAGAGGAGTGCCGCCGTTCTGCAGGGAAAGGGAAGGGGCTGTGTCACTGCCAGCCTCGCACGGGGCCCTGCTTCTCCCACCGCGATAGATCCCTGACCCACTGGGAACCCCTTTCCGCCCTCTCCCAGCCCCAGGCTGGGTGTTTTCTCACAGAGTAGCTCTGCACAGGTTTTATTCCCTGTATGCAATACAATAACTTTTAAATTGTGTAATTTTGAAGACAGCCTTAAGTTCTGAGCGCTCTTTCCTTGTGGCTGGTAACATCACCAGCGTGAGCAGCTGAGGAAACCATTTAAAATTATTATCCAGATTAATTTCTCAAAACAGCTGCACAAGCAAGCAAACAAGCGCTGCGAGCCTGGGAAACATCTCGGAGAAAGGCACCGCTGCTAACTCAGCCCAGAGCGATGGGAGCTCGCTGCTGCTTTTCAGAATGAGTTTTGCAGAGCCCCGTCGGGGCCCGGTGTCGCTCCCGGCGCTGGCACGGTCCCCGCAGCAGCCTGCGCCCGGCGGCACTCACCCAGTCGTAGATGTTGATGTCCACGTTCCGCTCCAGCAGCATGGTGACGATGTCGGTGTAGCCGCCCATGCTGGCCAGGGACAGGGCGCTCTCCCGCTCCTTCGCCAGCGCGTGGGGGTCAGCGCCCTGGGGACGGGCACAGGCGTTAGCCCCGACGGGCAGGGGAGCCGGGCTGAGACCTGGGGTGCTCAGCGCAGCCTTGCTGGGCACCCCTGGGGGGGGGCTGATCGTGGGGCCAGGTCCCAACGGGTTGGTGGGGCAGAAACGGCTCACGCATTCCCGGTGACCTCTCCTTGCCAAAGTCTTCACCAGGCATATTTTAAGCACCATCAAGCACCTCAGGTGAGGACTTAAAAGCCCTTCTCCAGTGTCAGTAAACTAAGCCTGATGGTTTCTGTTACTCAGCCCTTTTCCCCATCACTAATAACAGTCTTATCGGCCCCGTACAATATCCACCATCTCTTTTGTTACTGATTTACTGAGAAAACCTCCCTGTTCTCCAAGCCCTGCCAGCCATGGACCTCTCCTGGACTTCATTATAGCCTTTATCAGTGTATCACCTCATTTATTTTCGGTTCTGTTTGTCTCTCTGGTAATACATTGCAAGTTTGCTGCTAATACAGTAACAGAGCCAGAGTTTGGCCAGTGCTTATGAGGTGTGAGTGCTTGCTGATCACTGGACACATGCGGATGTGGGACTGAGCTTTGGGGAGCGGCATGATCCAGAGTGCATGAGGATCTGGTTCTTGCTCACCCCCAGACAGTCCTCAACTGCAAGCCCAGCACTCAAGGACGATGCAGCAATGAGTTCATTAACTGCAACGATACCTTGGTGAGCACATTGGCTGGCAGATTACAGGGCCCAAGTGATAAACCTGATCTCAAATTACCAATAAGCAGATATTTAATTACAAACAGTTATTGCTAGCTGTGAGATAAGGCTCTTCATGCTCCTGACTTAGCTCACAGCCCAGTGGGGAGCAGCATCCGACGTCTAAGCCGTTAGCTCTGTGAACATGTCCTGCTTGGTGCCATGGTACAGACTGGCTGAGATGGTACTAGGATGGTGCTGGACGATCCGGCAGCCACCAGGATCAGAGATGGGAAGTCTCCTGTTAACAAGGTGCTGCATGAGCGTGGCCTTACCCATTCCAGCAGGTGACGGACCGTTTCGATCTCTCCAAAGGCTGCAGCCCAGATCAGTGGTGTGAAACCTCTCTCATCAGGCTTATTTACCAGGTTCTCACCTGCACAGACATGGATGAGACACCGTAAACAGGAAGGGCAAAGCCCCTTCTCCCTGTCCTCCCAGTAAACCCAGCAAAGGCTGTAAAACTAAGCTGAGGGTTTATCGAAGAGTGCGCTGTGACCTGGTAGGACTCTGTATGATCTGGGGACACGTACCTTTCCGAAGGTGCTCTTTCAGCTGGCTGAGCTCACCTTGGGCAGCAAGCTGGTGGATGGACAATGCTGGGGGATAGAAAGAAGTCACCCATCAGGACAAAATGTTTCCCCAGCTCAGCACCTACCATCTGCAGGTGGGTCCCTGCAAGCCTGGGGAGGTGGTAACTGGCCAGCCCACATCTGAGCCCCAAAAACCCCAATGGGTAACTCACACCCTTCTGCTGCTCAGCGGCGGGGACGGCCAGCCATGGCGAGTGCTGGGAGTGACAGCATTGGAGGGAGCAGCCCGAGACCGCTGCGGTGGGCGCTGAGCAGCGTGGCAGCAGCAGACGGAGGGAGGGTCCAACCCCACTGCCCCTCTGCTCCCCCTACACCCCACATCCCTCCGTGTCTGAGACGCACAGCCCTCTCTGCCCGGCGGTACTCACTGTCCAGTGTGGCTGGGAGGGCCGAGACCTCATTGCCTCGCTGCCGGTTCGTCAGCGTGTTTGAGTGCTTCAGGGGGAAACCTGTTCAGAGAGAGGAGAGTCGGGACACATCACCTCCATGCACAGGGAGGAACTACACTGATTTGAGGCCAAGAGCTTCCTGAAAGCTCAGGGTGATTTATCTGAAGCTGTTCCCTCCTGTCTGTAAGGAACTGAAGGAATTAATGCCTCAAACATTCCTCAACACAGAAAGCCTCAAGGACAAGTTGTGGCCTTTGTGATTAGCCTAAGGAATGCTGCCCAAGGAAGCGCGGAGTGTATGGAAGGGGCACAGCTCCACTTCTTTGCTGCTGTAGTGCCAAATTCCTCAGATATGCCTCAAAGGAAACTATAAGTTTGGGTCAAAAAAGTTGATAAGCTAAAGGCTGGAGAAGTATCCAAGAAGAAAAAAACTGAGGAAGAAGTAAAGGTGGTAGGGGGGAGCACGACCACCTCATCTGTCATGGAAGTGAGTTCCTGGAACACCTGCCTCTCCTTGTCTAGTATGCTAATCAGCTGATAAGATGAACTTAAAAGGTGACAGAAGACTTTGCTGTGTGTGCACCCACCACCCAAGGTCACCAGACCTCAGACAACACTGGAACGAGGAGTGGTGACTGGACTCTTTTCCTCTCCTTTTCTTTCTTTTCTTTTTTATAATTTTATCAATAAGAGACCACATCGCTTACTATCCTTTTCCAAGTTTAAGTTGTTTCTACCACAAGTAAAACATTTTAACTGGTCATTGGGTGTCATTTCATGTTAATTTAACCCGAGAATCACAGAAATCACAGAAATCACAGAACCTTTACGACTCCCTGGGCTCACAGTCTAGGTCCTAACACCTGTCCTGGCAAAAACTGAGTCCTGCAAAAAAGTGAATTATTCCCTTGCAAGTAAAGAGCCTAGAGACTGAGGTTTGACCAGTGCGCAGGGACCAACAACTGAGCAGGGCAGATAAAACAGCCTGAACAGCTGCCCAAGGAGGGGCAGGGGCCATCTGGGGCACGGCGGGAGGCAGAGATCTGGCATTAATGGCATAATTGCAAACATTATACTACAGAGGACAGCCTGGGGGATGCGCTCAAGTTCATCTTCACATTTCCTACCCTTGAAGAGCTCCACTTGGAAATCTCAATGTGTTTTCAACAAGCAATTTGTAGTTTAATTAGGAAAGTATATGAAAAGAGTTTGCTGTCTCTGGTTCCACTGCATGGAGCTGCAGCGACCTCTCACTGCTGACACAAGTCATCACCAAAGTCTGGATTTGGACTTGGCCTTGCCACATTATGGAAGGGACCGGCAGCAAGACTTTTTTCTAGCTGCTGTTGTGGGATGAGAAGCCCAGATGACCTCTCCAGTGCCTGTCTCCCATGGGGGCTGCGTCTGAGTGTCTGTGAGCACCAGGCTCTGCAACACTCACAGTCGAGGGTCAAGAGCTCGGTGCTCCTCTGCCTGTCCATCGAGGCAGCCGAGGGTTTCGGGAGAGTGTCTGCTCCACCTACAAAACAAGGGCGGCCATTAGGGACCTTGGTTCTGCTTATCGGGGAGCAGGCTGAGCTCCACACCCAGCACAACGAGACCCAACCGGCACGGCAAGCACCCCGCCTGCACCCCAACCCCAGGGCAGAGGGCACGTTGATTCCCGGTTTACAAGGGGACAGATGCTGCAGGATCCCGGGTCTGCACGTGCCCCAGCTTGGCTCCCGTCACCCCCAGCACTCACCAGCCCCGTGGTCCAAGCGTGGCGTGTCCTGGTCCGGCTGCAGGCACCCCAGGGGAGCACCGCTGTCCCCCCAGCCCCCGGTCCCTGCCAGCTCCTCTGCTGCTCTCCCCGTTCCATTTTTACCCTCTCTCTGGAGCTCCTGGGCATCCCCGTTGTTCGGGGGGGTCTCCATGAGACAAGCGACGGCTTCTTCACCTTGCATGGGGCAGCTGCCACAAAACAGTGTCTTGGGAAAGGGGGCAAAAAGTGGGGACATCTCCCGGGATGGGGGGGGCGGGGGGGAAGCTGCCAAATCCCCGAGCACCCAGTGCTTGCAGCACCGAACCCCTCCACGCCGGCAGCGCAGTTTGGGGTCCCGCTCGCCCCCTCCCATCGCACCCCCGGATGACAAAAAAAAAAACGGGGAGCGTTGCGGAGCGGCACGGGGACCATCTCGGAACCGCTCATCCCAGCGCGGCCGCCTTCCCGCTCCCCGCGGGACCGAGCCAGGGCAGGTCGTGTGTCCCAAACACCCCCCCACACCCCCCCCCCCAAAAAAAACCCACACCTTCTCCTCCCCCGCCACCCCTGCCCACCTCGCCGTGCCCGAGCTGGCCGTTGTTCCCCACCGAGGTGTCCGGGCTCACCCCCCGCATTCCTCCCCCCCCCGGCTTCTTCCCGCCTCCTGCCCCAGCACTTCCCCTTCCTCCGGCCTCGGCCCGGCCGGGCCCCGTCGGGTTTGGGATGGGGGGGGGGGGGGGGGGGTTGCAGCCCGAAGGGATCGGGGTTTGGGGGGGCACAGTGAGGGGGTTCCCCTTGTCCCAGCTCCTCCTGCCCGCTGCCGGCGCGGAGGCCGGGCGAGGCGGTGTTAAAGCGACAGCCCCTTGCGCGGGATGGCGGGGGGGGGGGGACGGACACACGAGGTGGGGGCGGCCGCGGGGCGGCAGGTCCCCACAGATGGCGGCGGGGGGACAACCCTCCACCCCATAGTCCCCGCTCCGTCCCCGCCTTTTTGTGCCTCCTCCCCCGCGGGGCCCCGTGTCCTGCTGCCGCCTGAGGAGAGCGGGTTTGCACACACACCCCCACACCCCCCCCCCCCCCCAGGGCGTGGGGGTGGGAGCGATCCGGCCCCACGGCGCCATAGCGGGTCTGCGAGGGGACAAGGGTCCGGCGGGGAGACGGACGGACGGACGGACGGACATCCCCGCGGCCTGGCAAAGTGCCCGACGATATCCCCGCTCCCCTGAACAGCACCGGGGAGGGGGGTGGGACGGAGCCCTTCGCCCGCCCGAGGCTTCCACACACAGACGCCGTGGGGCGAGGACACACACACACACACATCGATGAGGGAAGGGGCGATCGATGTGTTTTAACACACACACACACACACACACACACACACACACACACCGCCCCTGCCAAACCGGGGCTGGGACGGCGGGGGGGCAGCGGGGACGCAGTGACCCGCCCCGGGGGACCTCCGAGACCCACCCGCGGCGTGGGCACGGCCCCGGGGTGAGGGCGGGAGGACAGCCCGTGGGGAGCACTCGGCTGTGATGGGGGGGGGGGGGGGGTGAGGCGGAACGGTCGCGCCGGAGCGATGTTTCCAGCCGGGGCCGTTTGCGGGGCGCCGCGGCCGTTTCCAGCCGGGGCGGTTTTGGCGGGCGCCGGCGGAAGGGGAAGTGGCGGGGAGGGAGGTGATGGAGGAGCCCGAGATGCAGCTGAAGGTGAAGAAAGGTGGGAGCGGGCTGGGAGTGGCGGTTTGGTGGGGTCTGGCAGCCCTGCGGCAGCGTTTTGCGGGTCCGAGTTGGCCGGTCGCGACAGGACCCTGCGGGTCGCGACAGGGCGCGGGCAGGACAGGGCTCCGCAGCGGCAGCAAAAGTCGCGACAGGGCCCTGCGGGTCGTGAGGGGGAGAGAGAGAGAGAGAGAGAGGTGAGGCGGGGCAGGGCGAGTTGCGGTAGGGTAGGCGGGGGCAGGGCTCTGCGGGGCCCAAAAAGGCACCGTGGGGGTTAGTCGCGATGGGGAACTGGAGGTCGTGACAGGGCAGTGGACGACGACAGGACCCCACAGCTCGGGGCGGGCGGAGCTGGCGGGACTCTGGTGGGTCCCCCCCGGCCCCTCGGAGCCTGGCTCTGCTGTGGGGACCTGCCCTGTGTCCCCCACTCCCGACTCGTCCCCTCTTTACCCGCATCACTGCGAGGGTCTGTTGAATAACGGGTGTCAGGAGGGGAGACAGACAGACAGCAGCTGTGTCTGTCCCGGGTGGGTGTCATTGTGCCTGTACAGTTTTATTCCCATTTGCATTTGGAAGGCTCGGCATGTCCGCCGGCGTTACAGAACTGGGTTGTCTGAGTGGTTGTTGCTGACATGAAAGCTCCAAAGGGAGGAGGAGAGACTCATCTTCCTTAAAATAGAAAATGTAGCAGAAGGTGAAAGGTGCTCTGCCTCAGCCTGGTGGAAACACTCCCTGAATCACACCCCACTGATTGTGGACAATGAAATGATTTCTGATTTTTATGTCTCTTAATTATTAGGAGCTGTCAGTGTTCTGGTGAAGCTGCAGGGAAGGAGGGATCAGAGCTGTGATGTAGTGGGGCAAAGCACCCACTGAAAAGGCGTCTCTGCGGAGGGGGACCCAGGCAGAGGCTGGGATGAGAGGGGTCAGGGAGGGAAAGCAGCTCACAGGCAGCTCGGAACGACACCGAAGCTTCCCGAGCCCTGGTCTGTGCCCAGCGCGCCTCCTCTCTGGAGATTTTTAGGGTGTCACCCGGGGGAGGTGACACTGGCAGGACCCCGCAGCGGGGTTGTGGCTGAGACACAGGTGAGCTCGAGGGCCTGAGCAGAGATGAACCCAAACGGCTGGTAATGGGACCGGGAGCAGGAGCCGGGCTGCTGCTGGGCTCCGCTCATCCCCTGGCCCCCTCCAGATGCCTCAGGAAGGATCGGGTGACGGGCATAACCCGAGTGATCCCCAAAACCAGAACACCCAGAGCTCGTAGGGGACACGTGGAGCCAAGCTCATTGCTGGCTGCAGGTGCCATTATGGGGAGAGTGGAAATAGAACTGCCTGTTCAGCAGGATTTTGCTTTCACACCCTCCTCAACAGCCTAGTTATAAAAAATACATGGGGTTTTGCTCTGATCCCTCCATTCCTGTGTTGGGGACAGGACCAGCGTACCAGGGTGCCCTTTCCAACCCCACCTTCCCCACTGTTGCTCCCTGCTTTCCACAATTGTTTTTTCCTCTTGCAGTTACAGACAAATTCACAGAGAGCATGTACGTCCTGGCCAACGAGCCTTCCGTGGCACTGTACCGGCTGCAGGAGCACGTGAGGAGATCCCTTCCGGAGCTCGCCCAGCACAAGGTGAGTCGTGCTTCGCTTTGGACTACAGAGCTGTGACACAGTTGGGCACAAAACTTTTTCCTGGCTTGCCACATCATCACTATTTCACCTCCTTTATGGGGTGGGAAGGAGGGAGGAAGTCAGCCATGGGGGTGCGAGGTGCTGCAGGACCCTGACTCGGTCTGAACTGGCGGGGATGTTGCAAATTTACCCGTGGACCCGAGGTAAAAAGCTGGAGAGTCCAATCCCATGCTCACACAGCTGGACTTGTGTGTGGAGACAAAGAAAAACGAGTAGTCTCTTTTGTACAGGGAGGAGGGAGGTGTTAAATCTTATTACCCCTCACACTCTGAGATTTTTATTTCCTGCATAAAATAAGGGGGAGGGTGAGAGGAGGGAAGGGGGAGTGTGAAGAAACACATGTGAAGAGCCCACATGAGGCAAAGCAGGATAATGAATCGCATCTCACAGCTGTGTTCCTACTTTCCTCCAGAGCACGGAGCACAGACACTTTAATGCCAGCCTTGTTGTCCTTCTCCCTCTTCTGCCAGTCATGATTCATTAGGAGTGATGTCTCATGAATAGATTACTGCTTCATGTCTATGCTAATGCACTGTCAGGCCCCATTTTTCACCTTTGCTTTACAGCCCTGGTTTCCAAATTAACCTGGATTGTGACACTTTATTATTCAATTATTTATTAACATTTTATATACGTGTCTGTGTGCAGTGGTAGGTATATAGAGATGTATATGTATGTATAGCACATGCTGATGTGATTGCATCACTGGCATGCAGGAGACAGGTTTGTAATATTATTCCTGAGCTGTCAGTTGCTTTTATTTAATCAAGATAGTCCCAGTTTCGGGGAATGTGTCCTGAACAAAAGGAAATTGAGCAAATTGTATGACGAGTCATGCAGAGGGAAGAGATCAGTTTCCATCACTGAACGGTGCATAACGGGGCTGGGGGCGAGGGGCAGTGCAGAAGCACTAATGGAAGCACCAGCTGAGCAAAGGCGCCGGACATGGAGCGTGTTGTTAGGCAGCAGGCTTTGTGCCAGGCAAGATCTCTGAAAACCTTTGATTCTCTCATTTTCCCTGCTCGGCATGCTCATCACAATTATCCGCAGTGTTCTGCGACCTCTCTGGCTCATCTGAGTTCATTTCCTAGCTGCAGCCATCCCAGAGAATTCTCTTTTGTAGCAAAAATTGCTGCTGTTTTCCACTTTTTTCTTGTGAGAAAGGAGGTCATGCTGTCCTGTGGATGCCAGCAGCAAATACAAGGACCCTGCGTCCCCCCATGTGACTGCAGCCATCACAAGCATCAGATACCTTTGCCCCTTGATGCCTTCATGTTCAGCCTTGCAGCTGCCCTCCTGCCCTAGCCACTAGCCCCAGCTGGGGCAGCTGTGGCCTTTGTACATGAGGAAGAGCTCACCGTACTCCCTGCAGTAACAGTACACGTCAGGACAAAGCTGAACCGACCACGCGGTGCTCTCTGCCCCAGCGCACTGCAGGGCACTGCCCTGCTGCCACCCCAGTATCTGTTTGCCTCTCTAGTGTTAAAAAACATTTCCTGATGCTTGTTTGGTGGTGCTGCTGGTTACATCATTTTCTTTTTGCCCACTGCATGGGCACTTCCAGCTTCTTAACTGCTTTCCTTGTTTCTGGCTGTGTGTTTAGCGGTGCAGTGATGTGGCAAGAGCTGGGAGAAAATGGAAAGATTACTTGTGTCAGCTGGAACAACAGCAGATCCAGGGCTGCTGCTAGTGACTTTTCCTCCAGCCTCATCAGCTCCTGAGTTTTTTTTCCAAGGCTGCAGCATCGTTTTTGGGAGCATGCTCTTCTCCCTGCTGGTAACCAGTCCCTGATACGAACTGGGAGGGTTAAACATAACTCGGTTAGGACAATGTCCTGACTGTGCTGCCAGGCTGCTGGTAATGGGCTTGTGGCCAGGTTTTCTCCATTGTCCTTGATCCCACTCTCATTTTATCCCATTTTCAGGCATTGCTGTTTGCAGCGAACAGGCTGGGCCTGTCAAGCCTCTGAGCCCAGGCATCCAAACCCCAGGAGAGAGGGATGTGCTCGGGGCCCTGACAGGGCCGTCGTCACAGTGGAGCGTTCAGTTAGATGGGGATGGATATTTTGGGTTGCTTTGCCAGAGCCCATCGGCTTTGTGGCTAGAGACTGGAACAGGAGGGTGTCAGCAGGGCTGTGCACCGTGAAAACGCTGTCAGGTTTTATCTAAATCAGAGCAAAGGCATTAAAGTGAGGCGGTTTTAATTCTTCAAAACAGAAAAGAAGAAGAAGAAACGTTATTTGTGGATCCATTCTCAGGTAATTTAGTCCCAAGATGTAGGTAATATGTAAAGGAAACAGGATTTATCGGTGGTTTCCAGCTTTCCTTCAGCTGCGCAGCAACTCCGTCTCTGGCCGATTGAATTCTCCTGAGACGCAGCCTTTGAAATTCCCAGGGGGATTAAACTTAGGCAAAATCGTGAGGGAGGGGGCTGAGAGAAAAATGTCTGCAAGGAGAAGGTCACCTCCATGCCTTTACAACCAGCAACTTCCTATGATTTGATAAAACAATAATCTTAATACCTTCCTCACCATCTCAAGCTCTCCAAGCAGATTTACCACCTCCCTGATAAGAGAGAGGCCCTTGCTGCCTCTGCGCTTTGTAGCTGCGCTGCTAAGCCCCGCTCTGCACAGAGTGGCCTTTCTGGATTTCCCCATATCTTTTGAGAACTTACATCCCAGCATTAATTTACTTCCGAGCAACAGTAATATATCATTAGCGCTATTGTGTATTAATAGCTGGCTTTAGTTCTTAAACTGCATCCGAGGGTATGTCCTGGGAATTTGAAGAAAGGACATCGAGAAAAGATTAAAAAGTGAGGAGCTCTAGGGAAGGGCTCTTGTACCTAATTAAGGACATGAAAATCCCAGGAATTGGTGGGAATGCTGGGAGCAGACATTACTGGCTCTGGTACCGGGAAATTATTGAAATCCACTGGTGCTCAGAAACGGCGGGACCACAGGCTGTGGCATGTACCACTGAGCCAGTGCGATGTCAGGGTCTAAATGGCTGTTAAAGATCAGCTGGCAGCTCTTGGAGAGAGCAGGGAGAAAAGCTGCAGGAAGGTTTCTGCCTTTTTTGCAGCTGCCTCTGTGCGCAAAGTGTGTTCCCAGCAAGAGATATAGTCATGTAAAATGTGGTTGGGCTCCGGGGTGGGTGCAGTCTCCGTGAGGTTATGAGTCCTGGGTTGAAGGACCCTCTCCTGCAGAGAACTGCCTAGAGCATTGCATGTAGAGGCTTGTTTCTTTTGTAGTTTAAAGCTATGTGGTCAAGCGTCCCAATGTAGGGCAGGCTTTGAACAGCAGAAGTGATTCTGGATGCAGTCCAAGCTCATACCCAACCTCCTTCACTCACAGAAAGAGGCCCTTGGATTTCCTCTGGCTTGTAACTAGACCCAGCAGAATAGACTGGAGAATTAGCTCCCATGAGAACATATTTTAAAGAGTGCCCGAACTACTTAAGGACTTTTGAAATAATTATCTATTGAGCTACACCTCTGAATTCAGCAGCTCTTTCATTGTGACTTGTGTGTTTGTTTGGTTTTTCTCTTTCCTTGGAGCTACAGCATGCAATTATGTCCCATGCTGGAGCTGGCTGCATGCAGTGCTGCTTGAGTCCGTGTGAAGTTTACGGGGCTCCTTCCAGCTCCTGAAAGAAAGGGCAGAGTGCTGACTGCTGCTTGGGATCAGACACCAGAGTTTCAGAGCAGGCTGGAGGACGGGGCTGCTTGCGGCTGTGAAAACATTTATGAATGGCAGGTCTAATGAAACGAGAACTTTCAGTGCTGTGAAAGAAACTTCTACCTGGTTTTGCATGAAGGGCTAAGGACCAAACTCCACAGGAGCTGTGTTAGTTCAGATCCTGGCTGCCTGCTGGGCCAGACACACCGGGAGATCTGAGTATTTTTGAAACATCCAGCTGGTCCGTTGCACTTAGCGCAGTTTCTGGTTTCTCACAGCCTGACTGAGTGTGGCTCTCAGCTGGCTCATGGGCTAAAACATCTGAAAACAAGGGGAATTTTGCCAGAGTATCCAAAGGGTTGGCCTGAACTAGTAGCCCTTCCAGAAATACATGCTATAAATGTTTCTTTTAAATGTAATGTGTGGCACCTGGACTGTGTCATGGGCTGTCAAGCGGGAGACAGAACTCAAATGCAATTTCTGGTGAAAAGCAGCCAGAGCCCTTGTTTGAGCAGGGTTGGCAGAGTGTATCGCTGCGGGCTGCGCCGCTGCCTCTGGCCAGTGTGCGCCTAACGATGGCGCCTTCTCTTCTCTTCCAGTCCGACATGCAGAGTTGGGAGGAGCAAAGCCAAGGAGCCATCTACACAGTGGAGTATGCCTGCAGGTACGGGAGACCCCCTCCAAGCAGGAGGCTTGCGTTCGCAGGTGGAGGTGGTGGGGTAGAAACAAAGCAGAGGCTGCCTGCGCTGCCCTGACGCCTCCCTGGTGTAAGCTGGGGAGAAGGCGGGCGGTGTGAGGGTGCGAGGCAGTGCTCTCTGAGCCGTTACCGTGAATCTCGGGGGCTTCGCTTTGATGAGCATGCCAGCTCTTCCCCAGCTGTGCAGACCTGCTGCTCTCCTGCAGTAAATCCACCCGCCAGCTAGCTAGCGCGTGAAGTTGAGGTTTCTTATTAACAGCCTCCTCTGCCAGGGAGTGTGCGTGCTCTAAACCCACTCTGGAAATACTCTTTTTCCGCCTCTTTGGAAATACTAACCAGTCCTCTATCTCCCTCCACCCCTTTCTCTCTTCTTTCAGTGCCATAAAGAACATGACTGACAGCAGCGTGTACTTCAAGAGCATTGACAGCCTGCTCAAACATGCCATAGCCATGAAGGATCAGCTGAACGCTGCACAGGGCCGCAGGTAGCAAGGGGATGTGACTCTGCCTGTTTAGCTGAGTGACTGTTCTGGCTGGCAGAGGCTTTGGTGATGTAATGCAGCCCAGTGCAAATATGCCAAGCAGTTATCTCGGTAATATGATTCCAGACTATTATTTGAAAGAGCATGCTGCTTGCCTTCCAGTGATCTTCTGGCTTTGTTTACTGGGAAATGAGTAATCTTGTTTACAAAAGGGCAACTGGAAAATAATTTATTTCCATATTTAAAAAGGGATGTTTGGTTGTGTAATACATCAAATCTTTGTTGTGTCAAAGGCATTTGGAGTGACATGATGTTACCAAGATGGAGTAGGTGAGAGGCTGCGTTTGGTGCTCTTCTCTGTCACATATGTGGCTCTTTTTGGGCAGAGTCTCGTAGAGATAAGTGGTAGCAGAATGATGATGCATTTTTGTATGTTTGCAGTTGAACTACAGCTACTAAAATATCTTCCATCAGATCATCTGAGTCTACTGTATTTGTCTCTCCTGAGAACGGTGTTGGTATTGGAGTCTGACTGGGTAGGAGTGAGAAAATTCCCAACTGCCCCTCCCTGATAAAACCACCACAGTGAACCCAGAGCCTCTGTCTCTGCAGAATGACTCTGCCTTAGACGCTTCTGGTTCAGGTTCTGCATTTCCCCAGTTGCCTGCGTGGCAGGGTCACACTCTGTGCAGCCCGGAGCATTTTTAGTGGTTTTTGCAGTGGTGTGGCTGTGAAGATTGCTGTCTCGACACCCACAGGGGCTAGTGTATGCTGCTCCATAGTCTGCGCAGCATGCTGAGCAGTCTGTTTGTCTAAGCTGCTCTCCTGCCACAAGCAGTGAGGTTTTATTTGAGGAAGCCCCTGGTTCTTCCCATTCTTCTGGCTGCTGGTGTCCTGCCTGCCTGCTGGACGTGACTGTCTCTTTCTTTTTACAGCGCTGTTGCCCCACAAGCCAAGAATCCTCCAGCCAGTTCCTGATTTCAGACAAGACTGGCCGTCCTTTGCCGCCTTCTCCAGCCCAGCTCTATGTTCTCCAACCACGGGGAGGAGTGAGAAACCACCCGCTCAAATCTGTGAAGCTGCACAGAGGCTCTGCCTGCCTCTCCATTCCCAGTAACAAGGTGCTGCACCTAAGCAGGCAAATCCTGCCGCTGGGGTCAGGACTGCATTCGGGGGGTGCTTTGGGGAGCACTTGTGTCCCTTTCCACAGCACTTTGCAAAAGGGAAACGGGGTGGTTCTGCATTTGTCCTCAGTGCATTTTGATGGCAGACTGCTATGAAGCGTTTTTCTCTCTACCTCTTGGCCACAGAAGTATCTCAGAAAAACTAGGTCTTGCTTTCAGTATTTTGTAGATGGCTGTGTAAAGACGTAATGTGGGCACACTTCAGCTTTGTTCAGGAGGTATTCTGCGAGGAGAGTTTTTCATGTGTGTGCCAGGGAGTTGCCGGATTTGGTTTTAGTGAGAACAATAATAAAAAGAAAAAAAAACCAAACAAGGAAGTTCTGTCTAAAACCTGCCCCTGTTGCTCACTCAGGCTGGGGGGTCTTGGAGCCTGCTGGCTCTGCGTGTTTCAAAGGGCATGGAGCAAAACAAAGACATGCAGAGTTTTGAGCCTTTCAAGTGAAAAAAGGAACTGTCCTGTTCTTCAAAAAAAACAACAAAAAAAGGACTTTCTTCATCCCCTGTCAAGCAGTGGGAAGCAGAGCTGTATGCACAGCTTCGGAGGTCACTTCAGAAATGATGCAACTTTAATGTTAATCTCTCCTGGAACCAACAGTTCTCTTCTGCTGAAGAATTTACCAAGGATGCGGGGATCAAAGCAGTGCTAAACTCAGTTTCCAAAGAAATCATATTGTGCTCAGGATAACAGGTATCTTTCAGGATAATAGCACGGGAGGTGAGAGGAAATCGGTTTGAATCGGTGGCCTCCCTTCATGCTTTACACCACAGTAAGGCAGAAATGCTTTACTGATTGCCGAACGATAAGGAGTTGGGGAAGAACCAAGCGTGCTGCTGCTCTGGGCCTGGGCAGGGCTGGCAGAGCATGGGGCTGCGAGTAGGGGGACAAGCACGAGCTAAACCTGCTCGTGCTTCACGGAAACAGCTGCTGCCTTTAGTACTTGCACTTTCTGCCCTGCTTGCAGCAGAGGACTGGCAGTGCCAATGCAAACCCCATCCCGGACCTCAGCCTCAACAATCGGCGCTCGTCTGGTGGCACCCAGGTAATCCCCAGGGAAGTCCCTCCACCGCTGGGCACTGGGGCTGCTCTGGCACCACCCCATCCCTGCTGAGAGCTGTTGGGTGACCTGCTTAGCAAACCGCTCGCTGCTCAGAGCGGGGATGTGCTGGTGCCCAAGCAGCAGGCTCCCTGCCACCCCGAACCCCACCCTCTGCAGCCTGCAGGCTCCTCTGGTTCCATCTCGCTTGTTGCTCCTCCATCACCTCCCGCAGTTTTACGCCTGCCTGGCTGCGCGCTGAGGGGAAACCGTGCTGGGTCGGTTGTGGGGACGGTCTCGGTGTAGCGCTGGCTCCTGGGGATGGAGGAGGAAGGAAGGAGGCAGGGGGATTGCAGGGAGGTGCAGCCAGCTGGAGAAATCGGCTGGGATCTGCTGGAGAAGGAGGCTGGGATCTGCTGGAGAAGGAGGCTGGGTCTGCTCATGGACAAGGTCCGCTTGGTTCTTCTCAGCCACGCGTTCCTCTTCCTTGGCTGCAGCTGGGACAGCTGCGGGGGTCCTGCATGGGTCTATGCCAGCCGCTGCCCTGCCAACACCATCCTAGTTTGGTGGCAAGTGCCAGCAGCGTTGCAGGTGGCAGGAGGGGCTGGTGGCTCAGGGCAGGCGGCCAAGGGCTTTTGGCTTTGAGTGGAAGTGGCATCTTCTCAGTAAAAGGAGCAAAGAGCATCAGGAGGTGGCTGCATAGACCCCTCCCGGGTAAGAGGATGGAAGAGCAGCCACCCCCCTGCTCTGGGGAGACATGACCTAGATTAAGCTCTAAATAGAGATGCAAATCTTGGCCCTGGTGCTTGCAGCTCCCCTGGGACGAGACAGGGTGAGGAGGTCCCACTTCCACTCACACCAGAGTCGAGTCTTTGCCCGAGGCTCCAGGATTGCGTGACAGCACATTCTTCATCTCCTGCGTGACGCCGTTCCAGGGTTTGCCCTGTGCCTGCAGCAGGCCTGACTCTGCCGACAGCGTCCTGTGCGTTCGGGGTGGGTTGTAGCTCTCCTTCTCGGAGCGAAGCCCGGGGCTGCCCGACGAGGTGAGGTTGCTGCTGGCCGGAGAGCCCAGCTGAGACTTGCGCTCCAGGAAAGGAGGGAAGGAAAATTCCCGGTGGATCTCAGGCCGGGGCCGGGGCGCAGCCACATTCCTGTTGTTCAGATCGCTGGTGGAGGATTCGCCATGCTGGGCAGAATCGTTCTCGTACAGGGTGTGAGACACCTCGGAGCGGCTGCGGCGTGAAACCTGGGAAGCCCGAACCAGGGCGTGCGTCACTGTGATCAGCAGGACGATGATGCCGGAGGAGAGGATACAAGCGCTGGCGATGCCGGCCTCCAGTTCAAAGAGCAGCAGCATGTAGATGGCAAGAGCTGGAAGGAAAGGAGAGTGCAGAACATCTTGAGGAATGGGACTAAAGCGATGCGGCTGACCTGCAAACTTGAGGCCTTGTGAGGGCTGGTCACTGAGAAAAGTTCACACTACAGGAATGAGCTGGCAAAGCCATTTGCAAAACAAACCCTGAGCTGAAGTAGAAACTCAGTGGCTCACAGGCGCTTGGCAACCAGTACAGGATGTATGGTCTGGGCTGAAAATGCCTGATCCCTGCTGTGCTGGTGGGAAATGAGCACTTGCCTGTTAGGTAGACTGAGACCCCGCAGCAGAACAAGCCGATGGCAGCGTGGCGAACCGTCCGGCTGTCCAGGAGGAACCAGTCTGCCCTGTGAAACAGGTGAGAAAAATACAGGTAGTAGTCTCCTGGTCTCAGCACAGGAGAAACGCTGATGCTCTGGCCCCTGCTGAGAAACTGAAATGCTGGTTTTGCATAGAGAAGGGGCTCAGAACCAGGTCACAAGACCAAGGACCTCTGCTGAACTGGGGTTTCCCCCAGGCTGCTGGGTTGCACAGCTCTGGGCTGTGTTCTTCCCGCTCTGGAACATAAGATTTTGAGATAACTTGAAATTTCAAACTTTTCCTGCCCAGTTCGAGCTGTGCTTCAGAAACCAGACAGGGTCAGGGGCTCAGGAGACACAAATGGCTGGAGGCTTTTTGCAGGTGACTTCAGGTTCAGCAAACTCTGAAGAACAAGCAAGGAACAAAACAGGCGTGTCAAGTCCATCTCCCCCTTTTAAAGAAAGAATGACAAGTAAAGTGCTGGCGCATTGAATTAAGCAAGGCCAGGTTCTCTCTTCACCCTTGGGATTGGATTTCTGTGCTCAGCTCAGATTGCAAGCCTTTTGTCTGCAAGGGGCTTGGTACTTGAATTGTGCTTAAAACACGTGAAAAGACCAGCTCCTTTCCAGCAGGGCTTTTGTTTCCCACCCAGCACTGACCCCTGCGCCTGCTGCCTGCGCTTTCCACCGGCGAGCTCGCTGCCGGGCCACCGACAGCTCTGCTTGGGCATCTTCGGAGCCAGATTGACCTGGCAAACCTCGGCCCTGGCTGGGCTTTGGAGGCTGCTGTTGCCAGAGGATGCCTCTTCTAACTGGGAGTGCAGGCAGGGGTCGTTAGGAGACGCAGCGTAGTGTGGCCAGGGCGGAGGTTGGCAGATGAATGCCAGGCGACTCTGAGGGGGGGGGTTGGAAATGTGAGTGCTCAGAGCAATGCGGGCAGGACCGGGATGCTGGGAAACCCCAAACAGCCCCTCGAAACACCTGGAGGGTGCACAAAACCTCACTGGTCCCACTGGCCACCTTCAGAAGTGCCCAGGAGCCGTTTGGAAACGCAGCCTAGCTTCGAAGGACCAGCTGAAGGGGCAGCAGCACAAGCATCCTCCTGGCAGGACCAGCCCTCGTGCTGCCAGGTGGTGAATTCAGCAGCCGAGGACGCTGTGCCCTGGCCCAGTATCCCCCCAGTATGGCCTGGCCTCTTCCTCTTCTCCTGGGCTTGTTGTAGCCCCTCGGCCATTGCCGCCTGCAGCCAGAAGCCGTTAACAGACCCTGGACCTGCTGCCGGCGGGGAAGAGCAGCCGCTTTGTTTTATTAATTACCTGAGTCAGGGTGTGGGGGGGGGGAGGGGGGGGGGGGCACGGATTAGCGGGGAGGAGGAGGACTTTGTTTGGAGCTGGCTCGGACTATTGAGCACAACGCTGAGAAGCGGAGCGGTAATTCAGTGTGACAGGCCCAACGTGGGAAAGGTCCCTGGGACGTGAGCGGGTCCCCTAATGAAACGGGCGCCCGATGGGGCCAGGCCAGCTCAGCCACAGGGAGACGGCGGCTAATGGTGGCCCATGTCCCGGGGGAGAGGGGCTGCGTCCTGCCGGTACCTCCTGCCCGGGGACAGCCTGCAGATCAGCATCCCTGTGTCCCAGAACCTGCTTTTTTCCTCCCAAACACGAGTGTAACCCTCAGGTTTCAGCTGGGGAAACTGAAGCACAGCCGGACTATTCAATCTGCTCAAACTCCCAGGCAGAGGGATGCCAACCCACAGCTCCCAACCTTACCAACGCCTCGTATTGCCTGCAGCAAAGCCAAAAGCAGCCTCTGGCTTTGCGGGGGGTCTGAAGCAGAGCCCAGAAATATTATTTAAAAATCAAATTGTTTGGGAAGAGCTTTCCCGCTCAGCGAGATGCACCAGCGGGGTCCGCAGATGGTTGCTCTGTCCCGTAAGTCCTTGAACGAGCTGCTGCTGCTGTTGGAGTGTGGGCTGTCCCACGCCGCCACGCTCCATCTCTCTACCTGTGACTTCGCATCTGGCTCTGCCTGATTAGCGCTGCTCCCGTTTCACACTCGCAATTTTCAAAGTTGAACCTCGAGTACTTTACAGCCCAAATCAACGCCAGATCGTAGACAAATTTACAGCTGATGGGGGATTTTCTGCTGTAGCAGTTTTTCAGAAGAGCCTCAGCTCCCACCAAAAGCAAAGTCTTCTACCAGAACTCTGTGCTTTGCAGAAATATTTTGCTCTCATTCGTTAACGAGCACACCAAGTGTCAGCTGCTCTTGGAAGATGCCAAGAGGAGACGCTGCTGCTTGCTGGAGTACCTCCAGCCATCAGAGCATGAGGCATTGATGAGCTTGTCTAATTAGGGACAAAAGTAACTGTTGAAACACTATCATTTCCTTTAAATGAGTTTTGACTCGCTTAGGTCAGTGCAGTCCCAAAATGGTCCCCTGGGGTCTGTTGCATGAGCTGCATGGAGGGACCTCCACGTACAGACCAGTTTCCACCAAGATGCTTTTAAATCTGATTATTTACGAGTTGGTTTGTTTTTTTTTTCTTATTTTAACCTAGATGCAGAGCTGGTGCTGGGCTCTGCGGGCAGAGGAGCCACCAACCCAGCTCTGGTCTCTGCGGAGGAAGGAGAAGGGAATTGCTTTGGAAACGGTTTTGCAAGTGTAAGTGTGCTGGTAATGATTAAGTCAACACATGTCTCGGGTTAATGATCCCAGGCCCGTGGTGGTTTTGGTGCTAAGTGGCCTGGGCAGTCACCCTGGCAGTGCCCCGGGGAGCCTGGCTCTCCCGCTGCAAAGGGACAAAGCTCGGGTGCTGCCGGGTGTCATGGCCAGGCCCAGCACGTCACCTCTTAGAGCTGAGCTGGGCTGGTGGGCCGGGGTAACCCCGCTGGCCCGGAGAGGGGCCCTAACGCAGTGCTGGGGGTACACAGGGATGTTTTCAGGGAAATTAAACAGTGTGTATTAGCGGAGGGGCTGCTGTAAACTTGCTCCTGGTCACTGCAGGCGCTACGCACAGCTACATCCCAAATTAAGGGGCACATTTACAGCTCTGGGGTTCCTCAGCCAGAGCTGCCCCTGGGCAAACACTCCAGAGGTGAATTTTGTGATATCCAAGTGCCGGCAGCATCGTTCGGTCCCCGCAACCCACCTTTCATGGGGACACTGACTGGGGGGGGCCCTGGCAAAGGCTGGATCTTGGGGTGCAGGAGGGGTCAGTGGGGCTGCACCGGAGCCCACGCTGCGGGGACGGACACCCCGTGATGGGTCCCAGGCCAGCAGTGCCACCCTGCACCCCTCATTCCCCCAATCCCTTCTGTACCCCCCTCAGCACCACCCCTTCCCGGGGGACCTCCTTCCTCTCCAGCCCCCTGCTCCCCCCCCAGCCTCCCTGTGCCCAAGACCCCTCGGAGCCTCCCCTCCACCCCCGCAGCATCCCCAGAGCACCCCGGTGCCCCCCCCCCCCAAACCCTCCTGCATCCCCGGTGGCCCCCGCTCCCCCCTGCACCCCCGGTGTCCCCGCGGCTCTCACCGGTCGGGCCCGGGCTGCCCCCGGCACAGCTCGGTGCTGAAGTAGCCGTGGAGGAGGCAGAGGAGGAGGCAGCTCACGTTGAGCACCAGGCAGAGCGCGGCCAGCACGGCCGATACCGGCAGCAGCACGGCGGCCGCCGGCTCCGGCAGAGCCCCTCGACCGGCACCGGGACCGGCACCGGCACCGGCCCGCCCCGACGGCAGCTGGAAGATGAGGCTGGAGGCGAGCAGGGCCATGGCGGCGGCCAGAGTCCCGAAAAGCAGCAGCACCGTCAGGGCCCGCTGTGGGTAAGCGGAGGGCATGGCGGGGCCGGTACCGGGAACCGGGGGGCACTGGGAACCGGGGAAGCACCGGGCCGGCAGAGCCGCTCCTCTCCCCAAAGTTGCGTGCGCTGCTCCCCCCGCCACCCTTCCCCAACCCCGCCGCCGCCGCCGCGCTCCTGGTGCTGGATCCCGGATCGGGAACCGGCACCGGGCAGGGAGCACCGCTCGGGGCGGCCGGAGCTGCAGCCCCGCCGGGTGTTCGCCTCCCTCCCTGCGCCGCTGCCCGCCGGGGCGGGCCGGGGCGGGCCGGTCCTGCCTCCCCCCGGGGACCGGGACCCCCCCCCGGGGCAGCGCAGGGCGGCTCCGCCCGGCACTCACCCCCCGCCGGGCCCCGGGAGCCTCTTCGGGCCGGGGTGGATGGAGGGAGCGGGACCGGGGGGGCTCCGGGGGGCCCGTTTGGGCTGGGGTGGATGGACAGAGGGACGGACGGATGCATCCCGCCACTCCCCTCGGCTCTCCCCGCTCCCAGGGCTAGCCCTGGTTTTTCCTGCTCCTGGGAAAATCCTGAGATCAACCCCACCAGCGTAACCCCAGCCTTGGCGAGGAGCGTGAAGGGATGAGGAGGGGGCATCTCAGTGACCTAATCCTGCTGCGCCCCCCCGGGGTGAGGGGTTTTGGGCCTCCACCCACTGCGGGAGCACCCTCGCCAGGTCAGGAGCGAGCACCCAAGATGTTCTGAGTCCTCCAAGGCTGAGAAAGGACCCGTGAGGCGCTGCCCTGCCATCAGCTGCCGGCCCTTGGGGCCGCCACAAATTTCCTGTGTCTTATAAATATCCTGGGAAGCAGAAGCACCTTTTCCCCTGGGATCTGCCCTGCCAGCGGGTCCCCCCTGTGAATCGGGGAGGATTCAAGGGGGATTCATACAGAAAAATTCACTCTACAGATCACCTGTTACCTTGGGAAAGACCCTACGCCTTGCAAGCAGTGGGGAAACTGAGGCAGAGTTCCCCCACTCAAACCCCCACCCTCCAGTGCAGCAGTTTTCCCCGTGGGTGAGACGAGGGGACATCGGGATGGGGCCTTTCCCTGCACGCCCCGGGCACCCCGCCAGCGCCAGGCCTGGGGACTAGTTGCACCGCTGACTCCTCCAGCCTGGTGTCATCAGCGCCTGGGCCCGCGCCCAAGCACGGCTGTGGGATCCGGGCAGGGTGACCTTTCCGTCTGGCCGAGGAGCGCTGCCGGCCTTCCCGTCCCGCGTGGGTGGTTCCTGCTGGCACCCTCTGCTCCGGCCGGAGCCGCGCGGGACACGGGCTATTTTGAAAGCTGGTGTGTTGGCCTTGGCAGGCGGCGCGGGTTTGGCTCCCGGCTTGTTTCCAGCCCCGCTCACATTTTTGGCTGGGGGTGGTGGAGGTGGAGGGGAAACATGACACATCAATCCCCAGGTCTGTGTTGCTGGTGCTTGGCCCAAAGTCCCCAAACTGGCTCCTGGTGATGGTGGCTGGGAGAGTGATGGGGCTTGGCCATGTCCTAGGGGCACTGTCACTCAGGGTGCAGAGCCCAGGGCGCCCAGCAGCTCAGGATCCCCAAAACCCCAGGATTTGGGGGCAGGAAGGGCCTCAAGAGGGAGCTCAAAGCTTTCAAGCTGCCAACATGGAGCTTGCAGGGAGCAGATGGGCAGAGAGCCCAGCCTGGGCACCCCCTGAGCCGGGGGGGCCGGGCAGCCCCTGCGCCCAAAGAGGGGGTTCTGCTGGGGTGACTGGAGGGGGCTCTGAGCCAGGCCAAGCCCGCGGGGAAGCCCGAAGCGAAGTGGGGGTGGGACGGGGCAGGGAGGTCCCACTCCCCTGGGTGGGCAAAGGGCCACCCCTGCATGTCCCTAGACCCCAGCCCGGGGCAGGACAGAGCATCTGGACACATCGTCTCAGATTCCACGGCTGCTGGGACACTGCTCTGCGGATGCTCTGGCACTTCTGCTCTCCCTCCTACCTCCTCTTCAGGATCAATTAAGATTATGAGCAGGGCTAATTAACAGCCTGCTAATTGCACTCTGAAGCCCTCTATAAATCGTGAGCTTTAAAAGCAGCTCTAAGAAAGATGTCATGTCCTTTCTACCAGCTCAGCCTACACCAAAAGCCTCTTCCAGAGAGTCCCCATCTCTCCAGCCCCTTTTCCCAAACCCCCAGGGCTGGGACCGGAGTGCCAGCATGGCTGGGGTGGAACGACATGTCCCCGCTGTGGGGCTGGTGTGGGAGCTGATTTCCAGTGAGCCATTATAACCCCCCTTTCCACCTGCTGCCTGGGCGACTCCGCTCACGTAAAGGGAGCTTGGGAATTGCATCAGTTCTCCCTTGCTGCGGTAAACACGGGTGTTTCCCGTGGGAACCCCACGCCGAGCAGCTCCCGGACAGCCCTTCACCTCCCCACCACGGCCGGAGGGAGCAGGACACCCCAGCATAGCCACCCACCCCACGGCACACAGCAGCCACCCAGGAGATGCCCGGCAGATCGTGGGCTCGGGGGAGCCGGAGCTGAGCGTGGTGGTCATGGTCATCCCGGTGGCACCACCACGGCTTTGCCGCCACCAAGGCAGAGGTCACCAAGGACAGGAGATGAGCAGGGGTGTGAATTGGGTGGCATGTTCTCTGGGGTTGATTTTGGGGCCAGGTTTGGACCCGGATGCAGAGCCAGGGCACATCAGCATCCCCTGAGCTCAGGTTCTGCTTCCCCCAGGGAAAAGCACCTTCTCAGCTCCGCTGCTCTGCGCCCTCCAGCCGAAACGCTGACTCCCAGCTCCGCTGTGCTATTCCCCGCCGTCAGACCCAGGCTGTCCGTGGGTCTGTCACTGTGTGATGGAGCTGTGTCTGCCTCCTTTCTCTTTACAAAACCCACTTGATTTCATCTTCCCAGGCTTCGAGCCGCAGGATTCGCAACCACCTGCATCCTCCGGTCCCCACTCGAGATGCCCCAGTGCAGAGCGGCTTTCTGCCACCTTCCCCAAGCTGGGAGTGGGGACAGTGCCAGGAAATCACAGCACTGGTGTCACCGAGGCCTGTCCCCACCCTCCATGCCGAGTCAGGGGGGGACACATGGCGATGTTTGCAGCAAGGAGGCGTTGGGTTGCTTTTATTGAAGCAGGGTGCCGGCAGCGCGCAAGCTGCGTGCGGAGGTTTCGCTCGGCGTCCCCAGCGCTTCCTCGCAGCCTCCCTCGGGTTATGTCACTGCGGTTCAGCGGTCCCCGCGCAGGGCTCTGGGGCCACTCGCTGCAGGGTGGGGACAGGGACAGGCAAGAGGCAGGAGCAGGGGGAAGCCCCCCCCCCCCCCACTTCCCCAGGGTAGGTCACTTCATTTATAAAATTAAAAGGTAAAACTGAGAGGGAGCATGTTGGATGTTTCCTTTTGGAGCTGCAAAGCAGCGGCAGGGTTTCGAGCTGGTGAGGTGGTTTTTTTTTTCGCTGTGGTTTTCACAGTCCTCAGTGGAGCTGGGGATGGGGGGGGCTGGCACTCCCCAACCCTGTGGCCGAAGGGGCTGGCAGTGCTGGGTGGGGGGGGTCCCCTGAAACCGAACTGGGGGACCCAGGGATGTGGCATGGGCCAAACTCAGAGCCTGGCCCTAAACCTGACCCCTCCATCTCAGCCCCAGCCTGAACCCCCCCTGTGAGGTCGCAGCATCCCCCAGGACCCCCCCAAACTCCACCCCCATCCCAGCCCGACCCCCCCAAATTCCCACAAACTCACCCACATCCTCCCCTGCAGAATCCCCTATTCCATCCCCCCACCCCAAACCCCCTATTCCAGCACCCCCCCCCAAGCCCCCAATCTCCCCCCATTCACCTCCACCCCGCCCCTTTTCCCGGTAGAGGCGGGTCTATGCAAACCAGCCCCACGGCGACCGCCAATAGCGAGCGAGCTAGGGCGCGCTATGCAAATATTTCGGCGGAGGTGGGCGGGGATATGCAAATGTTGCCGGCGCGGCTCGGGCAGGCGGCAGGCAGCGAGCGGCTCCGGGGACACGGACCGGGGCCGGGGCCGGGACCGGGACCGGGGCCGGGACCGGGACCGGACAGCGACGGGGCCCCACCGGGGCTGGGCCGGCTCCGCTGCAGCGCCGGGCACCCGCGGCCGAGCCGGCGGGGAGTTACCGAGGAGCAAGAGCCGGTGTCAAGGTGTGTGCCCCGGGGTGGGGAGGGGGGTCCTGGGGCGCGGCCACGCTCCGGTGTTACCGGTACCGGGAAAGGGTGTTGTAGGGTGTGTGCGGGGGGGGGGGGGGGGGGAGGCAGTGGCGGCCGCGCACCCCCAGACTCAGCCTTTCAAGCCCCCGCCGGGGGTCCACTCCGCGGCGAGCGGCCCCGCACATGCAACCGGCCGCCCCGTCGGGGCGCAGGGACCGGGGGAGCGGGGCCGGCCCGGGGAGGTGCCGGTGCAGCCGGGCCGGCGCCCCGCGGGCTGCCCTGGGCACGGCGGAGCCCCGGCCCCCGCCCCGCCGTCTAGGGATGGCGGGCTATAAAAAGCCTGTGGTTTGCGCCGCGCTCGGGGCGGTTATTTTTACTCGTGTCTGTGCAGGGAGGAACGCCCGGGTTTAACCCAAAAGTGCAGCCTGGATGGCAGCCGCCCTGCCCCGGCCCCGCCGGCCGCCCCCCCGCCACCCCCGGGCCCGCCGAGGCCTGCGGGCGCTGGGGCTGAGCCCGCCACGCAGAGGGGAAACTGAGGCACAGCGCCGTGGGGCTGTTGGCCTGACGTGGAGTAAGTTGTCACGACACAGTACTGGGACACCCCGATGCAGAGCCAGGGCCTGATGTCACCGTAGCTTCGCTGGGGTGTCATACCAGTCTGAATTGCAGCCCGGTTCCTTACCGCTCCCGGGTGGGGATGTGACCTGTCTGTGGCTCTGGCCAGCGTGTGACATCTCCAGCGTGTCCCAGCACACGTGAGTCTCCCTCCGTCCCCCATCCCCGTGGGGAGAGTGAGGTGGATCCTCTGCTGGATTGATCCTCCTGCCCGCTGCATCCCACTGCCGGTGCATCCATGTCCCTGGGGCTTTGCTCTTTTAAGGAGAGAAAGTTTCTCTGAGCCGCTGGCTCTGGAGATGGGGTTTCACAGGGGCTGAATTAACGTGGCAGCCAGCGGGGGAGCTGGAAGACAGCAACCTGCTCCAGGGAGGGGGGGGTGAAGGGCCGTGCCCCCTTGCTCCACGCACGTCCCATGGAGCACCGGGTACCGATGGAGAAGGGAGTATGGGCAATGCAGCTGGGGAGCCAGACCCTGGCCCTTTTCCACGTCACTGCTGCCAGCGGGACACGTCACAGGCGGGTGACGTGTGGGGGAGACCTGTGTTGCTTGGGAAATGGGAGGGGGGAGAGCTCCAGCCCTCAGGTTTGGTTCAGGATGTCAAACGTTCCCGTTCACCTCCGAGCCCGGGGCACTGGTGATGCCCCGGTGCTGAGGGCTGGCCGGTGCAGTGGCAGGGTAGGAAAACGGGTTTGGGAAACTTTGAGTGGTACAAGGGGACAAGGATTCCGGCTGACACCCAGGAGAAGCATCCTGGCGCCGAGGGGGCTGAGAGTCTGGCATGTCACGCTGCCATGGAGGTGCCCAGAAGGATCGGGGTGGGGAATTTCTGTATTTAAGACCCTTAGATTTCCCTCCTTTTCACAAGAATTACAGCAGGATTGTCAGGAACAAATTTGGTCTGTGAGCCATGAAGCCCCAATGCTGCGGGCATGGGCTCAGGCCAGCCCCCAGGGGTTTGCTGCCCCCAGAAAACCCTCCAGCAGCAAACGAGCATCATTTCCCGTGTTAGTGCCGAGCTGCAGCGTGGGGCGGCCCAGCCCCGTGGGAACAGCGTGATTCTTCCCTTAGCTGCTGCAGCAGCGTTGCTGACATCGAGCAAAAAAAAATGGTCTGGGCCCTGGACTGGGGGGGGGGATGTCTGTGTGTCCGTCCGTCTTCCTAAGGGCAAGAGCTGCTTCATTTTGAGGAGGGGGGCACGTTTCAATCCTTCCTCCTTTCACACAGTCATTTTGGAACTGAAAAGCCTCTGCGCATTGCCACGCTTCGCCTGACGGCACCAGGCCGCAGCGGTGCTGGGTGCTGGGGGGACTTTCGGTCTGTGTCACCCCGAGCAGGACGGAGCTGGGGCTGGATGGCAGCCGGGTCCCCCCAGGCCCAGCCAAAGCCTGGATTTGGCTCTGGAGGGTACAGGGCAGTGTCCCAGCTGGGCCCCATGCTGCGATGGAGGCAGGTAGATGAATTCTAATCACCCCTGGGGATTTTGCAGGGTGCTTGGGTGATGTTTGTGAAAATGGGGGAAGGCCGTTAGCGGAGGCAACCCCCTTGTCCCCATCGCCCTGATGTGCCCCAGTGGTCCCCAAGTCCCTGCAGCACCCCGTCCCCACTGGGCTCTCCTTTCCCCTGCTTCCCAGCAGGCTCCTCCTGTCCTCCCCACTCCCTTTCCTGTGTCACCAGCCCTGCTCTGGTTTATACTGGTTAGTTGTTTAAACAACCTATAAAAAGCAGAAGGGCCTGTCAACCCCCGACAGAAACCCTGGTCAACTCTGACTTTTCCCTGCGCCGGGCTCGGGATGCTGCTCACACCACAGGGCCCCAGCACTGCCATTCCCAGGGGACCGGTGAGAGCTGGGGCCACATTCCCAGTTGGGAGCAGGTCAGCACCGGCCAGGGATGGATGTGGCCCACAGTGGTCCCAGCACCACGTGTCCATCCCTGACAGGTGGTCCATAAAGCCCCGTTTCAAGCCTGGTGCCCTCCCAGTCCCAGTGATGTAGCATCTGGCCTGTCTTCTCCCTGGATTTCACTGCTTCTGGCTCAGATTCTCCCCTCCCAGCCAAGCTCGCTGCTTCTCCCCGTAAAACATGGGGTGGAAACTCTTTCTCCCACTTTAATCATTGTTTTTCTCCACCTAAACACTTTTTGGAAGCTGCCAAATGTCGAGAGTGGGGACTTGCTGGCCGCTCTCTTCCACCCCCCCATTTCTACCCAGCCACCCCCAGCTTTCAGATTTATAACAAAATCCCCATAATTTGGTGAAAATAGCCTGTTTCCCCTGTTTCTATGTTGATGCCTCTTTGTCCCATGGGGGTGGGAGAGGTGGGAGGATGAAACACGGGAGAGTTCAGAGACCCTGGCCTGGGGTTATCAGGGGAGTGGCCCCCTGATAGATTCCCCACTTTGACTTTAGGATAAACTTGGTGGAATTAACATTTCTGGGATCATTCAGGGATGGTGGAGGGTGTAAAGGTGTCAAAGGCGGTGCCGGGACACCCCCCCCACCCCACCCCGTACCACACCGAGCATCCTGCACCGTGCCGGGGCTGCGGCACACGGAAAAACACATCGCTCTCAAGGGCTCCGCTTCGTCTCAGCACGCTAATTAGGAGCTGGGATAGGGAGTTTACACGCTCCGGCGTGATGCAAATGACCCCTAAAGATGTACAGGATCCGGGGAGTTAATTATAAAGCTCATTGCAGCCCAGGGGTCGGGGTGACACCTCGCTGCGGGTGCCGGCAAAGGGACGGCGGGGACGAGGGGCTGCGCCTGGGCGTGGAAGCGAGCCCGGTGCGTGCGAGCGAGCAGAGAGCCCGGGCTAAAGATAAGCGCGCGTGGGAGGGAGCGGAGGCCGGCGGGATGCCAGGCAGCACCGGAGCCTCTGCCCGGCGCAGGCGGGGGAAAACGTCTCCTCTCTGAAAAGGTTTTGAGGGCTCAAGAGCTTTGCTTGCCTCGGTTTTGTTGGCCTCGTTCGTAAGGACGATGCTGAAGGGTGCTTCAGCCCCGCAGCCGGGCCCCGTTGTGGGTTTTCATCACAGTAACGCTAACGAGGAGCTGTTTGGGTGAAGTGGAGAGTAATGTGGGGTTTCTCCAGGGCACCCCAACCCCGCTCCTTCCTGCTCCGTGCCCCCCAGCCGTGGACGCTGGCTCCTCACAGGAGCCAGGCTACTCCCTCGATGCTGTCCCCAGCCGTGGGGACAAGGCTGGAGATGCCACCTCTCTGGACCGCGGGATGGAGGTGGCAATGCCGGGCAGAGCCGCCCCGTTGTGCCCATCACCGCCGACTACGATAATCGCCTGCAGCCATAATGCTGCTTATCGCCTTATCGCGCGGCGCAGCAATTAAAATCCAGAGTGAAAGTCCCTCCTCCCCTCCCAGCCCTTAATACCCATCCAGGGGGGAACCGAACGCCGGTGCCCTGCTGCACTGCGGTGCCCGAGGTGCCAGGCCCCGCGTCGGCAGGGAGCCATAACGCCTGGTACCCCGCTCCTGGAGAGCATCCCTCCCTCTGCCCCGCACCCACACTGAGCCCTGCACCCATCCTGCAAGCCCCCGGCACGTGGCGCGGTGCTGGTGGCAGCGGTGCCCCGGCCAGGGCTGCGCATGTCCCCACGGGTTCCACATGGCCACGGTGGCCAAGCGGCCGAGGCGATGCCCCGGGAGGAGCGGAGCCATAACGAGCTGCGTGGGGAGGCGGCTGATGAAACCGCCCCGCTTGTTGCACGAGGCCTCCGACGGTTTCCCCCGGCGGGGGGGACGAGCCGCCCTGCTCCCAGCCTGTGGCGAGCGTGCCGCGAGTCTGGCTGCCGTGGGTCCCCAGCTCCCCCGGCCTCACGGCACTGTGGCTGCTGCTTCCTCCCACCCTCGCCTGCTATTCTGGGCTGGGGTGCCTGCAGCATCACCCCATGGGTGCCAATACCCCCCAGGAAACCCACAGCATCACCTCATGGGTGCCAATGCCACGCCAGGACCCCCACAGCATCACCCCATGGGTTCCAATATCCCCTAGGGCCCCCACAGCATCGCCCCATGGGAGCCAGTACACCCCCAGACCCGCCACAACATCACCCCATGGGTGCCAATACCCCCCTAGAACCCCCATAACATAGCCCCATTGGTGCCAATACCCTCCAGGGCCCCTACAGCATCACCCCATGGGTGCCAATAACCCCCAGGAAACCCACAGCATCACCTCATGGGTGCCAATGCCATGTCAGGGCCCCCACAGCATCACCCCATGGGTGCCAATACCCTCCAGAACCCCCACAGCATCATCCCATGGGTGCCAATACCCTCCAGGATCCCCGTAGCATCTCCCCATGGGTGGCAGTACCCACCTGGGGTCCCTGCAGCATTGTCCCATGGGTGCCAGTACCCCTCCAGGACTGCCACAGCATCACCCCATGGGTGCCCATACCCCCTAGGACCCCTGCAGCATCACCCCATGGGTGCTGGTACCCCCAGGGCCTGCTCCCTGAGCACCCTGCCTGGAGGGACGGGCAGATGTGGCTCCTCGGGGGCTCAGAGCTGTGCTGGTACCCTGGGGGGTGGCTGCTGTCCCCTGCCTGGAGAAGCACAGAGCTGGGGACACAGCCAGGCACTGGGGCAGGCTGGGGCCAGGCAGGGGCTCACAGGATCAATCCCAATTTAGGGACCATCTCCCTCTGTGCTTCCCACACAGCTTGAAACTGGGGTGCTGGCATAGGACATAGGGGTGCTGCGGTGGCTGAGGAGCTGGGTGGGGGGGGGTTGGCCCCAGCTGAGGGGACCCTTGGCATCATTTCATGTCCCCAGTGCAGATGGGGCGACACGTCCTTCTGTCCCCAGCACCCTGGAGCCTTTAACAATCCCCCCAGGGTGAGGCTGTGCAGGGACGCGGGAGCTCACAGCCGGCTGAGCATCCCCTGCCCCGAACGGGCCAAACCCCACTGCAAGCCTCAGCCCCCTGGAGAAAAGCTTCTGTTTCTGCCCCCCTCAAATTAAAAATCATGGGTTGGGGGTGGGCAGGTGAGAGCTGACCCCTCTGGGTGACCCCAACCTGGGGGTGCTCTGGCTCAATGCTGTGCTGCAGGTGTTGATGCTGGGAGGGCAGGAGCAGCCCTGGTCCTGCGTGGGCAGCAGGAATTGTTGGGAAAACCATTGCCTTTTCACCAGGGAATCATTGGCTTTTTCCAGGGAGGGGGACTGGGGTGGTCTCAGCACCCCCTGTACCTTGGTGTCGTGCGTGGGCCCTGGGACACAGGGTGGCAGCGGGGCCGTGGGAACGGCAGCGCAATTTCCTTCCATAAATTAAAATTAGTTTTGATCAGCTAAATATAGCAGCTGAGCAAGATGGTAAATGGCAACGTGCTTGAGAGGGGGAAGCGGGACAAACCGGGGCAGTGGGGGAGGAAAGGGCCGGCTGGTCCCCAACCTGCACCCCTGGGGTGCATCCCTGCGATGGGAGGGGGGCTGCTGGCTGGGTTTTGGGGGTTCCCGGGGTGCCCACTGTCCCTGGGGAGCCGCAGCACGTTGCTCCCAGCCCCGCCAGCTTCCCAGCTTGGCTCTTGCCCTGTGGCCGTGGCCTGGGGACGGCGGGGACCGAGCTGGGCCAGGTCTGCACCCAAACTGGGGTGGAGAGGCTGGGTGCGGGGGTCCCATTGGGAATGTCTTGATGCCACCCATGGTTCTGCACCGGGCTGTGGTGGCACCGCAGCATCCCAGAGGGGTTTGGGGGGGAACTGGTGCTGGGGGGATGGCAAGAGGAGCAAGAATCGGGTCCCTGTGGCAGCGTGGGGGGTGTCACAGGGGGGTTGTCACAGCCCAGTGCCATGCTGTGATGGGTGCTGGCACCCTGCAACCGGGCTGGGATGCAGGGTCCCCCAACTCCTCGTCCTTCCCACCGCTGGCTCACATGGCCTGAAGAGGTGGGTGGTTTCGCTTTGCTGTCTCCTCATACAGCCACTTCCTGACCTACGAATGGCGGAGGTCAAATTTAGTCTGTTCGCATTAGTAACACACACACAAAAAAAAAAAAAAAAAAAAAAAAAAAAAAAAAAAAACCTTGAACCTAAAAACAGCCCTTTTGTTTTATGGACCCTCCCCGCAGCCAGCCCAGCCTCCTTTATAACCACCCTCCCCATCCGACAGACCCGCCGGTGAACAGCATCAGTGTGTGGGGCAGGGCTGGAGCAGCCCCCGCGGCTTCGGGCAGGTGCTTGGGGATGCAAAGGCTGATCCCGTGCTCCCGGTGAGGGACCTGGCATCGCGGCACAGCGGCTTTCCGGCCGGCACGGGCAGGTTCTCGGGTCCCTGGGGCCAGCGTGGGGTAGGGGTGATGGAGCCAGGGCAGTGGAACTGCCTGGGCAGAAGTAAGGGGAGTTTTCCCCTCCCTGCCCCAGCAGAATTCCCCAATTTTTTTCTTTTTTTTTTCATTTTTCAGTTTGCCAATGTCTTTGCTGAAAAAAAAAAAAAAATGCCGAAACTTCCTCCGAAATCTTATTTTTTTCAGCAAAACTTATTTTTGGCAGCCGGAGGGGTGAGGAGGCGCATGCGGTGCTGGGGCGGATGCTCACTCGGGCCGGCCCTGGGCTGCCGGGGCTCAGGGGCTTCTTGCTCTCTTCCAGCCCCTCCCTCGAGTGTAGGAGGCAAAAATGGGCCGGAAAAAAATACAGATCAGCCGAATATTGGATCAGCGGAACCGGCAGGTAAGAGGCTCTTGGGGACGAGGTGGGGACGAGGGGGACGGGGGGACACGAGGCCATGAAGAGAGGCAAAGCCAATCTGCTCACACCTTCCCCATGGGTGCTGGATCCTCCGGAGTCTGAGGGGGTTTGGGGATCCAGGAGTGGGGTTTGGGGATCCAGGAGGAGGGTTTGGGGCCATATCCAGGGGTCCTGGGTGCAGCACCCTGTCCCTTTCCTTGCCCTGCAGGTGACCTTCACCAAGCGGAAATTCGGGCTGATGAAGAAGGCGTACGAGCTGAGCGTCCTGTGCGACTGCGAGATCGCCCTCATCATCTTCAACAGCACCAACCGCCTCTTCCAGTACGCCAGCACCGACATGGACAAGGTGCTGCTCAAGTACACGGAGTACAGCGAGCCCCACGAGAGCCGCACCAACTCCGACATCCTCGAGGTAGCGGTTGGGGGGGGGACGAGGGGGCTGGGAAGGAAGGGAGGGGGCCCGCGATGGGTGTGGGACCCTACTCACCACCCCGCTCCCCGCAGACACTGAAGCGCAAGGGGCTGGGGCTGGAGAGCCACGAGCTGGAGCTGGATGAGGGGCCGGATCCTGGGGAGAAGGCACGAAGGCTGAGCGAGGGCATGGACCTGTCGGTGGCACGGCCTCGGTTTTATGTGAGTTGCTGCCGGCCCGTGGCACCAGGGTTGAGGGTCCCCGAGGGTCCCCGTCCTCTCCCCATCTCTCACCTTTGCTTCTCCCCACAGACCCCAGCGCGCCTGCCTGAGGCAACTTACAGCAGCTCCCCACCGGCCACTGACACATCCCTGGGCAGTGCCAGTGGCTCCCCACAGGGCCAGGGCCGCCCGCCTGCCTTCAAATCGGCAGCACCAAAGCCACCGGGATGCTCGCCGGGACCGCTGCCCCCAGGTAGGCTCAGACCCAGCACCCAGAGATGCTGCGGGGAGCGGGCTGCAGGGGAGAAGGTCCCTGCTGTGGGCAACCTGTCCCCTCCATGGGCACCTCACCCTCACCATGGGCACACCATCCTCACCATGGGCACCCCATCCCTGCCACGGGCACCTCATCCTCACCATGGGCACCCTGTCCCCTCCATGGGCACCCCACCCTCACCATGGGCACCCGGTCCCCTCCATGGACACCCCGTCCTCACTATGGGCAACCTGTCCCCTCCATAGACACCCTGTCCCCTCCATGGGCACCTCATCCTCACCATGGGCACCCTGTCCCCTCCATGGGCACCCCACCCTCACCATGGGCACCCTGTCCCCTCCATGGACACCCCATCCTCACTATGGGCACCCTGTCCCCTCCATGGACACCCTGTCCCCTCCATGGGCACCCTCTCCCCTCCATGGGCACCCCACCCTCACCATGGGCACCCTGTCCCCTCCATGGACACCCCATCCTCACTATGGGCACCCTGTCCCCTCCATGGACACCCTGTCCCCTCCATGGGCACCCTCTCCCCTCCATGGGCACCCCACCCTCACCATGGGCACCCTGTCCCCTCCATGGACACCCCATCCTCACTATGGGCACCCTGTCTCCTCCATGGACACCCTGTCCCCTCCATGGGCACCCCATCCCTGCCATAGGCACCCCATCCTCACCAGCCCTACGGGGATTTTCCCGGCCAGGCGCCACATGCAAAGCTCCTCTCACAGCATCTCCCGGGGATTTACCGGGAACGGGGCCGGGGCGGGTGCGTGGGCAGGTAGTGCTGCCGCAGCTGTGGAAACACTGTCCCCTGCCTCCATCCAGCTGCTTCCTGCACCCTGCCGGCACCCAGCACCCGGCTGGCCCCAGCACCCTGGGCACCCTGCACCCACAGCTCGGAGCTGAGCATGAGGGGCTCATCCTGCCCGGTGGGCTGGCACCGACCCCGGGGTGGTGACGGGGACACGGGTGCCTCCAGGGCCACGCTGCTGAAAAGCAGCTGGCAAAAATGATGTTATGGCTTGACCAGTGGAAACTCCCAGGCTGGGTGGGAGGCGGCGTGGGGTCAGCTGGGCGATATTCCCAGCGCAGGATATGGTGTGCAGCATCCCCATCTCCTTGGCTGGGGACAGCATGGTGGCCCCAGGCCACGCAGGACGTCCCTGCAGGAGGTCCTGGCCGCTCCGTGGGGCGCTGGGGCGAGGGTGCTCCCCATGGCAGGCTCTGGCCGGGGAGGTTTGCAACCTGCTGGCCCCAGGGCTGGAGCCGGCTGCCGCCTTCGTGCAGTGTTTCCGCTCGCAGCGTGTGGCCACCGCGGGCTCGAGGTGGCCACCACAGCCCAGCTGCGCCGACGAGCCTCGCGCAGGAAGTGGGTTCGCCGGAGCGCGGCACCGTGCAGGCGTGCGCAGCCGCCCGCGACGACCAGGGCACCGGGGCCACCGGCCGCAGCCACAGGCATTACCCCCGCCCGGAGGACCGGAGACCCCGCATCCCTCAGGACCACCCCGTGCATCCTCCTGTCCCTCTGTCCATCCAGGTATCGGCTACCCCCTGTTCCCTGCCGGCAGCCTGAACAGAGCCCTGGCCACCAAGACACCCCCGCCGCTGTTCCTGGGGGCCGAGGGCCGACGCGGCGAAGCCCACGGCAGCGCGGGGAGCAGCCGGAGCGGCGGCAGTGCGGCGGTGGGTGCCGGGAGGGGACACACACACACACACACACACACACCCCCCGGCTCTGCCGTACCTGCTGCCTGGGCTGGCATGTGGGGACAGCTCTACCCGCCGCCTTCCAGTATCACCGACCCAGCCCCAGCATGGCCCCATCACTGGGATGCGTCCCCTGCATGCAAGACAAAGCTCCACCCCCCGCCTCCCCCCTCAGATCTGTAGCCCCCACCCCGGGGTGGGCTGGTTCTGGGTCCCTGGGATGACCCTGATGCCCAGGCAGGGGGTTGGGACCCCGTGTCCATGGGGTTCCCCTGGGGGTTGATGCCAGCAGGATGTTTGGTGGCCTTGGGCACCCCCTCGCCTCATCAGTGACACCGCGGGAGGGGGCAGCAGGGCAGGTGGTGAGGGCCCACCCCCCCCCAGCTCACTGCACTGAGGCAATTCCCACCAAGTCACCGTGCCCAGTGTCCTCAGGACCACAGGGACATCCCCTCCCCAAATTCAGCAAGGAGCTCCTCCGATCTGCTCTCACCTCCTCTTCCTCAGCCTGACACCAGAGCTTTGCTGGAGGTGGGGGGGGGGAGCACAAGAAGAGGCTGGGAGGGGGGAGACACTGCATCAGGGGTCCCCCAGGGGGTTGGCAGCACAAAGCCTGATGGGGGGCACCCTACTTTCCCACAGCGCCCGCTGTACCCCGCTCTGCAGACCCTGAGTCCCGTGCTCACCCCAGGCAGCTCCGGTGTCCCGAGCCACGGCCTCACTGGTTTCCCCTTCCTCGCACCGGCCCAAGCGGGTAAGTCCTGGTCCCTCAGCCCCGGGGAATCGTAGACTCCCCCCCCGACCTTGGACACCCCCCCCTCCCAGCTCCTGCTCACTTTTGGCCTCCTGATCAGCAGAGTTTGGGGCTGGCGAGGCCCCGCCACCCCCCGGGTTCCTGCAGCCCGGCCCCACGGCGTGGCAGCACCCACGGGACATGGCAGCATTGGGGTAAGAATGGGGGGACAGGGCTGGGGGGGGGGGGGGGGCGGGGCTGGGGATGAGCCTGTTTGTGGGGAACTGCTGCACCCGTGGGTGCCACCTCCCAGCCATGGGTGCTGTCGGCACCCCAAGGTGCAAACCACCCCCACACACACACACACACCTGCTCTGCTGAGGTCTGTCCAGCTTCACCCCAAACGTGGGGTGCACGGGGTCACCCTAGGAGCCCCCCCCACCCGCTACTGTTGGCAGAGCCTGTTTCCAACTGGATTTCTCCAGGGGACCTGGTCCCCATGTCCCCCCCTCGCCCCCCAGTCACACACCAGGCTCCCAGCAGCTGGGTGGGCAGCTGCCCAGTGCCCGGCTGGGTCAACCCGTACGTGAGGTGAGTTTGGGGGAGGTCTCAGCACATCTAGGGAGGAGAAGAGGCTGGGGGAGCTCGGCCTCTTCCCACCTTGCGCACCTCGGCAGGGGGACTCGGCCTCACTCCTCCCCCTCCTCTTACCCCAGGGTCAGCAGCCGGATCGTCTCTGCCGAAGAGCCGGCCCCGGCCCCCGGCGCCTCCCCGCAGCACCCAGCCATCAGCATCAAGTCGGAGCGGGTCTCCCCGGGGCTGGGCTGCCCCTCGGGCACCCCCCAGCCCCCCCTGGCCAGCCTGGCCTCCCTGAGCGAAGCCTCCCGAGGCCCCGCAGACCTCCAGCCTCGGGATGACTACCCCAAGGGGTACCCCTACCCCCTGGGCCCCCCCCGGCCGCTGGCGGAGGAGCAACAGGTCCCCGTCCCCGCACGACGGGTGCAGGCCATGGACACTTGGCAGAGATAGCGAGGCTGACGGGGTGCAAGGGTGGGGGCCAAGCCTGGGGGAGCAGCCCCCCCTCCCTGCTTCACCCTCATCCTCAGACCCCTGGGAAGCCCCTCGTGCCCTTTGCAGTGCCATCAGGGGCGGGGGGGAGGGGGGGGTTGGCGGTGCCACAGAGCTTCCTGCAGGGTCCTGGACCCCCACCCTGGGGCTGCAGCTCCCAGTAAGCCCCTTCCCCACCCCAGTGCTCCCCACATGCCGCTGGCCCCCCTCCCTGCAGCTCTGCCCCCCCCAGCCCCCTGCAAGGCCAGGACCCCACGGATGAGGAGCGCTAGCCCGGTCACCTGTCCAGTGCCGGACACTGTACATCCGCGTCCTTCCGTCCGTCTGTCCTTGCGACAGCGTGTCCCCAGCGAGTGGGAATGCCTGAGAAGTACCACGGGGTGGCAGCAGGACTGAGAGCACCAGCCCCAGGTCCAACCCTGCACACCCCCGGCCCAATCCTGCACCCGCCCGGGGTGGGGGCGGCGCAGCAAGGCGGGAAGGGGGGAGGCAGCCAGGGGCGGTGGGTGCTGCTCCCCCAGCCCAAGGGCTCTTTTCTATTTATTATCTTCTCATCAATAAAGAGCTGGGGGTGTTGGGGTGTCTGGCGTGAGTTTCTTGGGTTCAGGCAGCATGACTCGGGGTGGCTAATGAGGTGACAGGTTATTAATGTCCCCAAGGGGAGAAGTGGCCCATGGCCTGACCCCCACCTTCAGCTCAGCGTTGCTGTCCCCCATGTCCCCCAGGCTCAGCGCCACCTCTCCAGGGTGCCTGACCAGCAAGGTGGGTGACAGCCAGGTCACCCCCAGTTCTGGCCAGGTCCTTGAGGCCCAGCCGTGCTGCTCCCACCCCTCAGCTCCCTGGGAGACCCCAAAAAGCTGCTCGTAAGGTCTCAATGACACATCCTGGTGCTGGGGGGTGAGAAACCCCTTCTGTGCCCTTGAGGTTGTCATCAGTGGCGGCAAGGGGGGTTTAAGTGGGAGGGTGGGACCAGCCCAGCTGAGCTGCATCTCTTACAGCTCTGGACTGGGCTGGGACTGGGGGTTTCTGCTGCTCCCTGGGCTGGGGGAGCGTCCCTGGGGGCCTGCGGCATGCTGGCCACGGCCACGGCCACACTGCAGAGGGGTGAGTGAGGAGCAGGGGGGTCAGGGTTTGGCAGTTCCCACCATCCTCCGGTTTTGGGGGGGTTGGGTCCCCAGCATAGCCTGGGGACCCTCTGCACCAGCCACTCACCAGAGCACTGAACTTGTCCCCTTCCTGCGGTGGGGGGATTATGGGTGGTTGAGCCCCAAGATTAAAACACGGGCAGGGGATTAATCCTGGGAAGAGTTTGCCTTGTTTAATAGAGCCCAGAGAGCGACATAAATACCAGCCGGGATTAGGGGCTGCATGGAGCCCCAGCAGCCCAGGGCTGGATCCGACCTCAGCCCAGGTCCCCCCCTGGGCTGGCGGGTCCCCTCCCGGGCCACCCTTGGGGCTGGGCAGGGGCTTCTGCATGGCAAGAGGAGGCGAGACACCCGGTGAAAGTGTGGGGGCTGGGGTAAGAGACACTGATTGAATAGCAATGACTGCATGATTTATGGTTTGCATTATTGCATGGCTCATTTGAATATATGCTAATAAGGCTTTTCTCCTCGTTTTGTTTGTAAGATTTAGATTTGCTATGGCAACCCGCTGGCATGGAAGGAGCGCCAGGAAATGTCAGGGTGAGGTGAGCCCCCAGGAGGGGCTGGGGCTGCCGGGGAGACTCACCGCATCCCACCACGGGGACACGGGAGCGGCCGACGGGACCCGGAGGGCAGCGACGGGAGACCTGGGAGCTGACCGGAGCCGTGCATCCCCCCCAGCTGCCTGCAGGTCCAGGAACACCCCGTTGTGACAGGTCCTAATCTGGGATGTGTGGGGAGGGTGCCCTGGGGTATCCCCAACACCGTTTTGGGCTTGCAGGGAGACTCGCCCTCCTCCCCCCCTGCCTCATGCCCCTGCCAGCCTCCTCGGCGCGGTGGAGACGGTGGGATGCCCCATTGCGCTGGACTCAAAGGTGGCATCCAGGGACCCCCAGATTTGTTGAGGGGGGACACAACAGAGCTCAGGATGCTATTGGGAAGAGACAGAGCATCTGCATTCGCTCTGTGTCCCCCACCCACCCATCCTACAGGGTCCTGGTCCACGGTGGAAGGGTCTGGGCCATCTCCCCACCTCTGTGGCTCTGTATCCCCTCCCCAGTTGCCCAGGGAGCTGCCCCAGTAAAGCCCAGTTACCTGCAGGCCCAGCATGATGGGGGGCTGCGCTGCTCCGGGAGGGTGCTGGGCTCTGGCGCTCGGGGCTGCGGAGCCAGTGGGGCTTTGTCTCCCAGTCGGTGCCGGTTTCCCTCCCTCTGCTGGGGGGGGGGATGTGCTGTCGGGGCTCTGCACCCCGATTTGGGGGGCTGTGGACCTTGCAGTCAGGGTGCTACCTTGCTGGGGAAAAGGTGGACAGGTTGGTTTTGGGGGGACCATCCCCTCCTCAGAGCCGTGGGGGAGCAGCCCCGTGTCGTCGGATCCCAGCCCGGCGGGGTGTGGGCTGATGGTCCGTGTCTTTCGGGGTCGTGGTGACTTCCCGAGTGGAGATGGGTCCCCGCGCTGCTTCTCCCCCCCCCCCCCCGGGTGGCTCTGTCCCTGTGGGGCCTGTCCTGGGCTGCGGGGAGCCGGGGGAGGTGCCACCCCTCGGAGCCCCGCGGCCACTTGTGACCGCGGAGCAGCCCGGGGAGGGCGGGCACGGTGGGAGCAGCTCCGGGGACTCAGCCGGGGCTGGATGCTGCGTGTCCCTGCAGTGACCCGACGGGACGGGCCGCCCGCTCCAACCGGGGCTCGGTCTCCGGTCCCGGGTTACCGGGAGCCGTTTCACGCCTTATAACGGGGCGGCAAAGAGCCCCGGGCTGGGGGCGACAGTGGCCGCGGCCCCGAGGGGACAGGTGGAACCCGGCCCCTCCTCGTCTTCCCGCTGCAGCAAACCGGGGCTGAGCCGGGCACCGGGGAGCTGCCACCCCCCTCCTATTCCTCCCCCCCCCCCCCCCGGTGTATCCTCCCCCAAACACCCACTTTGTTGTTTTGCAAAAGCCCTGAAATATTCATGGCGCTGCGTCGAGCGCCTCTTAATGAATTTTTGATCAAAACGGAGCCAAAATACGCCGCTCCACCCCACCCCCTTTCCAAGCCCCCGTCGTCGGGTGCGGTGGTGGGGGGGACCGGGCCCGCCGGTACCGGGGGGCTGGAGAAGCCGGGCCGGGCCCCGAAGGCCTTTTACCGGGGGAGGCCCCGGCGGCGGGGCTGGGCAGCCCGGGGGTCGCATCGCCACCGGGGGCGGGGATCGCAACCCGCCACCGGGGATGGTTATTCCAGGGCCGGTGGTAGGATTTGGGGTGTCCGATCCGCAGGCCCAGCCTCCTGCTGCCACCCCCTCGCCCACCCTACCTGGGCTGGGAAGGACCTGCCGGGCACCCGTGAAGCCTCGGTTAGACGGGACGGGCGGTGGGCGGCCGGGTCAGCCTATTCCGGGCCCCCCCCAGCCCCGCCTAGAGAAATATTCGTTAAGGGGGAAATACATAAGCGGAGTTCATTAGGGGAGAGCAGGGAGCCGGCGGCCCCCTCCGGCAGCGCCGGGCCGGGGGCTGCGCCTACCCGGGAGGGTAGAGCTGGGGGGGGGGGGCCACCGGGGTAGTACCGGGCACTGGCCCGGTCCCGGATCCGCGGCGGGGGACGCGCACCGTGACCGCTCCGGTGGCTGGAGCCAACCTCGGCCCACACCGGCCGCGGGTTGGTGTCGACAGGGGTTTGTCCCCCGCTATGTATCCCCCTCCCGTGTCCGTATTTGGGGCACAAACCCCGCCGGGCGCTGCGCGAAGCCGCCTTTGGAGCCACCGATTTTTAACGCGCTCCAAAAATCCCGGTGCGGCAGAGGCTGGGGGGGGGTGTGTGATGGTGTGTGTGTGTGTGTGTCTCCGTTCCCGGCCACTTCAAGAGGTGTTAACACCCGGGGTAAGGGGGGCGATATTTTTTATGTAATGAAAAAATAGCCGATTTCTGCTTAATTTCCACGGAATAATCCTGCACCGGCCGGGGAGCGGGGTGAGCCTGCCCGCTCGCCGCCTCCTGCCGCAGCCCCGGGAGGGGGGGGAAAGGCAGAAGGACCACCCCCCATCCACCCCCCCCCCAACCTTCCCCTCCACTCTCGCTCCGGCCCCGCTCCCTCCGCGCCCCGTGGGGTGCCCCGAGCCCGGACGGTCCCGCCGTACCCGGGGCCGGGCGAGGTGCGGGGGTGGGTGGGGATCCGGATCCGGCCCTTCCTCCCGCTGCCCGTGCGGGGCCGCATCCGCGGGGTCACCGGAATTATTAATATTATTATTTATTTATTTTGAAATAATAAAATCTCCGTTATTTTTAGGTTCTGTTGCCAGAGCCGCCTCCGCCCTCCGCGCCCCCCCCCCCCCCCCCCCCGCCAGCCCGGTGCATTCCCCCCAGCGCAAGGCTAACCTATCCTGCTCCCGACGTGAGGACGTCATGCCTTACGTAGTAAAATATGGAGAAAGCAGGGGGGAAAAAAAAAAAAAAAAAAAAAAAAAAAAGCAGCGCATTTTTCCCTCCTCTCTCCCATCTCCATTTCCAAAATGGACAAAATGGATGTTTGGGCGGAATCCGTGCCCCCGTCCCCCCCCAACTCCCCAGGGCTCGGCGGCGGCGGGCCGGGGCTGCCCGGGCCCGGTCGGGGGGTTCTCGGCGTTAAAGCTCCGGGCAGCCGTTATCTGTTTAACCCCACGTAAAGGCAACGTGATCGCGGGGGGCTCCGCTTCCCCCCAGCCCCGGCAATCCTCTCCGGGAGCCGCAACCCGCTCCGCATCGCCTGGATGTCTCCGGGCTCCGCGTCCTGCCCGCTGCCGGTGCCGCGTCCCCCCCAGCCCCCGCCCCGGAGGCTGCCGGTGTCCCGGAGGCTGCCGGTGTCCCGGCGGCTCTCGGCTCACGCTGTCGCTAAGTCATTAATGGATGCAGATGTGCGGAGGGAGGTAAATAAGCCCCCCCACTTTCCTTTTTCGTCGCTGTTTTTCCCCTCTCCCTGCCCCGCACTGAACTCCCCGGGGCCGGGGCAGCACCGGGCAGCCGCCGGTACTGCCCGCCGGTGGGGCAGGGCTGTGCGGGCACCGGCAGCCGCCCCGCTCCCCCTCCCGCTTCTCCCAACTTGGAGGAAGTCTGCGAGGGGGGACCCCGCGCCTCCCCCCATCCGGCTCTCCTTTTTTTTTTTTTTTTTTTTTGGGGGGGGGGGGTGGCGGGGGTGGGGGGGGTGTTTTTTGCCTTTTTTTTTTTTTTTTATTTCCCTCTCTCCCCCTTCTCCTCCCCTCCCTCGGATTAGGGGCTGCGGGTCCCGGCAGCCCGGTGTGAGTGTCGGGGTGGGGGCGAGGTGGGGGGGTGGCGTGAAGGGGGGTGGGGGGTGGGACGAGGCGTGGAAAGCTGCCCTCCCTCCAGCTCCCGCAGCGCCGGGAACAATGGCCACGGGCTCCGTGGGGACAATGCCCGGCGGAGCCTAGCTGCTTGGGTTGCAGGACACGTCCACCACCGCCTCGGCCACCCCGGGACCCGGCCCCCCGCTCCCCGGGGACAGTCACCCCCCGCTTCCCCGGGGACAGACACCCCCCGCTCCCCCGGGGCTGTGGGAAAACGCGTGGCCGGGGTTGGGAGGGGGAGCACCAAACTTGGGGAAAAGTCCTCGTCTCCTGCTCCACCCCGGGGGCCGTCACCGTGCCCTCCCGCCTTTGGGGACACCCCCCCCCCCCTCACACCCCAGGGAGCCCGTCGGTTCCCTCTTGCCCATCCCGCCTCTTGCCACAAACTCCACCGGGTGCTCCCGCCCGGGGCTCAACAGGTCGGTACCGGCCAGTCCGCAGGTGCGCGCTTCTCCTCTCCCCCCCCCCCCCCCCCCACGCCCGGCGGCCCCCTGCCTTCCCTCCCGCTCCATCACTCCCCCAACACCCCCGTCTTCCCCCAAACCTTCCCCCTCTCATTATCCCTGTTATCCCAAGGCAGCTCCGTGCCCAAACGCCGGCATGTGCGAGGCAAACAGAGCGCGATTGTTCCCAGCCTGGGAACGCGCGGAGGGGGCGCGGGGGCCGCCGCCCGCCGCCCCCCGCCCGGCCCCCGCTCAGACGCGATTGTGATGGAAATAGGCCCTTTCCCGCATGCTGTTGAACTTGATGTTGACTCCTTTTCTTTAGGGGTTTCACATCTCTTCGGCCACTTGTTTGGTGGGAAAAATTTTTCTCCCGAGCTCCGGTGTGAAATTAATTAATCAGGGCCTCTAGATGGCAATGGGACACAAAAGGGGACAGCCCGGGGAAACTCCGGCAAACTCACAAAAGCCACCCCCGGGGTTTATAGCCCCGGGCCGGTTGGACCGACTGCCCTGCCCTGCCCGGTGCCCGAGGTAAGGGGCTGCCGGAGCGAAGTTTCGGTGTGTGCAGCTATTTTATTATTTTTTTTTTTTTGGGGGGGTGGTGGTGGTGGTGATGGTGGTATGGGGAAAGGATGAACAGGGACCCGAGGATTTAGGGGTGCTGTGCCAGGGCAGTGTGTTGTGTGGGCATCCCCTTCCGTCTCCTCCCAGCCCTGCGTTGGTGCGAGGCTGTATCCCAGCCGCAAAACCAAAAAAAATATTAAAGAAAAAGGAAAAAAAAAAAAACAAAAATATTCCCCACGCAAAGGGCCAGGGCTGAATTCGGCATTTCTGGAGAAAGGAAAAAAAAAGAACAAACCACTTAGTTATCTTGTTTTATTATTATTTCCGCCCCCCACCTAAAGAAGTAACTGGGGCTGTTCCTGTGATGAAGCGCCTGGCTTTGCCCGAGCGGGCACGGCGGGGATTTCCACGCCGTTGTTTCCCGAGCAGGGAAATCTCTGCCGTGCGCGGGGGGAAACCGTTTGCCCCCAGTTTGGACTGGGGAGGTGTTTGTTTGATTTCCAGTCACCCTCCTCGCTCTTAGTTTCAGCGGGTGCCGCGCGTGTGTGTCCTCTGACGGGTTTAGCAGCGATGGGGAGATAAATATAAAATCAGATTTTCTTTTGAAGCACTTTGCAGAGCAGGATATGATTGTTTTTAGAGAGATCAATCTTTGCAAAGCATTCGGGGTTTTGGGGGAATATTTCTGCACGAGAACAGGCCAAAAATACGAGCATCAAATCCCCTCCCGCTCTTTGTTGCTACAACACCTTTGGGTGACAGCGGCTGCAGAAAAAAAAAAAAAAAAAAATCATTAAAATCTGTTAAATCTTTAGTTTTCGCCCACATCGATATTTCTAGCCAGGCATGAATTCGGGTGGATTTGGCCGGGAGTTTGGGGACCCCTTTTCCTCCGGATCGCCTCCCCCCCTCTCTGGTGCTGGTTGAATTGAGCCGCGAAGCGATGTGCAGGGGAACGAGTCGTTGTATTTTAAATGCAAATAATTTCCAGCGACAACGTTGGAATCAAACGGAAAAAAAAAAAAAAAAAAAAAAAAAGGAAAAAATTATGGGGCGGAAAAAGGAAAAGAAAAAGAGGGTGTGTGTGGGGTATATTGGTGGGAGGAAAGGGGGAAAAAAAAAAAAAAAAAAAAAAAAGAAACAAAACAGCTGAAAAATCCGCTTTCGAGGAGCGCCGGGCCGGGCGGGAGAGCGGCTCCGGTGCCCGGTGAGCGGCGGCGGCTGCCCGGTGAGAGGCTCCGGTGCCCGGGGAGGCTCCGGTGCCCGCGGCGCGGGGGAGCTGGGTCGTCCCCCTCCCGATAAAGACAGACAGACAGACAGACACTGGGTGTGGGGCTGCCCCTCCGCGAGGGTCTCCTGTATTTCCCCGGCAGCAAAGGCCGTGTCCCGGCTTGGTCCCCCTTGCGCAAGGCCGGGGCTCCGGGTGGGTAGCCCCACTCCGCGGGTGGAAGGTCCCGGCTTTGGGACATCCCACGCCCTGCCCGCCGGCGGGACCGGTCCCGACTGAGCGGGCAGGGGCTCCAGCACCGCCCACCCCCCGCCCCCGCTGCCAGCCTCGCCGGGAAAGTTGCTCCAAGTTGGAGCGACGGCGGTGGCGGCTCCTCCTGACGCCTCTTCTCTCTCTTTCCCTCCCCAGGTGGGTTCGGCCGAGCGGCGCCACGGGGGACCGGCACACCGGGAAAGGCGGAGGTAACTGCGGCTCCCCCCCCCCTCCCCCCCCCCCCAACCTCTTTTCCAAAGGCAGCCCCGGGATGCGGCCGGTTTTACCGGAGGGATGCGGGGCAGCTGCGGGACCTGCAGTTAGTGGCGTTACCGGTAACGGTGGGAAGTTCCCGGGCTGGCGGGGAGCGGCACACCGCGGCATCCCTCGCTGAGATGGACAAGGGGGACCGGCGGCAGGCCGGGCTACCCGGGCTCCGGTTCTCCGGTGGGAACCGGGGTTCCCGCAGCGCTCCGAGCCGAGCCCAGCCCCGCTGCCTCCCGCCGAGGCGACCGGAGGTTCCTGCGGCGAGCGCCGTGCTCGCACCGGAGCCCAACATGGCTGCTGTAGTGAAGGTATTTGATTCACACGAGGGTGTAGGCGAGGGGAAGAAGGGGGGACGAGAGGCGGCGGGGCCGGAGCCACCGCCCGCAGCCGCCAGGGCGAGGGGTGAAGGCGGGCGACGACGTCGGTAAGTGCCGGGGAGGACCGGGGCCGGGCGGGCCCCGTGGAGCCCCCGCCGCGGACACTCGTGGGGCGGCCGCCTTTCCCGTGTCTGCGCTGCCAAACCTCCCCCACGGCCGCTCGGGGGCAGGGAGCCGTGGGAAGCGAGGACCGGCAACCGGCGGGGGCAAACCGGGCCGCTGCGGCCCGCCCGGGCCCTGCGTGGTGGCTACTGGGCCCGGGGGCGGCGGGGGGAGCGGGGCCGGCGCGGATGCTGCTCCCCGGCCCCACTGGTGACCGAAACGGCCCTTCCCGGAGCCAGGCCCGGGCCAGAGGGTGCTCCCGGGGCGGCGGAGAAGCTCCGCCAGTCCCGTTCGTTCCCTCGGCGGAGCTTTGGGGCCGCGGTCGTTGTTGGGGTTTTACCCTCTGGGGAAAGACCGCGGCCGGGCCCACCCGGGGAAGGAGAGGATCGAGAGAGGAACCCACGGGGGCGGCGGAGCGGGGCCGGGGCCGGCGGTGCCCCGGGCGGTGTGGACGGCAGCGGGGCCGAGCCCACCGGGGCCGCCGCCGCCTCCCGGGACCGGGCAGGAGAAGCATTTCGGAGCCCGACTGCGAACGTAACGGCACCGGCTCGGCCCACGCCGTGCGGACCGCCAGGGCAGGGCGGGGAGACGCGGGCGGCAGCTCCCGGGGGTGCGCGGGAGGACGAGCCGTTAATTCGGCGACCGGCTGCCTCGCTGGCACCATCTTCCCGCATTCGGAAACGGTTGGCCCTGCCGCGGTGCACCGGAGCGACGGCAACCTTCCGGGATGATCGTGATCCCAATGAATAGCCGTAATAATAATTAATTAGTGGAGGCTTGGAAAGAGAAGGACGGAGAAGGCACGACCCCGCACGGCCCCGGGGCGAGGCGGCGGTTCAGCACCACGGAGAGCGGCGGGGCCGCGGCCGGTGCCCGGTGCCCGGTGCCCGTGGCCGGCGGGAGCATCTTCCGCCCCTTGCGGAGGGGCGGGGGGGTCCTGTCAAGATCTCCCCCCGTCCCGGGGGTCCCCGATGTGTGGCGAAGAAAGCCCCGCTGCCCCCGGGGAGCGCCCGGTGATTGAGGGTTGGCACCTCCGCAAGCGCCGCCACGCATCGCTCCCAGCCCCTTCAAACGCAGATATTCATATATATTATCTATTTTTATATATATAGGTGTATATATATAAAAAGGCGGGTGTGGACAGGGGGGGGGTCGGGACAGATCCGTGCCTCGTCCCCGAAACCTGGAGTGCTGGAAGCCGGACCCGAGCCCCACCACCCGCCCCGAGCCGTTGATCCCGGTCCCCTCTCGAAGCTGAGCCCTCCCGGGGCTGCCCAGAACCGGGGCACCAGCACGGAGCTCTGCCCAGAACCGGGGCACCAGCACGGAGCTCTGCCCGGGACCGGGGCACCGGCACGGTGCTCTGCCCGGGGCTGGGGCCGCTGCTGTGCCCGAGCCGCCTGTTAGTTTCGTTTTCCGCCGTTTTACCGGAGCGAGGTACCAGACGAGGCGGCCCCGGGAGGGCTGCGGAGCCCGGCGGGCTGAGGCAGGGCTGTGGGGCCGGAGATGTGGGGGGGTACCCTGCGTGGGTGTGGGTGTGCACGGGTGAGTGTGCGGGGTGGTGCGTGCGTCGGTGCGAACGCTCCTGGGTGTGCACCGGGGGGGAGGTGTGGGAGGTGTGTGTGTGTGTGTGTATGCACCTGCGTGTGCTCCCGGGTGTGTGCACCGGTGCCCGGGCACCGTGGGTGCGTGGGTGTGTGCACACGGGGGTCACGGCTGTGCCCGCCGGTGCGCTCCCGGTGGGAGGGGGCTGGGGGTGCCGGGGAAAGGCCACTTCCTTTCCCCCCCCCCGCCGCCTCTGGTCGGTGCTGCTTCGCCGTTGACCGGGGGAGCGGAGCGGGTTCTTTGCACCGGGGCAGGGTCGGCCGGGACGGGCCCCGGGCGGCCGCACGGGGGGGACGTGGAGCCGAACCTCGGCACCGTGTCCCGGGATCTGCCCCACCGCCCCTGCGAGCCGCGGCCCCGCTTTGGCCAGGGCCCGGGGACTCCCTCCCCGGCCGGGGGGCAAAGCCGAGGCCAGGCCCGTTACCGCCTGGGGAGGGGGCGGGGGGGTTGAGCCCGGTTTTACTCCCGAGCAGCCGCAAAGTTACCCCTTTGCAAGCGGGACCCGTGAGCGCAGCCTCGACAGGAGGGTTTGGCCGCCCCTCGAGCCGCCCCGATAGCTTCCCCGCCCCGGGCACATTGGGTTTAACCTCTCCCGGGGAGCTCCGCCACAGCCCTGCCCGAGCCGGGTGACCCCCCGGGGCACCTCCGCTACCCCGACGGGGCGGGCCGGCTGCTGCGGGGGGCTGGGTCCGGGGGCGGGGGAGACCCGGGGTGAGCAGACGGGCCTGCCCCCGGGGACAGCGGCGACCGTGGCGAATGGCTTTGCCCCCCCGGAGGGGGTGGGGGGTTAACCCCTGCCCCGGCCCCACGCCCGGGCTGTCCCAGCCCCGCCGCTCAGGCTTTGTCCCCGCCGGCCGCCCCGTCCCTCCTCCCGCCCTCCCCCGCCCTCCAGCCATCCCTCCGCCACCGGCTCTGCCTCAACTTTAGAGGCAGGTCCCGGAGGCGCCGGGGAGCGGGAGCGGGATCCTCACCAGCACCGGTACCGGCACCAGCATCGGCACCGGCACCGGCACCGGCAGCGGGCGGGGGCATCCAGCCTCCATCCCGGGCCGAGCCTCCTCCCCACCCTGCCAGCCTGGGAAGGATGCGGCGACTTGGAGCCGACGGCGATCGCGGACAGCACCGGCCCCAGGGCGAGCAGGTACCCCCCTCCTCGGCTCCCCTCCCCGGGTCCCTTCCCGAGGTCCCCTTTCCTCTCCCCATCCCCACTGCGGGCCAGGGGCAGCCGCTCCGCCAAATTTCCCTCCGAGCAGCCACACGGTCGGAGCCCCCCGGTTTGGGCAGCTCTCCAGGAACATCCCCCGCTGCGGTCCAGCCAGTGCTCGGGGCCGGTGTCTGGGACCGGTGCTTGGGGTCGGTGTCCGGAGCCTCCTGGCCAGAACACAAGGTCCCTGCGGGCAAGGGCAGGCAAGGGCAGGGCCATCCTGGGGGATGCAGGGTGTCCCCCCCCCGGGACATTCACCGCCCGAACTTCCAGGATATGCAGGATCCCTCTCAGGGATGCAGGGCTGGCTGCAGGGAGTGGATGCGGGAGGAAGGGGAGGAAGAGGAGGACAGAATGGGGGTGCAGTGGACACCCCCGGAGGGGCCCTTTTGGCTGGGCCAGTCCCTTCCCCAGCCACTCTCATGACTCAGCAGTTCCCTGCCAGTAATTTACAGTAATTATAAAGTAGAAGTGGGCTCCAGGGTGGGTCTGGGGGTGAATTTGGGACTGGGAAGAAAGCAGGTCCCTGGGCCGTGGGCGGCGGGGACAGATCCTGGGGGAGCATCCTGCTCTGCGATGGCCCCTGGGCCATGGGGGGCTGTGTGGGGCTGAGCCCACTTTAGGCTGCGGTCCCCTTTGGGGTGCAGACGTCAAGTTGGGGTGCTTGGACAGGCATCGAGCAGCGCCAGGGTTGCATGTTGCATCCTGAGGCACCGGGACAGGTTCCCCAAAAATGTTGGGGTTTCTTCATTATTGGCGGCGAGGGGAGGTGGATCGCGGCCACCCCGGGGGGCTCCGACATCGGAGCAAAATACCCCCTGGCGCGTGGCATGGCCGAGGCCCATTTTGTAAAGACCTTGGGTTGGTTTTTCTCTTTGGTTATCTAGCTGTATGAGTGTATGTGATATCATAAAGCTAGAGAACCGAATGTAAAAACCCGCTCGCTATTCTCCGGGAGAAGAGCCCTGCCCTCCCGGCAGGAGAGGGGCTCGGTGGCCACCGGCCTCCCCGAGGCACCGGCCCTGGCGCCTTTGCAAGGGGGAGAGCGGCTGGAAGCCAAACGCGGTTGTGGAGTGGAAATTTCAGTGGGGTTTTGTCTTTAATCATTTTTATTGAGGCCCAGAGCTAGCACCTGTGCTGAGGTGATTATTTTGATTCCAACCTGGGGTTCCTCAGGCTACCTACAAACCCAGCACCTTTATTTTATTAATTTTTTATTTTTTTCTGCCGTGGTTTTAATTTCCACGCTGACAATTAAGCTCGCTTGCACCGGGTGTGCCGGAGATAAATGAAATGGGGCCAGCTCAGAAATAACCCCCAGAGAAACCCTGTTTATAACGAAGTAGAAGGAAAGTTGCCTAAATATATTACCGCATGCAAATTGTAATTTAGCGCAAACCCGTTTCCGAGGCCGATTTATCTACTGGGGAAGAGAAATAAATCATCGTTGCTCTTCGGTTATTCTGCATCTGCAGAGAGATTGCAGCTTTGTTCTTTTGGAGAGGAGGGGATTTGGGAGCATCGCTCTGAGGGTGCTCTGGTCTCAGCCACCCCTCCGGTCCCTCCTGCATCCCCCCAACCCCCCCATGCTCTTGCTTTGCTGCCCGTGGGTTGGGGTGGTGCATGCAGCCAGCTCCCTCCTTCCCTCTTGCTT